TTTTAGAATTTTTTTTTTATTGAAAAAATGATTACAAAAAAAATTTTTTTAAAAATTTCATTTTTAAAAAACTTCAAAAATTGGCATTGCAATTTTTAAGAAATATTTTTTTGTTCTAATTTAATTATTTAAAAAAATTAAAAACTTCGGCTAACTTTAGTATTATTTAGTACTATTTTTAATTGAATTGTAATTTAATTAAATATATTTTTAAATAAAGTTAGCCGACTTTAAAAAATTTTTTTTAATTGTTTAATTAAAGAAATTTCAATTAAACAATTAAAAAAAAATTTCACATGTAAAAAACTTGAAAAACTATCAGTGCAATTTTTAATAAATATTTTTTTAGTTGTAATTTAATTAATAAAAAATGTTTAGACGTCTGCCAACTTTAGTGTCATTATTAAATCACTTGATTTATTAAAAAAAAATTAAAACTTGCCGTCAAAGAACCGGCAAAATTTTTTTGTCTGCTGTTACCATTATAATAAAATTAATTCTATCAAAATTATGGAGCTCAGTTTTCTACTGGACGTTACGATACAAAATTAGATAAAAAAAATCCAGCATTGTTTTTTCATACTGATTGATTTTTAAGTCTCCAATGCAATATAGAAATAGATAAAACAATATTAAATAAATAAATAAACATATAGACATGGTAAGCCTCTGACAAGAGTTGATAATTGTAAATACTTAGGGGTATATTTTGATAAACACTTGAAGTGGGATAAACATGCCTATGAATTATCTAAGAAGCTTAACTATTTTACTTTCCTTCTTTACAAGCTTAGCCAGGTACTTAATTCTTCTATTTTAAAAACTATTTATCATGGACTGTTTGAAAGCATAATAAACTATGGCATTGTTGCATGGGGAGGAGCCTACAACAATTCGATTAAACCTGTCACATCTCTTCAACATAAAATAACTAAAAAGCTATGTAAAAATAATTACAACAATATCCCCTTGACAATTAGAGACTCTTTTATAATAAATGCATTAACTTACTACTATCAAGAATGTAAAAACCTATTCTATGAAAAATGTACAAATACAAGATCTAAGCTGCTAATTCTACCAAAAATAAACAAAACTATTAGTACTTAGAATGCTTATTATATAGCAATTAAATATTATAACAAACTCCCTGCTGATATGAAAACTATAGATTGTAGTAAAAAATTGTTAAAAAAAAAGTTAAGTTACTGGAAAAGAAACCTTAATCCCCTTGACAATTAGAGACTCATTTATAATAAATGCATTGACTTACTACTATCAAGAATGTAAAAACCTATTCTATGAAAAATGTACAAATACAAGATCTAAGCTGCTAATTCTATCAAAAATAAACAAAACTATTAGTACTCAGAATGCTTATTATGTAGCAATTAAATATTATAACAAACTTTCTGCTGATATGAAAACTATAGACTGTAGTAAAAAATTGTTAAAAAAAAAGTTAAGTTACTGGATAAGAAACCTTAATGGTTAACATGCTTAAAAATGTAATGGAAAATGCGAGTATTTGATTGGATATTTCTTTTTATGTTAATTATTTATAATTTAGTATTTCTTTCTTTATAAATTTATTACTTTTTGTACTTATTATCTTTTTGCATTGTATTATATCAACAAAAATTTTGTAAAAAGTATATATATTGTAAAATTGATATTTTTGTACTGGTTCTATAAACAGGTGTCTTTGCACCTCGATAGAATTCTTTACCAGATAAATAAATAAAATAAATAAACATATATTAAAAAAGAATAAACAGAAACAATGACAACACGTGGGAAGACTATAATAAAAAAAAAAAACAAAAATGAATCATCGTTGATCTTACAATAACACGCGACTTTGACGTAATAAAAATACTGAGTGTTTTACAATAGATATATTTAAGTATATATGTATATAGGTATGTATAAATACATAGATATATATGTAGAAATATAAAACTATGTACACACTGTATTGTAATAAATAATAAAATTCAGCGGGGCAACGAAATAACACATGGCACTAACCATAAAATAATAAAAAACAAACGTAAGGTACTTACCATTGATAAAGTTCTCTTATCTTGGCTGCCTAAAAACCAGTAGCTTGTAGACTTAGTACTTAACAATATATATAACTGAGTAAGCACGTAGATTAGACACCGACGTAACTCCTTACACCTTAAATACAGAAAGGTATATTGTTATTATTAAATATTTATTTTAGATAAATATACGTTTATTACCTACCAAGACGGGCACTGTAACAACTCGAGCGCGCGTCAACGTCTGAATAGAACGAATCGATGCTTTTCGCGTCCAACTCCTTCGCTGACGGCTAAATTATTACATAAAAATTTTTCTTACAAGTTATTTTTAAAACTCTAACTGTAAGCTTGTTAATTTTAAATATTTTTTTTCTAATACCGAGCACTGTTCATTAATTGTTAACTTTTGAATGAAGACAAGGTCAACGTTTCTAGTAGAAGCAACGACCGTATCAATAATGATAATTATCATATTTGTCAGCTGCTTGTGTTTATATAGAGACGCACATATACACTCATGTGTGTATAATGTGTGTCAATGAAATTTTGCGCGCCAGATGACAGCACATACGTTTTTATTTTTTTATTTTTATTTTATTTTATTTTATTTATTTTGTAAAAATTTTAAGTACTTGACAGTTTTAGAAGAAATATTGTAATTATGTTTACAAGTTTGAAATTTATTTAACCAATAGTGATCTAGCCGGTGATAAGAAGTGACTGATAAAAAAAAAAACACGTGCCGGTGAATTGTAAATACGGTTTTGAACGAAGATTAACGAAATTATTTCTGCTAATCCGGGGAGCTACGAAAATGTACGAAGTATTTGCGCATAAATTCAAATGAACGACTTCGGGATCACTCTGTATTTCAATGGCTTCCTTGATTGGTTTATTGTTAATAAGATAAATGTAAATATTGTTAATGATGTGAGTATAAATTTGGTATTTTTATTTAAATACTTTATTTGAAATACTAACTTTAATAACACGCTTTTCAGGTTTAAATGAATTATGGTAATTGTCATCATAAAAAAATACTTTTTACGAGGTAATAAATAAATTTGTTGTCAAGAAATGTTACTAGTTTACTTACACCATCTTTAGTTAGTGAAGTAATTACATCTGTGTTAAATTGGTGACATCTTTGAAGTTGAAGGCGTTGAAGATGTAATTTGCCATATTTTCTCATTTGCACGCATGTCAACAACGGAAAAGTCCTTGCAAAACTTTCACAGCGATTGTTTATTTTAAATGAATTATTTTAAAGGTAAATTGACAATTTATTTAATACTTAAATGACTAAAAATTCATTATTTCAGAAAAGTTACATTAATAAAAAATTTTTTATAAATGTACTATGACAAGTAATGAGTTTGTGTGTAATTAATTTTGTCAAAATATGACTAAAAAAATTATATATGATTATTTATTCTGTTTTTTGATTAAAAGAAGAATTAACCTCATAAGAATGATTTAAAAAGATTATTGGATTATAAATGATACAAAAATCACAAAAAAAATTTTCATTAATATTTTATTTTAATTTTTTACACGTGAAATTTTTTTATTCAATTTTTTTCATAATAATTTAATTGTTATAAAATAATAAAAAAATGTTTAATGTCTGTCAATTTCAGTGTCATGATTAGAAACTACAATAATGTAGTGCAAATAATTTCTGCTTTATAGAGCAGTTATAATTTCTATCTTCAATTATTTTCACCCTTGACATCTTCAGCTGAATTCTAGATTTATTTAACTTATTTATCAATAATATGATAAATAATTATGGTAAAGATGTCATGGTAAATGTAGAGATGTTTTGGGTAGACTCTCTAAAGAGGTGTCCTCGAGATTACAAGAAGAAACACCACAATACCAAGATATCAAGTACAAGAAGAAACGAGGCGTTGAAAATTCTCTGAACAATGAAAGCTTCCAATGGAATAAATGATTTATACGTACAATTTAACATTAATATTCACGAAATGAATGCATGATTACATGCTCTAACTTTCGTTTGCTCCAAACAGTTTAAAATAACATTTGTTTTTAATTTAAGTTATATTGAATTCATAAGTAATATAATATACAATTATATTATTAGTTTAATTAATTGGTAATTATTAAGATTAAAATTAATCTATTAATCTTAATTTAATAATTAATTCATTATTAATAATTATTAATCTAATTAATTAATTATTAAGAATAAAATTAAAAAATAAAACCAATTATTTTTTATAAAAGAGATAACTCGGATCTTTTATATATATTTTTAAAAAAAAGTTTAGTCGTGTTGATTAATTAAGGACGCGTAACTACTTAAGATTGATAGTATGACTCTGAGTACTCTCAAAACGAATGAGAATAATTAAAGATCTTATTTCTAGGTATGTACATAGGTATTTCACAAGCTCCTTTGAAATAAGTGAAGTAATTTTATTGGTATACTTCAAGATGTTAAGATTAACAAGGTCTCACTTTTAGATCAATGTGTATTTGTTGATACTATCGCAATTTATTATTTTGAACTTTAAAAATTAAATTTATGAAGATAAAATTTAGAGGTAAAAATTGTTGATATCATACAAGATTTATAAAAAAATATTTTTATTTCTTCACAATTAGAAGTGACATCACGTACTTATGTCAAAGAGCTTTTAAGTTACTTATTATTTCAATCTTATAATAGTCACGTGATTTAATTTATTTATTTTTTATTTTTAGTCAAAGTTCAGAGATTTAAAGAGATTTGTTTATTTGTAAAGGTGTTTACTGTCTATAATAACACCGTGTTGTTCTTTTTGATTGTCCAAAGCCACAAGTGGGGAGTTGCACAGTTAAAGTGTACCCCTCTTTTTACATCTGCGACATAAACTTCATCGAACATATAACAAGTGATTCTTAGTTTACTCCACGTTCAATCAGAAAACGTGTTTGTTCTTAGAGCTACTCTTTATTAAATAAATAATTTAAAAACGAGATGTGATTTATAAAATAATTTTCATTACACTGTTTCTAGATATTTTTGTCGCTGTGCTTAGTCAAAATTAAGCTGGAAGAATTAAAAAATATTTTTTTAGTAATTAATAAATAAGTTACAATGGTGAAATTCAATTTAAAAACACTTTTATGGATAAATTTTATTTTTTTAAGTCAAGCTGCGAGAAAAACAGTGCATATTACCCCGACATCTGCATTAGATCTCAATGATAATGATATTATCAGAGTATTTACACACAACGAATCAAATCCAAGGGATTTTGAAAATTTTACTATTGCTGTTAAAGATACCGAAGAAATTTTTTATCTTGACGGCAAAACTGATTCTTATATGACAGGTTTGTCTTTTTTTATTGTTATTTAATAGTAATTAGGCAATCGACAAGTATTTAGAACGAAACAAAGCAATTAATTGTTGAAATGTTACGTTTTCTTTCTCATTGAGACTTTCTTGAGGCAATTGTAATGTATATTTTAGAGACACATAAATTAGTTCTAAGAATAAGAGACGAAATGTCATTTTTTAAATACAGCAAAAATCAACTCAATAGTAAAAAAATTAACTTAAAAAAAAATTTTTTAACAAATCAATTACAATAAAAAAATTCTTAAAATTTTCACTTGTAATTTTTATTAATTTTCACATGTGTGGAATTTTTTAATTAAATTTTTGTTTATAATAATTTTTGTTTAAATGAAAATTAAGTTAGCCATTTAAAAAATTTTAAGATTTTTTTTATTAAAAAAATGATTACAAAAAAATAAATTTTCATTTGTAAAAAAATTTAAAAACTGCAAGTGCAATTTTTAAAAAATATTTCTTTTGTTCTAATTTAATTATTAAAAAAGTCATTTTTAAATTTATTAAATTTATAAAAATTTTTTTATTAAATAAACGTTTATAAAATAAATTTATAAATATATTATTTCTTCTTTCATGGTTTGATTTTTGCTGTTAAATTATTTTTTTATAAAATATTATAATTTATTGAGTTGTATTAGCAGTACTTAAAAGTTTTCACATTAAAATAAAATTATTACACGCGGAAGCTTTTAAGCGCATTGTTTTAAATTAACAATTGCAATCACGTTTTAAAAAAAAAAGTATTTTCATTTATACATAAATGTATAATGTGTAAGAAATAAAGTAAATCTGAATATCAGATAAACAGATTGATTGAAGGACAAATTATTAAATATTTATTTTGCAAAGCACGCGGGTGCCTTTCTCGCTAGTATTTAAAAATGATCGCGTCTTGAATGCAAGTAAGCTGTTAGTACAACTCCCAAAGTAGTAGTACAACTCAACTAAATGTTATATGTTATATTACTGTGGCTGTAATAAGTAGAACCATCACTTTCAATTTCATCGATCAGATTCCAGACCTTTGACTAAATAGTTACAGTTTAAACTATTAATGTCAGATATTAATTATGATAATGAAACAATTAAAAAAATTACAATAAAAAATTTAATTATTAAATAGGTAACACTGTTACTAATATTATTTATAATAGACGCTGTTGCAATAAAAGCAAATTTTTATATTCACAATTGCAACACTCAGCCGACAACTTGTCAAAGTCGTGCGTTTTTAAGCAATCTCATTACAGATCAAAGCCCACAGAAAGATTTACAATTCAATGGCAAATTTGTAGTGCATAAGCTTCAATAAATTTATTCGATTTCACGTTATTATAAATATTTGCATACCGTAATTTGCAATTGTGTCAATTATTTCCGTTGTTACAAAACAATTGTAGAAGCTAAATGTTAGCTTTATACTTGAATCGTTTTTACTTTTGTTATTTATACTTTTTTCATTCAGATGATGCGCTGTCAATGTAATAGCGAATTCGGTTCGTGTAATTTTTTTATATTAGTATTTAGGACGCGACGCACGTACGTCGTTGGTGCAAGAATCATTCAAGAGCGAGCAAGACATTACGCACACTTTTACATATGTAATGTCATTGTATGGGACACCTACACGATTGTAATTGTAACTCGTACAATTTTGAAATCTTTTTCTATTCTATTTTATTTCTAACTTCGCAAGTCATAATAAGCTCTTAATTATACTCAAGTTTTTTTTTATTACAATAGCAGTACTTTTGTTTAATGATATTTAAATTAGCTTATTTAACAAAAAAAATTCATTTCTAATTATTTAAAATTATTTTTTGCTGTAATTTACTTGTTAAAATTTTTCATAAAAATTTATTTAGCAGATATTTTATAATAATTTTTTTAATAAATAAATTATGACAAAAAAATTGACATGTAGAAATTTAAATAAATTAAAAATACAATTTATTTAAAATAATTTTTCAGAGCAAATTTGTTTGTTAAATAGAATTAAAAAGTATTCAAGTGATTTTTAACTTTAATGCCATAAATTTTTCAAATTATTAAATATCTCTGAAATTAATTTTTATTTTTGTTCAGTGTAAATTTAATTTATGATTTATTAAAAATTTTCTAATTCAAAGTTGAGTCACTGTAAAATATTGAAAAAAAATTATTAGTACATAATTTAATTTTTTAGAATAAATAAGTAATACGTACCGCTAAATTTCAATTAAAAGATTTATGAAACTAAAGTTAGCAAACATCTGTCATTTTTTTGGACTCTTCCAACAAATAAATTACTATCAAGAAAACATTTTTTTCATAAAAAATTCTAGAAATCATCATATATGTCCGCTAGCTTCAGTATCACAAAGATTTTTATGAATAGTCATTATGATAGCGATAGAAAGAAGTAATATGATGTATCCAACATCAATTATCGTTACTTTTTATCGCTTAAATAACTTTCATCAAAATTTAGTCGCATTTTTCTATAACTAGTATATTTTTTTCCCTGAAGATAACTTGCAAAAATTTTTACAATTATACTATCAATTTATTGACCAAAATTTTACTTTTTCATCAAAAACTTCATGTGCAAATTTCCTTTTTCTCCTTGAGTTGCTAGTTCTAAAAAAATGAATTTATTCATAAATATAAATTATGTAAATAAATACAAAGAAAAACAAATAAACTTATTGTATGTTTTTTTTTATTTTTTTCACCAGGAAATGGAGAAACTCAAGAGATAAATACTCTCATCAAAATAGTTCCTGAGTTTGATTTAAGTGTGGAGAATGTAAGCGCGCAGTGTCAGAAGGACTCGGAGTTATTTAAGCGTGAACTGAGAAAGATGAGTCTTTGGGCTGTGAAGAGTAAGTTTTAATAATAAACTAATTAAGAATGTTATTATATCTCAAATGGTTATGACTTATGGCGATGCGGTATTCTGTTTGTGTACACGAATACATTCAATGCCGATAGATTACATAAAACATATAAACCCAATAGATGTTTACCGTGTAGACATGATATGAACAGAGTTATCATAAGAAATACGCTTGGTATTTGGTAATGTAACAAAAGACACGTGAGCATTTACAATTGTCTCGATTTCACCTACTCTCTTCCGGATGATCGAGCTCACGAGCTTGATATAAGGTCACGTATTATGATAATGAAAATTAAGTTAGCCGACATCTAAAAATTTTTAGAATTTTTTTTTATTAAAAAAACAATTAAAAAAAATTTTCATTTGTAAAAAACTCAAAAAACTAAAAGTGCAATTTTTAAAAAATATTTTTTAGTTCTAATTTAATAATTAAAAAAAAAAAAATCAAAAAATTAAAAACGTCGGCTAACTTTAGTATTATATTTTATATTATGATATACAGTCATGGTATTTTAATAGTATTTATTTTTATGACACTGACGTGACAGACATTGGAAATGTTTTTATATTTTTATAGCAATTAATTTATCATGAAAAATATTTAATAAAAAAATTTCACGTGTTAAAGTTAAAAAAAATTAAGCATGTTTTTTATTGCAATTGATTTATTATAAAAATGAAAATTAATTTAGCAGAATTAGCAGATTTAGCAGAAACAAATTTTTTTTGTTAAATAAAATTAAAAAATGGTCAAGTTGCAGCTAACTTTAATAATGACATTAAAGATAGCAGTTCCATTTTTCAATTTTTTTCTAACAATTAAATTTTTTCCAAAAAATTATTTTTAAGAAATTGCATTTTTTATTCTTTAAAATTTTTACATGTCAATTTTTTTTTGCCATAATTTATTTGTTAAAAAAATTCTTAAAATTATCAAATATCTGCTAAATTAATTTTCATACTTTAATATCATAAATTAAAAAAATTGACAGTTGTCATCTAACTTCAGTATCATTTATTTTTTAGTGTACGATGCGACAGCTAAAATACCATCGGGTTTACTGAGTGGTAATGTAAATCAGCTGGGTGATTTTGACGAGTGTCTGAGCGTTAATTCGCCGGCAGAGGATCAATTATACGGGCAAGTTACCGGGCAGTATTGTTTAGTTTATCTGCAAATAAATATCGACAAGCTCCGGCCTGATTTGACGTATCTTCATCGCCTCACGCACTCTCACTACGCATTTAGGAGTAATTTAACAGACGTAAGTGTGATTATGAGTAATATGATATAAATAAAGTATAAGTTCATTTATGCATACGATATTGCATGGTTTAGAGAGTTGAATGTACAGTAATAAGGTATTGAGTACCTCGTTTGAATTTATATCAACCGCTAGCTGGTGTGTTAAAATATTTAACATAAAAGTAAAAGCTAGTGACTTATAATTCAGGTCATGTCCTTGGTTAGAGATATTTAATATCCGTAATAGTTATTTAAATTTTTTATTATTCATTACAAACTAATCATTTTATTTAATTAATTCGAATTTATTGCAGCCAGGCCACAGGGTACCGCGTTTCAGCACTGTTAACTGGGCGGTGTGCGCACCAGCTAGCTGTTCACCTCAAGATGTTGAAACAAGCTTCAAGGATAAGCTCGCTAAGTACACAACAGGGACTGGTCTTGACGTAACCATCAGAGTCGACCGTGAAATGTGCCAAGTTCAAAGGACCAAGTCACTTCCTATTGCGACAATCATCGTCGGGTATTTATTATTTTGTCACTCTTTAAATTAAATTATTAACACATACTTACAGTAGAGAAAATGATTAACCTTCGTTATTTTATTAATAAGACTTTAATTTTTTTATTCTACAGCATTTTCTTCGCTGGCGTTATAATTCTCTCTATTGTTAGCGCTGTTTGCGATCACTACAATGTTTATGCTAATGAGATCTTACTGTCGTTTTCCCTGAAACGTAATTTCCGCAAGCTTATATCATTACAACGCAGTCAGAATGATATAGCAACTGTCCATGGTGTAAGAGCAATTAATGCACTGATGTTAATAATAGCGCACAAAAGTATGGCTATTTTTTTTTATCCTTATGCCAACAGAACTACTATGGCAGAGGTTTGTCTCAATTACTTTAATTTACTTTTATAATTATTTACAAGTGGGATCTTCCTTAGTTTTGGCCATATTTAGGGAAAAAATTAACATTTTTTTATTTTTATTCTGCTTGTTTTTACAGCGCATTTATTATGATAAAAAATGTCGTTATGTTTTTGGACAAAATTTTTATTATATTTTTTTTTTTTTTAATGTTTTTGATATATTTTTTTCTGAAAAAGACAATTTAAAAAAAAATTGAATATCACAATTTTTTTTTTAATTTCTTAAAATTATGGTGATTAACTTTTTTTTTTTTTTAAATTGTTCATTTTTTTAATGTATTTTTCAAAAAAAAATATATCAAAATTTTCAAAAAAAATTTAGTTCAAAGGAATGAAAATTAAAATGGTGCACTCCATTTGTAAACAATTACCTATACTTTATATTAGTAATTATAATTAATTATATAAGTTATTTATTTTATGTTGGTTTTATTAAACAGTATCTTGGTCAACCTTGGACAGTATTAGGTCGAGCAGCCAGTCTTTATACGGATCCTTTTATCATGCTGTCAGGACTTTTGACCACTTATTCGCTTGTACAGCAATTAGATAAGTCAGGAAAAATTAATATTAAAAAAGAATATTTATCAAGATTACTCAGGTATATTTTTTACATTATAAAATACATCATTAACATGATATTTAAATTAAATCTTTAATTGATTTTTTCTTGGTATTTTTATAGTATTTAAAAAATCTATATTCTTCCCAGATTGGTCCCAACTTTAGGAGCATTAATACTTTTCTGTACTTTTGTAATGCCGTACATTGGTTCAGGACCTCAGTGGAACTTGGTAGTAACTCACCATGCAGAAATTTGCAAAAGAACTTGGTGGAGAAATTTATTATTTATTCACAACTATTTTGGATTTGAAAATATGGTAATATATTTATCTATTTATTTATTTATTTAGCCTTTAACTTAGTAATTTGTTTACAGTGTTTGACGCACACACATCATGTAGGCATTGATACTCAACTATTTGCATTATCTCCATTAATGATATTGACACTGTACAAGTGGCCGAAGTTTGGAGGACTTACACTTGCTATTATTGCTTTATTATCAACAGCATTACGATTTTACGTTACTTATTACAAACGTCTTAGTAATTATGTTTTCTTCGGTACATCGTAAGTATTTTATTTTTATGGATTTAGTACTTCCTCGCAAACAAATAATGATTTATGATGTATCATGGATATATTTAAAATTGCCTCAGCATACGACAGTTGTTTGATACTGCAAATCTTTCATACATATTGCCATCTCATCGATTGACTGTTTATATAATTGGAATTTACCTCGGTTACTTGCTTAGAAGATACCCCAAAGGATTAAAAATAAACAAGGTAATGCCATCGGCACTTTTCTTCATTAAAGTATTATATATATAAAATATTACGAAATAAATAGTTGCTGTTATTTATCTTTAATTTGACAGTCGATCATTAGACTCGGCTGGATAGTGACCTCTTTAGCAGCTCTTTCTGCCTTCTTAGGACCTGCTGGTATGGGTTCCATCCACTATGTCTACGATCCAATACACGCAGCAGCTTATAACGCTTTCGCTCCAATCGGTTGGTGTGCGTTATTCGCCTGGATTGTTGTTGTTTCTCATACAGATAACTCTACAAGTATTTATTTATTTTTAAAAAAATATTTTAATTATAAAATACCTCAATTAAGGGGTTACATGGATTTCCTGATTTCCTCCGGGAAAAAATGGCCTATTTTCATGATATTTAAATTTTCAGTCACTTGACAATTTTTTAATTTTATTTAACAAAAAAATTTGTTCCAAAAAATGATTTTTAAAAATTTGCATTTTTAATTTTTTAAAATTTCTACATGTCAATTTTTTTTCCACAATTTATTTGTCAAAAATATAATTAAAATTATCAAATGTCTGCTAAATTAATTTTAATCATATTTTCAACAATTTTTTTTTTTTTTAATAGAAAAAATGAAATATTTTATTCAAATTTTTTACTCTCAAAAATACATGTTTAATAAGGGATTACTAAAATTAAAAAAAATATTAAAAACTCTGCTAATGTGACTTCATCAGAGGTAAAAAAAAATATGTGCTTTAGTTAAGATTTCAAACTAGGTCTTGAATGAAGGAAAAAAAAATGAAAATTGGATTTTCGGCAAAGGTTTTTACAAAAATATTAAAAATTTGGCTAAACATTTTTTTTTAAATAGTTGTAATTGAAAAAAAAAAAAAACCCTTCGTTCAAGACCTTGTAAATTATATCTCGAATACCTGTCTAAAATTTCATCAAGATCGGTTGAGTAGTTCTCGAGAAATATTGACAACCGTCTTTGAAAACATAGTTTTGAGAAAAACGCGTTTAAAGTTTTGAGTGATAAAACTTTTTAAAACGGCATCTCCGAAACTATTATTCAGATCGATTTGAAACTTAAGGACAATATTCTAGAGACGTAGAATTTAATAAGACAAAAAAAAATTCGATTTTTTGAAACCGTGAAACCCATGTAACCTTTTAATGACTTAAAGTTATTTGGTACAAATAAAACTTTTTTTTTTCTAGCATCGCTCACAAGATTCTTCGGATGGAGAGGCTTTCTAGTCAGCACAAAATTGAGTTATGCTGTTTACTTAACGCAGTTCCCGGTATTTTTCTACAATGTCGGTGTAACTCGTACTTCAGAGACGTATGAATTTGTCAGAATGCACTTCAATTTTAATGAACTTTTTTGGATTATTACAACAGCCGCTGTACTTACACTTTTATTTGATACTCCTTTTCAAAATATTAAAAATTATTGTTTAAGATCTAAATCAAAAGACTTAAAGGCTAATGAAATGATTTATAAAAATGTTAAAGTCGAATAGATCTTAGTTATTTAAGCGTGTACATAGATCTAGTTTACCTTGCCTTAAAAAGCAAAAAATTTATTTATAAGATAAATTGTATTAGGGATTGTAAATATTTTTTTTTTAAGCTATTGTAATTGATTGCACACAATAATTCATTTATATTGTTTATTTTGATACAATCACGATTAAATAAATGACATTAATTACTTTAATATTTAAATTATTAATTACTTTCTTCTGTAAGCGTTATAATGATATTCATTATTACACATAATAACAAGAGTATTTTGTGAGCACTAATTAATTATTATTGCGCACAATTATCACGTTGAAAAGTCTAATTCAATATAACTTTATAACTGGATACGTTATTTACAAGCTTACGCGGTAATTTTAAATGAGTCTTTAATTATTACATTAATTGTAATTGTTAATTATTAAAAAAAAAAAATACTATTAATAGTAACTTAAATAATTAATTATAACTGTAAATATTGGTAAAAATACGCAGTATAAGGTAACATTACATATTAAATATTTAAATCAAAAAATGTTTAGCTGTTTGATCAAATTAATCAACACTTGATTAATCTCACGGTTTTTATTTAACGATTTATGAAAAATCGCGATCACGAAGAATTGTTGGAGCAACTAATGACCAAACATACATTCCAAGACACATCCATGAAGAAATTATTTTTACCCACATGGAAGCAGGGTTGGAGTTCAATGTTTCGAGAGTTGAGTTTGGCCTAAAAATTTTGATTGTTTTATTTAGCAAAAATAACAATTAAATTAAAAAAGTAAATATAGATAAGAAGATAAATTAAATACTTACTTGTACCAATTAGTAAGCGTCATCATAACATAAAGAGTTGCTAAAGCAAACATCAAGTGGAAGAAACTCCAGCTGTAAGCAACGGTATCTTCTTCATTGTCCCAGACCTTGGGTTCAGCTCCAGACTCAGCGTCATGATTGCGGCCCTCTACTGCAACATAGTCTGTTTTCATTTGATAAACAATAAAAGTAAAATAAAAATAAATAAAATCAAGTGAATTGCATTTAAATAGCAGGCTAGAAATAAAATAAAAAGCTTATTATTTTTATAATAATTATTAAGTGACGCTGACACTTGACAAGCGACAGAACAGCCATCGGAATCAAAAAAGGCAGGCACACACATTCTATGTGTATACTACTATTTTTATTTTACTACTTCTCTGTAGGCTGTTTTGTCTTAGGCTACTGAGTTTGTTGCACACTACTCTACAGTCCTTAGCGTATGTGCGTACCTTCGTTGTCGATTAGAGAAGTGTCTCCATTGCGAACTGCGTAAAATTAGCGAGATAAAAGTCAAGAGATTAGGTTTAAAAATATGGTAATACAAGTTCAATATTTACCAGCTCCATTGTCGTTGATGAGAACCTTGTCGCTCATTGTAATTTTTGAAGACTTAGATGCTGTGCGAAGAGAACTGTATAGTACGCAAGAGAACCAAATAATCAGACCAATTACACTCTCCTTGTCGAAGGCAGCTTGGTTTTGTTTACGGATGTCATTGCTAGCAATTATTCCCAGCAGTCCTGGATTGCACTCATGGTCTGTAAAAAGAAAATTTTTTTTTAATATTTGTTACTTATTATTGTTTCAAACTTTGTTGATGAAACACTTACCTGGGCTGTTGGAGACACCACTCCATGTCAGGTAGACAACGTACAGAGACACGACGGAAGCCTGAAGAAGTCCACTGTGTGGTTGGAACTCTTGGACACTCGGCAAAATGGATATAGCGCTGACAATAACGCAGAGGATCAAATTGAACGAAATGAAAAATTTGTTGAGCGAGCAGTCTGATGGCAGAGTGAAGTAGATGTAAAGCAGTGCTACTCCACCAATTGCTAAGCAGTAGTTGAAGAATGTTGCGCTCAACAGTGCTGCGTACCAACATTTAGATTCTGTTTCTTCATAATTACTAACCCAAGCTTCAGCCCAAGAGTGAGCAAAGTCAATTATCAATATTAATTGAATAATTATGAAGAAAAATCCTCCTATCATTCCGAAGTACATCCATACTGGACCAAATGAACCTTCGGGAATGAAAAAGGCTCCTATTACTCCACCAATTACGAGCAAGAATTTTATTGCCCAAAATCTAGAAACAAATTACAATTATTATTTTTGGTTTATAATTTTTTTTTTTTTTTAAGGATATTTCGTTAAGAAATGATGAAACTGAAATTAGCAGACATTTGATAATTTTTTAATTTTTCTTTTAAAATGAACTAGGTCTAGAAAATTATCCTTGCAATTTTATTCCAATTGAAAAAATAAAATTTTCTCAAAAAAACAATTATCTTAAAATTTATAATTCACAAATTATATTTATTAATTTATTGGAGTTGGCTTTTTTTTTTTTTTTTTTAATTAAAATAAAATTGCAAGTGTCAATAAATGGGTCTTTTACCTTAATTTGTTTGTTAAATAAATTAAAAAAATTATTAGATGTCTCTCAATTTTAGTATCGTTAGGAAATATTATTATTATTATTATTATTATTATTATTTTATATAGACTCTTAAACATAGTGTTTGATGTCATTTCATCATTTTGAACTTTTTTTTAATTATTTCCTTCTTTTCTTATTAAGTTTTAACTTTAAGTGAATTCTGATGATAAAAGACCAAATAATAAAAATTTTCTCATTTGAAATTTAATTTCTATATAAATGTTATATCTCATTATTAAATTTTTTTGTTTTATATATTATTGCTTAATTTTTTCACACACTGTAATACTTTATCTATCTTTTGGCTGTTAGGGGACGTTATCCTACAGCCAGTTAATAAGTTACATTACATTATTGTTTTATTATTATTATTATTGTCAGTAAATTACCCATTTTGTATAGGAGCTCGATGATCTTTTGAACTTTTGACCCCTATCATCATCACTGACATCAAGAAGAAGAAAAGTGAGACGATAAAACATATTCGGTAAACTGCTAAGTATCCAACAGCAGACTCACAATCAATTTTAAATGTATCTGGGACGTAATTTGAACTATTGGAGCAAAATGGAACCTGGCAAGAAAATAATACAAATATTATAAATAATAATAATAATAATAATGTAAATAAGTGTTGGAATTTAAAATTAATCTAAAAACATACTTTTTTTAGGACATCTTGAAGCCCTGGAGCCAAAGTGATGCAAGCTGTTATTGTGCCCAGCATCAACATCAAAGCGTACATAATTCGAGCACTTGTACTGTTTCTGCATGACGGACATTGTGAACAGCAAAAACTGCAGGCTGCACTTCCACAGAGACAGGCCGTCTGAAAAAAATATAACAAACGATTTTTCAATAACCTACTTGACAATTTATAAAAAACAAACACAACAAAGAAAAAAAAAAATACCTGAGCTGCTGAACAAGCTATTCCCATTTCGAAGTTATTTAGAGTCTAAAACTCTTATCAGAATTACTGAGTGACACTAGTGCTTTTGATGGTGCAATCTTAATGATCTCTACGTCTTTAATTATTAAATGAATCACTGAAACAATTTCTTGACTTTCAATGGCGGAATCACTTGACTTGATTCTCACTCTGACGCAGTTTACTTAGAATCCTGATAATAATATTGACAAAACGTCAACTGTGACCAACTTCAACTCATTGAATATTTTTTTTACCTACACATATACTCTATTAATTTTAATAAATTTTTTAATTCAAAATGAAACACTTGTAAAAATTTATAAATTGAAAATTAAATTGTTTAAAATATTTAAACTAATTATTTAAAAAAAAAAAAGGAGAATTTAAAATTTAATTTTCAATTTTCTTTACCATCTCCGATATTTCAGGTCAGTCAGCTGATGACATTCAGCCTTCGAAAATTCTCAACACCTTTATAATGGCGCTGAATATTTTATTAGCAAGTTATTTATTTTGTTGAAATTTATTTTTTTCAGTCGGCGCCGGGACGGCTGACAATTAAGTTGATATTGTTGTTTTTCTTATTATATTCCATACACATACCAGTTGATTTCTGCAAGTACAAGTAATGTCTGAGGTAAAGCTTACTCACCAGTTATTAATAACATTTGTAATTTGTAATTAATTAATTCCATTCTTTATTATTTTTCAGAACTATTAAAAGCAATTAGAGATATTACTTAGTTGATATAAATTCAATTAATACAATTAGTGTTTTAAAATAATTAAAAAACAATTAATAATATCTAAGAATCGCTCTGAAAATTTTCAATTAAAAAATAAAGTAGAATAATGCTTGAAGGTTCCCAACTTGGATAGTTATCATAAAATTTGTCAAACTTAAAATTTTATGATACTGACGTCATATTTTTATTTAATATTTAGCTCAAAGATTGTCATATGTTGAAGGCTAATTCAATAGACACGTTATCTAGCATTATATAGGTGTTTTAATGGATTGATGTTCTCACTATATTAGTCGCTATGAATCATTTTTAGCTTCATAATACTCTAGATAGTTTAGTTATTTTAATAAAAGTGTTGACGTTTGAAAATATTATTGTTCCAGGCGTTGGATTGATTTTAATAGCTTTTTGAGTGAATAACGGTACCATGGGTGACAAGGAGGAAGAAAATAAATTAGTCGAGCAGACAGAAGAAAAAATTACCTGGCCTTATATGACAATAAAGTCATTTTCAACTTCTTTGATTTTAAAAGTAGCTGCCGTTGGAGCTATTTGGGGATGGGGCTACATGAACTGGAGTATTGGATGGCTGCTTCCTCCAGTGATACTCTCTGTATGGAAAGTTGAAAATAGCAGAAGCGCAGAGCTTAAGAGACTTACGGCGCAAGCTGCCGTTATGGCCAGAGAAAAAGATATTATTATAAGCAGACTCGATGAATTACCATCCTGGGTTTATTTTCCTGATTTCGACAGAGTTGAATGGCTAAATAAAGTATGCCTTTACATACACATACTTTTAATATTTTGTTTTAATTTATTGTATAATATTGATAATGTTATGATAAATATTTTTTATTTATGTAGATCTTATATAAAGTCTGGCCGGGTATGAATCATTTGGTTCGAGATATTGTTAAAGAAAAAATACAACCGGCTATTGTTCAATCCTTATCAGAATATAAAATGACGGGATTTCAATTTGGTCGATTAGTTCTAGGCAGAATTGTAAGTTGGAAAAATTGACACCATCTATTTTTTCGTTTTTTTTTTTTATACTTTAAACATGACGTCAAATTTTATTTTTAGCCACCCAAAGTTTATGGAATTAAAGTATACGAAACAAACACTTCAAGAAATGAGATTGTTTTAGATTGCGATATTTTGTTAGTATACTTAAATCGTTGATTTTTAATATAATTTATGTTGAAATTTTCTAAAAAAAAAAATTATAATTTTTTTGATAGATATGCTGGAGATTGTGACATATCTTTTTCATTGGGTAATATCAAAGGAGGAATAAGAGATTTCCAATTACGTGGAATGGCTCGTGTTATTTTGAAGCCAATGCTAAATGTTATTCCTCTAGTAGGAGGATTTCAATTGTTCTTTTTGAACAATCCATCGATTGATTTCAATTTAGTGGGAATTGCGGATGTTCTCGATTTTCCTGGATTCAAGTAAAAAAAATTATAATATAAAAATCGACGTTCTAATTAGCAAATTGTCTAACTCCATTTTAGAGAATCTTCCATTTGTACGATAAAACAATTAGTTAAAAATTTATTATCAATCTAAAAAACTATTTAATATCTATTAGAGGTATAATATTTTAGTTTGGATCATTCAAATAATTTAGAATTCAACTATTGCTACATCAAAATGTTAAAAAAATCACCTTCGAGAAAATAAGGAGTTAGATCAATTGCTAATTAGACCGTCAAAATATTTTTCTGTTATTCAAAAAGTTTTGATCTTATGTATTGATAATTTTAATTAATCAACAGCCAAGCATTGCGAAAAGTAATAAAGGAACAGGTTTCCGCAATTGCAGTGTTGCCGAATAAAATAATCGTGCCATTGAGCGAAGACGTACCCGCTGAAGTTTTAAAAATGCCAGAACCGGAGGTAAATTTATATTTGATTACGGAAAAAAAAATATTGTTGAAATAACGTATCCTTAAAATAACAATCTGGTTTTTTGATTTAAGGATTCAATTAAGCATACAGAGAATAGCTTTTGTAAATATATTGTATAATATACAATAGAGTGTGCCAAAATGTAACTTCATTGATGGACCTCTTGGAATTGGAATTTCGAGTTCCGCTTTTAACAGGAGTTGTGTTGGGGCATTTCCTGGCATATTTTGAGCGTAAAAGATTTATTTGATTTTTATAGAATTTTTTAACAGGAGTTTTGTTTGGCACACCCTATTTCATATATATGTAGTTTCATCAAAACAGGCAACTGTTTTGTTAATTTAAGAATCTGTATAGTTAAGTCAACTAAGGGCCAGTTTTTCAACCCCGGGTTTAAGTATTTCATCATTGTGAATATATCTATATATATATATATAATAGATATATAAATATATTCACAATAATAAAATACTTAAACCCGGGGTTGAAAAACTGACCCTAAATGTAACGCCTAAAATAATGATACGGATCGTCATTTTGACTATCCGTTGTATAGCTGAATTGGCTATACAAAGTAATAATTAATTAAAAAAAAAAAAAAAAAATATCTCTAAGAAAAATAAGTATACGATGCATAGTCAGAATAACGATGCGTATCCTTATTCTGACAATATTTTTTTCTCCGTGATCATCTTTGAGTGAAAAGAGAATGCAATAATTTATTTTTCAGGGAGTATTGAGGATTCATGTTGTTCAAGCGAAGCATTTGATGAAAAAGGACATTGGAATGTTGGGCAAAGGGAAATCCGATCCTTACGCTGTTATCAATATTGGCGCCCAGGAATTTAGGACGAAAACAATCGATAACACCGTAGATCCTAAGTGGGACTACTGGTGTGAGGTATGCGTCGCTTTTATCGTTTATTGTCAGAAATATCGGCTGTTTGTGCACGTGCTTAGCTGAAAAATTGCATTCAAAGATTTTTATTGTTTAGCCTTTACTATTTTAAAATTCAAAAATTATCTTCGAGTCACTTCAAATGTAAGCTTTAGTCAAAATACTTATTACAATAGAGTACATTTTAATTTTTCCAGAGGAAAAATTTTTAGCGTTATTGAAAGTAAGCTTCATATAAATTTTTTAATTCATCTGAAGCAAGCACGTACGATAGTTGATTTACCAAATTTTTCATATTAATTAGTAAACTTACTCATTAAAAAAAAAAAAAAAATTCCTAAATTTGTGTGTATGCTATGTGATGCGTGTATATTTGTATGGGATTAGTGTATCGTGACATCAGCCATCGCAAGTTTGATCACCATATCTTTGTGGGACTACGATGACACAAAGGGTGACGAGAGCCTCGGAAGGTATGCTATAGATTTATTATTATTATAAATTTTATAACTCTTCATTCATTTTCATCATACTTTTTATTCAAATTTGGGTAAATGCTTCTAAAGTCCTCTTTTAAAATCAAAGTATCCAATAAAATAAATTATAACGAACTAATTAGTTATTTGGAAGTAATTATCTTTACCTAGAATTTTTATTTTACCAAATTAAAAAATGCTATCATTACTCAACCTTCAATTTTAATTACAAAGTTTTTATAAAAGCTATTATTCATTCTTCGTAACTAATATTGATTAATAGTAGCCTATCGTGACAATGTCAACTTCAAGAGTTTGAATTCTAGAAATTAAATATTGATTTTTAACGCAGTTCTATTTTTTATTTATTCAATACTTTATTTTTTGATTTATTGAGAACACAAAAAATATTTATTGACTAAAGCAATTTAAAAACACCTGTAATATTTTTTTTTTTCTATTATTTTAATAATATAAAAAAAAAACTTGGAAGCATCTATCCTATTTGTAATTTTTTTTTGGGTAATTATTATTTGCGCTTGCTGTATTAAGCTTATGATTTTTTATTGCTTATGCATTAGTTGGATTAATACGCATTGTGTTGTTAATTACTAACAAAAGTTTTGTGTATTGTGGTTTTGTCTTGTCTACTTGTCCTAATTGTTGTCTCTATTTGTATTGTGTACTTGAAAATGTCTTATTTGTTTGTTATTTATTTGTAATAAATAATGAATTATCCAAACATGTCGATAAATAAAAACGGTGTTTATTGTTAAAATTATGCCATGCAGGCAATCATCAATACACGAAGCTCAGGACTAGAAGTTGCTATAAGTCTTTGGGATTGGGATCCAAATTTTCCTGGGGTTGAAACTGACGATTTACTTGGAAGGTAGTGCCTAAAATGATCGGTTTGAATTAATGCGTAGTTATAACGATTAATAAAATTAGAGCTTGTTGTCCGGCTACTGACACTTTTTTCCAATTTTTTTTTTTTTTAAATACATTTTAAGGATAATCAATAATAGAAAAGTAAAAAACTAATTCCTTTTACAATTTATTTTTTTTAATTTGAAATAACAAACTAAATCCGCTTGTGTGGTGGCAGTTTATAGTGGAACAGAGCTCAGGAGTCAACAACAAAGTCATAACTCATCTTTTTGACAAAGACAAAACCGGACAAGATGATCAGCTCGGAAGGTATTTTGTTTATTGTCAAAAACAAAATTAATTACGAGTAATCCCTTGAATGTACTTAGTTTTTAAAAAGTATTCGTATTAGTTTATAGTATTTTATCTTTAATTAATTTATAAAAGAACAAATGTATCTAATTTAATTAGAAATAGAAATAATTTATTGATTTGCATTTTACTAAATTTATAAATTTAACGCATGATATTCATTTAATTTTTTAACATTGTTATTAATATAAAAATAACTTATTACAAACTGGTGTGCTAAAATGTACAGTTTTTTAAAAGTGGGTTTTCGCATGAATTGCTGTGTGTAAAAAAATCAGGATTCTTTTTTTTTTATTATTTTTTTTTTGCATACCTCTAAACAAAAGTAATCGTTATATACCTACTAGTTGCATTTTATGCCATTCATTTTTATTTATGTTTTTTTTTATTTTCACAAAACACGCGACATTCATTAGTACTGTTATATCATTTCACAAAATGGTAATATTTACGATAAGTGCATTGAATATTTTAAATAATCGAATTTATGTACATGTGAAGAGCCAGCATCGAGGTCAGCAAAGTCAAGAAGAGGGGCACAATCGATAATGTAAGTAGACACGTTCAAAAAATTTTAATTATTTTGTTGTTTGATTTATCAATTAAATTTTATTTTATTTTTCAGTGGTTTACACTCGAGTTTGCTAAACATGGAATGGTACATCTCCGATTGACCTGGTTGAATCTTTCGAAAAATGTTGCTGACTTACAGGCTGTATGATGAAATATTTTTAGAGACAATTATGAATCAATTGACTATTTATTTAATTAATTAATTATGTTGTGGGTTATTTAGGCGTTGATGGAAACTCAGCAGCTACGTGTAACGTCAATGAGTACTGCGATTTTGACATTATTCGTCGACTCAGCTAAAAATTTACCTTGCCTCCGGGGTAGTAAACAGCCTGATGTTTACTTGGAAGCAAGTGTTGGTAATAAAACAGAGAGAACTGCTACGATGTTGCGGTCTTGTGACCCGATTTGGGAGCAAGGGTTCACCTTTTTAGTCGGAAATCCAGAAACAAGCAGTTTGAATATTAGAGTAAGTTTTAAAATTATTTTTGAAAAAAATTAGCAACGCTGTAGTAAGAAATTAATTTGTTTAAAATTTTATACAATTTTATTTATTAGTTGAAAAATTAAAATTTTTCTTACAGTAATTTATTTGTTGAAAAAAAAATTTTATAGATTTAGAAAAAAAATATTTCAGATAAACAACTAATCATTGAAATTCATTAAAAAGATTGTAGATGACAAAACAGGATCAGTAGTAGGAACACTAACGTACAGTATCTCAATTTTAATGACCAAATTAAATCTCGAAGACATGCAGCATCCTTATGATCTCCAGAACGCTGACCCTGAAAGTAAAGTGATAATGTCGATGTCTTTACACCTTTTAAAATATGAAACACCGGAGATAAATATCGACGAGGAAGAAGACGAAGAGGATTTCAGTCAGTTGCAGAAAAAAATCGAGCGTCAAGAATCTAATATCAGTTTTTCTCAAAGCAGCAGTGGTAAATTATTGATTCCGCATTTAAACAATTTATTTTTTCTACTATCATAAACATCAAAGTTAATTTATGTCATAAATTTATGGAAATTAAGTTAGCTGACATTTAAAAATTTTTAGAATTTTTTTTTTTTTATTGAAAAAGATATAAAAAAAAAAATTAAAATAAATTTTTATTTCTAAAAAACTAAAAGTGCAATTTTTTAAAAATATTTTTGAGTTCTAATTTAGTAAATTAAAAATAATTAAATTATTAAATTATTAAATAATTAAGTAAATGAAAAAATGAAAAATGTCCGCTTACTTTAGTATTATTATAAATTTTAGTTCCGACAACCCCGCTGAAGAAACAACCCTCCAAAGAGTCAATACACAGCGTTGCAAACAGCACAGTTTCAAGTTCCGCTGCAATCCCACCTGTAGCCGAAGTTGAAAAAAATATTGATAGTGAAATGATAATTCTATCGGAGTCTGTGAATAGCAGTTCAACCCACCCTCAATTAATTCAACGTCATTTTAGTATAACATCGTCTGCTGGAGACTGGAAACTCGGTAGAATTCAGCTGACACTTCGTTACAGTGTCCCCCGACAAAAATTAGTGGTTGTAGTTCATAAAGTTGCGTAAGTATTTATTATTTAATCATCTATTTTGAAAAAAAAAAATTATTTGTTAGAAAATAAAATTATTAATCAATTAATTAATTGTTTCAGCAACTTACCTTTGCCTTTGAATGACCCGTCAAATATTCCTGACCCGTATGTAAAACTTTACTTGCTCCCAGATCGGCATAAGGAAACAAAACGCAAGACAGCTGTTCTCAAGGACAATTGCAACCCAATTTACGACGAACAATTTGAATATGTTGTATCTCAAGGTGACTTGAATGAACGAATTCTTGAAATTTCAGTGTGTACGCAAAAAGCGTGGCTGTCTTCTAGCAACAATATTATGGGTCAAGTTCGTATAAATTTATCGGAAATCGATGTCACCCAAGCATTTACAAATTGGTATGATTTGATGCCAGACATAAAAAAAGAGTAATTTAAAAGTTTTCTAACTTAATCTCAAAGTTTACTTAACGTTAACGGACTAATTTTTTTTATTATTATTATTATAATACTAATATATTAATAAAATGCTAATTTTTCATATTAAATTTAATTAAGAAGTTTATAAAAAATAAAAAAAAAAATAATGTTAATATCGAAGGCAGGCCTTTACTTCAATTAATCTATGCGAAAATCATGTTAAACTAAAAAATATGTTTACATAAGAAATTAATAAATATAACTTTACAATCAATTAAATATTAATATTTTTTATACACTTTAATTTAATCCATTTTTTTTTTTTTTTTTTTAATTAATTCAATAAATAAATCGTCATTTTTCCAATATTATATTTATATACTAAACATTTTTTTTATTGAATGTTGGGGGAATTTAGAATAAAAATAGTGAGATAAAGGAAGTCTTAAAAGAAGAAATCAGTAAATCTAAATATTTATCAAAAATTATGAGGATTTGCGCAGTTATATATTTCAGAGAGAAGTACTAATTAAAGTAACTAATTAAACTAATTAAAATAGTAATTTTATGAGTATAAGGTAAAAGACCCAGTTATTGAGCCTTGTAATTTTATTTTAATTAAAAAAAAAAAAAAAAACAAATTAACTCTAATAAAATAATAGATATAATTTTTGAATTAAAAATTTAATAAATTGGTTTTTGAGAATATTTAATTTTTTTAATTAGAATAAAATTGCAAATGTCAAACAACTAGGCCAGTGTCAATAATCGGGTCTTTTACCTTACTTTATGATAAAAAATTTTCAGAATAACAGCTTAATTTTATTTTTTAGCTTATTGAATTTTTATAATACTTTTTTTAATGTTGATAATATTTGTATACATAGACTTTTTTAATACGTTTGTTGGACAATATTCAGAATTAATGTTCCAATATATAATAATTAGATTTTTTTTGTAATTGTATAATATCTTTTAGTTATATGCTTTAATTTAACAATATTATATATAATATATTGAAAATTAATTATTTAAAGTAACTATTACAATATTTAAAAACTGTTAAAAATAGTTTTATATTATTAAATATGTTGAGCAAAAATAAGTTTGAGAATAATTTGCTATCACAATATATCACTGTTAAATAATTTCATTTATCAAAATATATATTAATCTTAATTCACTACAAAAAATCTTATTAAATAAACTAATTGGTTCATTTATATTTAATAAATTCGTTTCTTGTAATTAATTTATAAGACAAAAAAAAAGATCATTTGATATATAGAGCAGTAAATTGGTCTTAGCATAGTTTGATTAATACTCAAAATCATGCATGTTGGTCAAAATTGAATTGATAAGTAACAGTTGTTCTGAAGACATTTCAAGATTACCAATTTCATTGCAGAAATGTAATTTATAAAAAGATTTACCTCGCCAAAATGGAATAATACATTCAATACACTTTGCTGCTGGACGAAAATCGACAGTTGATTCCTTACACTTATCACAAATACGACCTCGTAATTTTTTATTCGACGTCAATTTATGATTGATAAAACTTTTGGAATAATTTTTATATTCATCTTTATCATTTTTATAGCAAAAGGTGCAAATAATTTTACCTTTGCAGACCCAAGCAATATCTTCTGAACAGAACATTCGTCCAAATGGCGCCCAGTTCTTATTCATCAACAGATTATCCAATAAATCATCTTCAGAAGTAGCTTTTTCGATCAAAATATCAATCGCACGATTGAACTCTTTTATTTGTTGTTTTTTGAAATACTGCCGAATATTCTGGTCCTTTATAAATTGTTTACATTTGCTAAAAACCAATTTATACTCTAGTATTTTCACATATTCCTTCATGTTAATATGCTTATTCACTGGTTTAAAAGTTGATAATTCTAGAGATGGACAATATGTTGGTGAATGCTGAGCATTGATGATCTCGATATCAGTAACAAAAGTTACCAGTTTCGATGTTTTCTTCTTTCCCTTTAAATGTTGTTCTTCTATTTCTTCTTCATTTTTCTCAGTTTCTAAATTGTCCACTTCGTCTTCTTCAATAACCATTTCATTTTCTTCATTCTCCATCGCATCCAAATTTTCCACTTCGTTTCTAATATTTTCTTCATCCTCTTCTTCTTTTCCATCATCTTCTTCTTCTTCACCTGTGTTTTCTTGATTTTCTTCAGCATTGATCATTAAATCCTTTTCGCCTAGTTCTACTTCTTGTTCTTTAGATACATGTTCTTTTTCTTCTTCACATTGAATCATCATGATTTTTTCCTCTATCTCTTCTATTTCATCGGCAAAAACTTCCACTGCCGCTAGATTTACATTTTTACCTTGAACTTCCTTTTCTTCCTCAGCTTCTTTTTCTTCATCTGTTTCATTAACAATCGAATTTTCTGAAACATCTAAGTCTATAATTAAACCACATGAAGATAAATCCTCATCTTCATCTTCTTCCGCCTCAACTTCTTCTTCATTTTTTTCTTTTTCTTCGCCATTCGTAGCTAAGTTTTCTTCATTTACTTGGACTTGTTCTTTTGAAAAATTTTCTTCTGTCATGTAATCAGAGTCTTGCATCGTTTCATCACATAATAAATTGTATGAAATTGAATCGTTGTTCTCATCTACTTCATCTTTCTCTTTTTCTTCCTCGCATTTTTTTTTTCCATTTATTTCTTCTTTTAAATTTTCTTCTTCATCTCTTGCATTTACTTCTCTAATTTCGCATTCACTTACTTTCGTCCCCTCTTCTTCTAAATCTTCCATTTTTATATTTTCCGTTTGTTCATTTTCTAATTCTTTCTCGCCTATTTCTTCTTCTAGTTTTCCATCTTCTAAGTCATCAAGAATTTGCATTATTTGATTATGAACATCAAGTTTCCAATCCCAATATACACCATCTTCTTTTGCTGTTTCAACTACTTCTTCTATCCAATCGTCTTCCACTTTTCTACTTACTTTTTCTTCTGAAGAAATACTTTCACCTCTACCTTGTTTCTGACACGGAAGTTTTAATATTTTTTTGTCTTCTTTATCACGATTTTTTATTTTATCTTGTTCACAATCTTTTGTTCCAATTTCTTGATGGGACAATGCATCTGTTTTCTTACTCATTAATAGATTTGTAGAAGAGTACAAATTTTTTAATTGATGTTTCTTTTTTTTATACTTACCACGATGAGAGATTATTTTAACTTGATATTGTATTTCAAAAGAATAAATCCAACTATATGGTGCTCCAAAATCATACGTATGACTTAATGATTTATGTAATTCCAATGCTTTTTCTCGGAACTTTTTTCCATTAATTTCATGACGCTGACTTTGCATTTCACTTAACCAATTCAAAAGATTTTGATCGAGCTCTTTTTTTTGATCACGTTGACTTTTAAAACTAATAAAATTATTCACTTTTTCGTTTACTTCTTTATTTTCTTCCGTCATAACTTTTTTTATTTCCACTTGCGTTTCATTAATTTTTTTGCCTTTATTCATTTTTTTTGTTTGAGTCAATACATTTGAAGTTTGTAGGCCGACATCTAGACTCACTTGTTTTTCATCATTAACATTTTTAGTAGAATTATCTGAAATAGTAGAAAAATCACACTGGTTTCTCAAAAATTTTATCAAACTTTTGTTTGATTCATGAGCCGAAAGTTTTTTTTCTTGTTTTTTATCTTCTATTATTCCAAATGGAGATACTTTATCACCTGTAATTAGACTTCTTGTCTCTATATCGTCTTCATTCACAAAATGTTCCACATTTTTCTTAAAAATTGGCTGATTTAAAAATTCAATAATTTTTACATTTATTTCTTTACTATTTTTTTTCTCAACGTCTTTTTGAATTTCTTGTTGATCCTTTTCTTCGCGATCGACTGCCCTGTTTTTCGGAGAAAGAAATAACTTTAAAAAAAAATTTTCTTTTTCTTTTCCCAATTCTTCATTTTTTTCATTCATAATAGCTTCCTGATCAAGTACTGTCGATTTTTCATCCTTATTTTCCGACTGATTATCTACCTTATCTTCTTCTTCTTCCTCATTTTTAATTCCTTGAAAAGTAACTTTAACTTTGTGAGTTCTTTGGAAATGCCGAACCCAAGAGTTAGAAGCTCTAAAAGGATACGACGGTCCCATCTCTCTATACCAATCCATAGTTTTTTTTTGGAATGCTAATTGGTCAAGTGGAAGCCCTTGACTTTTGAGCTCTCTTACCAAGATCAGAAGACGTTGTTCAAGTTTTTTATATTTACGCGACTTAGCCATTAATTTTTTCATTTTTGAAAATGGCAAAATTAAACTTCTTGTAAGCTTCTTATTTTTATTGCGATTTTTTAGGATAGTTGATAGTTTTGATATAGTTAGGCCGAATTTCATCATAATCTTTCAGTTTTTATCTTAATAATATTTAATATTAAATTATTAATAATTATAATTACTATTAATATTAAATTAAATTATTTTCATCTAAATAATATTTAAATTCGTCACTACTGAAACCCAGTGATTGAAATTTTTTCTCTAATCTTTTTGTTGTTATTAATTTTTCATTTTCATAATATGTATTCACTATTTTTTAAATTGTATCTTCACGTAAATAATAAAAGCCTAATTTCTTCTAAAAATCAATCATTATTCGACGTTCTAAACAATTCTTCAACTTAATCACTGTAATAATAAATAATTTTGATTATTAAATAAATCACTGAACTAATCTTTTAAGATAATATTTACCAATTAATGATGAAAGAATGAGTTTGAATAATTCCATTAATTAAACTGAAAATTAAAAAAAAGTAAGTAAAGATAAATAAATATTATTATTTCACTGAAGAAAATTTATTTGTTAGCTTACATGCAATGAGAATTTATCAAAACATCACTAGAATTTCTATTTACAAAGGATTGTAAGTCTCTGCTCTGTTGACGAGTGTAATATTGATTTGCCTTCAGTGTGATGTAGATATATTTAACTGATTATATGCGCAACAAGATGAATGAACAGATGTAACACCAAATGTCAGCGTCGACTAATAGGAAATTTGGCTAATAAGCTCTTGCGTATGCATATAAAAATTTACAGCAATTAATAAAAAAATTTGAGACAATATGAATTATTATTGATGCAATTTATGATAACATTTTTTTATCCTTTTGAAATTTATAAAAAATTGATTGATGAGTCTTTAAAAATTTTACAAAAAGTAAAAATTTTAAATTGAATTTATTAAATTCTTAAAATTAATTAGAATAATTTTTAATAAATAAATAAATAAGAATAATTTTAAAGTTTATAATAAATTTAATTTAATTTAATAGGAACTAAGGTAGATCATAGAAAATCATATGGTAGGATTACAGTTTCAGTTCCTTATGACAGTCAGCCTGGAATACAAAAAAAAATTCGTGAGAATAATGGCTATAAAATTTTGACAGATTTAATAACTTTAGACACTTCCGAAAAAGCTTCAGTGCGAGTTATTATTCTTGCCGACCCCGTAAGTGCCGATAAAATTTTTAAATCAGGAATTCTTATTTATAAATTAAATTTTATATTTATTAAAAAATAATTCTATATTAATGATTACTTTCTAGGATGAACACGAAACTTGCCCTTGAGCGTCATCGGAGGCATTGAAATTTGATTTGTCATTTACTGAAGCACCCGCTGAATATATGGAAAATAAGAATTATTACCTATAATAAGCAATTGATTGTTAAAAAATAAAATAATTTTAAAAAAATGTCTTTTACCTATTCGTTTTAGTTTTGTTTGCTTCATATTTTTTTCTATGTGGTTTTTCATAATTCAATCCACACTTCGAGTGCTTATAGTATATTCTTTTGCTATTTCCCTAGAGCTTTTCTTTTACCGGAATTTTTCGCTTCAATGACTTCTAACTTGACCGCTGGACTGATAAGACGTACAGGCACATAATTTTTTCTTTTTTTGGGCTGTACAGCGTTTGTTAATTTCATTACCGTGGCTAATGGTACATCATCCAAAAATTCGACATCGTTAAATTATGTAACTTATGATACGCAACAACAAGTCATAAATATTAAGCTCAAAAAAAAAAAAGATTATAGCCACTTAAATAGTTTAATGAGGTCTTTAAATTTATTATTTTTTCCTTTGAATATTGACAGTTGAGTCACTTTCGTATTCCCGAATATAGCCGAGCTCAATTTCGGTGGGAAATCTCATTTTGAATACCGCTCTAGTGTCGAAATTATGAACTAACACTAGTCAATAAAAACATTCCAGCTGATTCATAAATTCACACAAGTGTGCTTGTGTTATTGTTTTTGTTATTAAATTGTCAGAATTTATTAATACTTTAATTACTATCAATAAGAAATTAGAATAATAAAAAAATGACAGCACCGTCACAAACAAAGTCGCAGTTAAAATTACCCGAACCTCATCACTATGGAAATGAGCCGATCGAGTTCGGCTTTCGAGTGGGTAACCTCTTCATTCTTGACATTACACCTAAAATGTTTACAAAAAATGAGTTTGACGTTACTTATTTTCATCAATGTCTTGATGTAAGTATCTTTCAATTTATCTAGCATTAAATAGGATTAATAATCATTGACAATAATTTTTAATTAATTTTTTTACATCCTTGCAATGTAGACTTACTTAAACGTCTTGAAAAAAAAGCTATCAGCGAATTCCGAAGATTGGATGGGTCTGATATTATGTAATGTAAAAAAAGATCTATTGGCAGATGAATATCCGCCAGATGATGAAAATGATCCTGAGCCGAAAAATGTATTGACACTCCAAAAATTTCAACCTGTTGAACGGGAAATGTTTATGGATATCGCAAAAATACGTAAGTTTTAGTTTTATTTATAATAATGAAATCAAAAGACATTTTTATTTTATTTTTAAACAATACACTGAACCCTAAAACAAGACCATTAAGCGTGTTCCATTAGAAAAAAAAAATAAAAGTTACGTTTTATTTAATAATAATGAAAATTAAGTTAGCCGATATCTAAAAATTTATAGAATTTTTTTTTATTTAAAAAATTGTTACAAAAAAAAGTTTCATTCGTAAAAAACTTGAAAAACTACAAGTGCAATTTTCAAAAAATATTTTTTAGTTCTAATTTAATAAATGAAAAAAAAAAATTGAAAACGTCGGCTAACTTTAGTATTATTTAATAATAATACTTATAAGCAATAGTAATAGTAATAAGTCCGTATTTAGTTTAACTAGTAAGTACAAAAGTACATAAAGTGCTCTGACTCAAACTCTATTTGATAGACATAGTTTCATATTTAGATAGACATATTAATAGTAAACATTTATTGCGATTAATTATAAAAATTACCAACAATATTAATTAAATTTTTAGGCAACGGAGATATTGATCGCTTCAAACAGTTATGTACTGATGATTATTCAATATCTGAGGCCTTTCTTCACGCGACTCGAACTTACAACAGAGTAAAAAAAATAATGGCGTCTCGTAAAGTGTATTTTTTAACTTGCGAGGACGACCCGGAGCCATCCGACCCCCAGGAGCTTACTAGCATCCGAATAAACGCGAAAAATTTTAAGGACCTCGCTATAAGACTCCACGTGATTGGCTTAGGCGACCAGTGGAAGTACGACCTCTTCTTCAAAGAAATAGAAGAAATATCTGAGAATCTTGCAGCTAGGCAATTCCGCCGAGTTGATTTAAACGAACTGGAAGATAATATCACCCACAAATCTTTCGTCGCTGCCAATTTACATTTAAGGATCCAATCCTTAAAAATTAAAGTGACCATCCAAGCATTTTCCAGACCACCAAGACCAATGACTAAAATTACTGCCAGCAAAGCTACTAATGAACCGCTGGACAAGTATACTTGGTGGACATTCGATGACATGTTTGATGACGAGGACAATAACGGAGAAGAAGTTAGGTTTGCGCAAAATCCTTACGACATAAAACGCGCTCAGAATTACGGCGGGAGAAAAATTCTGTTCACTCCAGAAGAAGTCAGGGGACTACGTCATGTCCATGAGCAAGGAATTGATCTTTTAGGGTTCAAACCGATGCCAGAGCGTGGTCCTATGGAGCAAATAAGCAACCCGTATTTCCTTGGGTGTAATAGTCAAGCCAGTAAAGGACAAATTGAGTTCTTTGCTGTCCTGCTATCGAAAATGGTCGAGAAAAAGCTTATGGCAGTCTGCTGCATTACCACCAGAAAATTGGCACCTCCTAGATTGGCTTATTTGATACCTTATGTTGAGTACGGTGGCTTTTATCTCTTCCGCATTCCGTTTAAGCACGAGGCGAGGGACATTGATGAATTAACGGAGAAATATTTTTTCGATGAAGAAAACCCGGCGCCGATAAACGAGGAGAAGCTGGGACTGATGAAAAATCTTGTTAAAAAATTGAGTGTCAAGTATGATGTTACAATGTTCCAAAATCCTAAATCTCAGAGACAACAAATTGTTTTAGAGAACTTAGCTCTGGATTTACCACCGCAGGAGCTACCGGCTGATACTACGGTTCCTTCTGTGGAGGACATTACCGATCGTCTCAGTCAGGGGAACCTTTATGACCGGTTACAAAATGTAATTTGTCCTAATGTCCAGATTGTACCTCCTGCTAAAGTTATCAGGGCCGATGATGAGTATGTTAAGGAAGTTTTGGAGGCTGGAGACTTTGCCAGACTTACTAATGATAAGTTAAAAGCGGTTCTCAGAGCTCTCAACTTAAGCATTCAGGGAAAAAAACAAGATTTTGTTAACAGGCTTCAAGAGTACAAAGCTACGAACTTATAAATATTTTAATTCGTGAATTCTTAATCAACCATTACCTCTCAAAGAGTTTAGTTTTATGAGAACAGTTTATTGATTTTTAGTTTTTTATTGTATAAGATTGATGTTTTTTCTGGGTATACCTCACTTTTGTATTTTAAAATATAATAAATGATATTTTGATGTAATCGAGTGGTTATATGTTTTATATTATCCGTAACGAATTATGTTAATGATTACCTAGTAGTATCAATATTTACATCATTCTAAAAATATTTTATTTTTTTTCTAATAAAATTTATTTCGGTTTTTATAGTTCTGTAATTTTATAATAAAGTTTTAGAGAGAAAAATTTTTGAAATAAAATTTACATTAAATTTTAATAAAATTCTTTATTAGAAATTTTAAGTAGTGACTATTATTGCGAAAGTTTAAGTTGTACTTTATTTTAGACAATAAGCGACAAGTTTATCTTATAATTTAAAATAAGAATCATTTGATAGTAAAAATAAATGAGAAAAAAAAATTAAATTTTGTTTAATAATTTTGAATAATAGTTTAATAGAAAAAAAAAAGTGAGCTGTCAATTTTGGTTTAGTTTTATTTTAAAATTTAATTTGCTAAGAAAGAATTAATAAAAGGTTGTTTGAAGTAGACACCGTTACTAAGGTAACAAAATAACAAGTAGCTCAATATATAAACACACTTGTCATCTAACAACTTTGACATCTCACTATTGTATTAAATACCAAACAATTAAAAATTTATCTTGATAATCAAAATATGGAAGACAAAAATTCTTATCGTTCATTAGCCGTTCCTCCTCTTCCAGGATACAATACCAAACCACCCGTAAGTAAAATCTCTAATTTTATAGCTAAATTCTCACCAACACACTGTAAAAATTAATTTAGCAGATATTTGATCATTTTTAAAATTTTTGTAACAAATAAAAAGTTTTAAAAATTAAAAATTAAATTTTTCTAAAAACAATTTTTTGGAACTAATTTATTTGTTATATAATGATACTGTATATTAATTTCAATATCAATGAAAATTAAGTTAGGAAATATTTAAAAATTTTTAGAATTTTTTTTTATTGATAAAATTGTTAGAAAAAAAAATTTTTCATTTGTAAAAAAACTTGAAAAATTATTAATAAAATTAAAAAATGGTCAAGTAACTGATAACTTTGATCTTATCAACTTATTTTATTAAGGCTGAAAAGAAAAACCATCATATAAGTCAATTGCTTGACAAAATTCACGACGGAGTTAATTACTTGACCGAGCGATCTAGTATTAATCAAATTCGCGACCCGTCATTTTACCCGTACGATGAGGAGAAACGAATTCCACCTTGGCTGGCCTACGATGGCCAAAGACTCATGTTCAAAGCATTTTTCCAAGAGTCCGTTCAAGAGCGAAGAGAATCCGGTCGCCAGATTCGGGTCGTAACGATAAGTTTTTTCCTGGAAGATGGAACCATGAAAATTGTAGAACCGTCTGTCAGCAATAGTGGATTAGAACAAGGTATGTACTGTAAATAAATATGAATATTAATAATTTAGGAAATTTAAAACAAATAAATTACCAAAAAAAATTGTATTTTTTATTTTTTAAAATTTCTACAAGTCAATTTTTTTTGCCATAATTTATTTGTTATAAAATTATTAAATAAATGCAAAATTAATTTTAATTTATTAATAATTAATTATCAGAATTATTAATAGAGATTAATCACTGACTTTTACAGGTGTATTAGTGAGACGTCAAAGAATACCAATGCCCGATCCCGTAAAGTACAGATTTTTCGATATAATTGATTTAAATATCGGAAAAGAGCCAGAAATCTTTGGGCGAGTGTACAAGATTGTTGATTGCGATAAATTTACCCGTAGATTTTTAAATCGCATGGGTATCGCAGTGCCTGATCCAATAGAAATTCCATCAGATCCTTACAATGATAACCGAAGTATTCCCGTATTTCCGAAGAAGCCCAACAGAAAGCCCGATAACCTCGGTAAATTTTTAAAGTACGATCGCAAGGTTTTGAAATTTACTGGCTACTGGGACGACACTGCCAGTGAGTATGGAGTCATTCATGATCTAGAATTGAGATTGTATCTGGCTGATGACACGATTGAAATCAAGGAAATATTGCCCGCAAACTCTGCAAGAGACATGAGCTCGATGTTTATTAAGCGGATGAAAATTCCCAAGGTAAAAAATAATTTGTGCAATTTTTAGCTTAAATTTATTCCAACAAAATTTTATTAACTGGAGTTAAAAATGGTTTTAATTCTAGTTCTACTCTGGCATCGACCCCATAGGTGTCAATGATCCTTTCACGGTTCTGAATGTGCTAGGAGAGAGTACAGAGCAAAGTTACTTGATCGCAGATTCATTAAACACCGGTAAGCTGGCCAAAGAGTACTACAAAGACAGCGATCTGGCTATTGGTGTTAGGATCAATGTGTTTGGTCGTGAAGTCGTCATTACTGACCTTGATCCTGCTACGAGAGAGTATTATAGGTATTTTTTTTTTTTTTTATTTTATTTATTATTATTATTATATTTTTTTTGTTGTATTCTAACACAATAAGCTCGTTGATTTTTACTCTATTAATTCTTATACTCCAATTCTTCTAATCACAAGGAACAAGTATGGCATAGAAGAATTCAAACCGCTTGAACGGCCGGATACAAAGCACGATTACTATTGCACGAGTGCCGAAAAATACAACCCACCGCCGTACAATGGTTTTGGCTCTTATGATGATTCGCTGGGTAACTGCTTTAGGGTCGTTCCCAAACCACCTAAACTTGACTACGTGAGACTATTCTCATACGATAAGTATGCTTATAACATACTGTGATTATTTATTAACAATATATATATATATATAATATACCAGTGTGAATTCAATCATTTAGATCTAAATTTTATACTTTTTTTGATTTTTTAGCAGGATTACATTTTTTGGTAAATATTTATAAGGGGGTCAACTATTTTAATTTTCATTTTTTTTGAACGAAATTTCTATTTGATTTTATTGATATATTTTTTTTTAATACATAAAAAAATGAACAATAAAAAAAGGTGATTTATTAGGTAAAAGATCCAATTATTGACACTTGCAATTTTATTTTAATTAAAAAAAAAAAACAAATCAAATCTAATAAATTAATTAGAATAAAATTATAAGTGATAAACAACTAGGCCAGTGTTAATAACTGGGCCTTTTACTTTGAATTTTTATGAAAATGAAGATAGCCGACATTTCAAAATTTTTAGAAATTTTTTATTGAAAAAATTTCAATTAAACAATTAAAAAAAAAATTGCACTTGTAAAAAAACTTGAAAAACTATAAGTGCAATTTTTTGGAAATATCTTTTTAGTTGTAATTTAATTAATAGAAAAAATAAAAAATTTTTAGACGTCTGCTAATTTCAGTGTCATAAATTTTTTTTAAAATTGTAATATTAAACTTTTTTTTTTAAGTTATTCATTTTTTTATGTACTTTTCAAAAAAATATATATTAAAAACATCCAAAAATTATAGAATAGAAATTTTATCCAAAAACATGAGAGCCAAAATTTTTTCCAACTTTTGAGGATAAAAAATCTATCGAAAATGTTAATTTTTTACCTAGGTATGGCCCAAATTGAAGTTGACCTCACTTTTAAATAATTACCCATTTATTTTAATTCAAAGAAATTAATGTTATGTAACAATTATTTTTTTTTAATTAAAAATTAAATTTTTTGCTGGGTACAAGATCAAAGTTTTGCTGAAATTAAGTTACTATAATAATTTAAATAAATAAATGTTTACAGGGAAGATAAAGACAGCCACATATTAAGATTCGGAGCCAGAATGATATCCGAAGTTCCAGAAAATGCAGACCGGCTGTTTGTAATCAATATTTATTTACAAGATAACACAATATCGATTTTTGAATTAGCACCAAAAAATACGGGATTTCAACAGTGTTACTTCCAGAAGCGCATGAAAGTGATGCTACCAGAACAAAAGGTTTATTCAAGTGATAAACCGAAATTTTATGATCCCTGCTCTTTTTATGTCGGAGCACGTCTCAACCTTGGAAAATTTATCTTTGAAATAACTTCCGCTGATGACTACGCTATCCGTTACATGGAAAATAATTGTGAGAAATTTCCCAAAGCTAATTCCAATTTAATTATTGATAAAATCCGAGCGGCTCTCAAGCCTGTTTACGGGCGATTTATTCAAGAATTTCGACCAATTACTCAAGTATCTGGTACTCTCGTGCTTTCCTACGATAAATTGAGGTATTGATGATTAATTTTAAAAACTAACTAACTAATTATTGTAACAATAATAATGAGTCTAAATTCACAGAGAGGCTTTGTATAAGTATCTGGGTAATGATATAGTAGAACATGAAATAATAACAACAGCAAGGCACTACGCGATGAAAGAAAAACCTGAACGTGATTTACGAGAAGACATCAGGTAGTTAAAGTTTTTTTTTAAAGATGTTACGCAATAAAATGGATGGCTAATTAATTATTCAACTAATTAGTATTTAATGAATCATTCTGAGCGAGTGAATGAACATATAAATGAATGATCTATAGGCGTTTGATTCATAATGAGCTCAAGAGATTCTTGTGGGATGACTTGGATCGTCTTGAGGAGGATATTAAGCACTGGGATCCTGCAGGTAGTGGTTTTTTACCTCCCAGCCAAGTTTATACTATCTTACGTGGCTGTAGAATTCCCGTTGATCCGAAACTTATTGATGAAATGCTTAAAAGGTAAATATTTATTAGTAACTCAATTAATTACTGATTTTAATTTGAATAATTTTAACTAGCAACCTTGCAGTCACTACGTGACTTGTGAATTATGAATAAATAAAATTTTGCTTTATTAAATAATGACTTTTGTTTAATTGCACTGTACTTTCTTAAATATTGACGTTTTTAAAGATATAAGCTCATCCCAATGTTACACTCATCAAGACCTTTCATTTGAGTACCCACATGCATTTTGATATATTTTTCATATATACATATATATATAATATATATATAAATATACGAAACATATGAAAAATTGATGTGGGTACTCAAATGAAAGGTCTTGATGAGTGTAACATCAGAATGAGCTTATATCTTTAAAAATGTCAATAGTTCACAAGATACAAGGTCATTTTTTAATTATATTAAATTGCACTGTATATGTACTTTCTTAAATATTGACATTTTTAATGATATAAGCTCACCCTGACATTACACTCATCGAGACCTTTCATTTGAGTACCCACTTGCATTTTTGATATATTTTTCATATATACATATATATAATATATATAAATATATGAAAAATTGATGTGGGTACTCAAATGAAAGGTCTTGATGAGTGTAACATCGAGATGAGCTTATATCTTTAAAACTGTCAATAGTTCACAAGATTCAAGGTCATTTGACCTAGACCTTTCCAATGACACTAAATCTTACTAAAAAACCCGATTTTATCATATGACTATCCTGGACACAAAATTTTTCTTATTCTCTTAATAATATAAATTTACATTTTATAAATTATCATTATAGGATCAATAAAAACGAAGAGGGAAAAATAGACTGTCGAGATTTAATACAATACTTGGATGTTAAAATAAATCCAGTTGCTCCAATTGTCCCGATGTCTTTGAAAACTTCGCTCGGATGGGTTTCTGAAGATAAAGATTACTGTCCTAGATTGGATTGGTGCAAGTTCTTAGCCGACCTTGGTATAAGTGAAGATAATCCCGTTTCTGCGATACCAGAAACTCAATAATTTTAATAGTCAGATATTTAATATTTAAAATTTCATTCATAATAATATTCATCTTTTTTATGCATTTATTTTTTAATATTATTATTATTATTATTAATGGATAATAATAGTAGTTTGATACATCGAGGCCGACATAACTATTTACACTCTACTAAAAACTAACGTCGACATCTATTATTCTTATACAATATAAATACGCGTAAATATAAATGACTTGGAGCACAAATACAAATACTGGATTAATAAATATCGCTTACAATACAGCAGTACAATTAATTAATTAGTAATATAAATAACGATTTGGTACAAGTACGGTATTAAAAAAAAAAAAAAAAAAAAAAAAAACAAATTGTTTAAATGAATAATAATTATACTTGAACCTTACGAATGTTTTAAAAAATTATAAATTAATGAAATAATGAATCGTTTGATAAACGTCCGTAGTATCACTTGTGTGCTGTGTAAGTGTATTTATAATTAATCAGAGAGTGAGTGAGTGAGTGAGTGTGTGAGTAATTAGGGAGTGTTCAAGTGAAATTTAATTGCACTCGTAAGTGGTGATAATATTTTTACAGGTTTTGCACTTTACACTGTAGCAGCAGCTTATGTATTTGCATTCGCATCTCTCGAGGATTTCGCGTGTCTTGGTGACATGCCCGCGACCGCAGCAGAGATATTCACAGCCTTCGTATCCAGCGCTGCTGCCATTGCATTGTCTGAAAAAATAATATCAACATTTATATTTATATTTCTTCTAGTCATGATTAAATATAAAGACTGAAACTAAGCTAAGAAGAAAAAGAGAAAGTGTAAGAATTAACAAGGGAAAGATGATAAAGAAGAAGAAAAGGAAGATGAAGAAATACTGAATAAAAAAAAAAATAACAAAGGACATATTCTTGAGCTCAGATGCGTGATGGCACGAACATAAATCTGAGAAAAGATTTTTGTTTCCAATAGCAGGATCTTGGAACCAACAACTAAGAAGTATAGAATCAGCGTGGCTAATTTGAGGGCGCGGTAGGTCGGGTATAGGTCGCCATCGATTCCTTCATTTCCTCGTCTTTGGCGGTAGAAAATCCGTAGCGAATTCAATTATGAACAAAAACGCACGTCTTCACTGTGGTTCTATAATTTTTTTATTTTCTAACACAATGAAAATCACTCAACCCAAACCACTCCCCTTACTTCGAATATACACAATGAATCATTGTATATATTTATTTATATATCTATACAACAACAACAACAACAACAAAAAAAATTAAAATAAATACGTCTATATATATAAATAAATATCTGATTAGATTCTTAAGTACAAGAAGGTCCTGGGTTAACGTCCCGTTTGCGAATTGGCCAGATTTTTTAAAAACTGGTTTCCCAGATACTAAAGTTAATTTTAAAAATAAAATAAAGAAAATTATTTAAGTATAAATAAATGTACCTCCTATCTCTTGAGCGTTCATTCTCACTTATAATTACCTTCACGCTGACATAAATAAAGAAACGACATCGAGTGAGATAACGCGTGTTAAGATATTCGTTGTGTGGGCCTTTGGGTTTCAACTCAACTCTTGTATTCATACAATATTGTAAGTATGTATTATATTGCTGGATATAATACAAAACTATTCGTACATATAATACATAAATGAGATAGGAGCCAGTTTAGTGTCTATACACTGATAGAAGGATTTGTTTATTTTCAATAAGCTTTATTAATTGTTAATAAATAATTTTTTAACATTATAGGATTCAATAAATATTTATTAATAATTAATATAATTATTTATTAAATACGATTTATTAAATGTTAATAATTATTTGTTAATTTATTAAAATATTTATTGATGGTTAATGAATATTTATTTAAAATAAAAAGCAAAAATAGCAATTTTCTTTTGACACTTTTTATAACTCTACAGCTGGAATATATGATAATAATTAAATTCACTAAATAAATTAACCTTTTTAATATTTAAAAATATAAAAGATAATTATGAGCTGTGATAAAATTTAGTATTTTACAATAAACGTTATTATAATGTAATATAATTAATGCAAATAATTTATGAAGATAATTTTTGTTGAAAATATTTATTGAATGTTAAAAAATATTTATTAAAATTTTAAAAATTAAATAATTGTCTTCAAATAAATTCAATTATTAATAGTTAATAAATTAACTCCTCTATCAATGTACTGAAGAAAGAGCTCGAGTGAAAGAGAGAGCAGAGAATCGGTTATTAGCACCTGAAATAAAATAAATGTTTAACCATTTATATACATGTATTGACCACCATTGTAAAATAAGTAATTTCCTGCAGAGCTCGTGTCCAAGTTAAGTGTGATCGGTACAAACTCACACCTTGGGTATTTATAAATATAAACAGACATTAAATGCCTGAAGAGATATAATATCAACGCTGTAATGATAATGAAAATAAATAATTGTAATAAATAAATCGTTAAATTTAAAAGGCTTTTTTTGGGCTAATCGATAGGACCAGATATACCGAGAATATTCTTGACTCCTATCCCATCGATGCCGTGGACGTTAAAAGCGTCGTAAAAGTTAATCGAGTAAGCGGTTTTTGCCGAGTGTAGTGTAGTGAGGCACACCTGGATCTTCTCTTCTCTCCCTAGGCTGGATTTGTCGCGTTTTCAATACACAGCCACAAAACACCTTTCGTCTTTGTCTTTTCCTCTTTCTTTCTCTTGTTATCCTTATTCTGGATCCTTTCTTCTTCTCTTCTTGTATTCGCCTGACGGCTAACTCTTAAGTCTTAGAGTTTATTTTTTATTTATTTCTTAAACCATCATCATCATCATCATCATCCTCGTCACGGAATGCTCGTTTAAATCGTTAAAAAATTTAGCTACTGGTACAGATCATATCTAAAAGCCATCTCTTTATCGATCTCGTTAACGATATATTTTAAAACTGCGACAACTATACAACAAGAATATCCCGTCGTGAGGTGATTTATCGTTCCATCCTCAGTCGACGACATATTATTCGTAATGAGCTGATTGTCATTTGCACAAATGATTAATCGATCTTCATCATTTAGGTTTATACATACCTAAATTTTTTTTTTTTATAATAGATATTTAAAGCTAAAGACCTACTACTAAAATGATTAAGAGTGTACGGTTGATTTTCACCACTTTAAACATCATTAAATTTAAATTTAATAATACATGGTTCATTTACGGACTATAAAAATTTATAATTTAAAAAAATGACTACTCATCACTCATAAAAATTTTAAATCAAAAAATAATTTATAAAATTAATCTTGAAATTTTTTTAAAAATTAAAACTTAAATTTTAATATTTGATCAAGATTTTTAGATACTTTAGGGAAGTAGCGTCACTTATTTCAGCTGAGAAAAAAATTTTCTCACCTTGAAAAAATTTTTCTCTTGAATATTTGATACCCATTTTATATTATTTTAGCGTGCAATTATATATATTGAATGAAAAAAAATGATACAATATTATTTGATCTCATTTGACATGTTAATCAATAAAAATATTAATGAAAATTTGCATCTATCTTTAATTTTTTGAAGCAAGAGAGAAATTTTTTCAAGACAAGAAAATTTACTTTTATCAAGAACTAAATTTTTTGGAGCAAGAGGCTGAATTTTCTCAAAACAAGATTTTCTTGACTTAAATAAATTTACTCGGACAAGATACATATTTCTTAAAGCAAGAGAATTAATTTTGTTAGAATAAGTGAAATTTCTTGTCAAAAAAAATTTTTTTTTCGCTCAAGAAAATAATTGAAAAGAAAAATATTTTGTTGGCCTTTTTTTCTGTGTAAATATAAAATAATTCCCACACAATAATTCCACTATCAGTTCTTTCAATACCTGGGTTACCTTTTTTCCGTAGCATTTAAACTATTAAGCAAAGAAGAAACGTCAAAATAAAAAAGAAAGGATGATGACTTCTTCTCTTTATCTTTATCTGCTCAACGAGGATTATTCTTTTGTTTATTATTATTTTTTCGGATTTCTCCCCTGGTGCTGGTTCTGCACAAAAGTCCGACTTATTTAACTCTATTTTATTTTTATTATTCTTTTTAAAAAGACAACCCCCCCCTCTATCAAATCTTTTATGCTTATCCCCCGGGCACTCCAAGCAAAGGATTTAAGCCTTAACAAACCGTGTATCAGCAAATTCCACGGGTGGGTTCAAGGCCATATTGTCATTTGATCGATAATAATCCTACGTATACATTTACACATAAATATGGATGTTGGCTCACCTTCCAACAGTGCCTAGACTGCCTCTTTTCTTGTCTGGTAGACAGTAGTCCGGACTTTTGGTCGTGTACAGCAAATTATCATGATGATACAGCGGCGGCAGACGACTCCCCGACTTTGGTCTTACTTCTGCGGCGGTGGCATACTTGCGGAAGAGCCGTACGCCAGCAGCTGCTGGTCCTTTTGAGTCCAGTCCTCTCCAGCAGGTTCTTACACTGCATGATCCTGATACACCGTGACACTTGCACTCCAGCGTTAACGATTGCTCTACTGCCTATTGAAAAGTTTTTAAAAATTAACAAACTAACTTACGTGAATAGAACGTGAATTTTTATCACTATCAATCTCAAATCTCATATCTTCTACATACATGATAATAATGATGATGATGATCAAGATAAAAATAATAATGAGCCGAGAGATTGAGAGCAAGATACTGACCCTTCGACCGGCGCGATTGTTGTGCATATTGACAGCGTGCAAAAACTTGCTGGTGGAGCCAGAACCAGTTGGACTGGAACCTTGGAGAAACCTTTTGGCCATACGTGAAGCTGATCTCACGTCGTCCCCGCACCCGCCCCATTTGAATGAATTTCTCGCGGACATTGCGTCGAAAGACGCAGACCTGGAGATGAACGAGCTCGAGGAAATTAGTGCCGAGGGTGACGGTGGTTCTCTACGAGGTGGTGTCGCGCAAGAACAAGCCGCCAAATTTCCCAGAGCACAACCACGTGCCAGTCTCCAGACAGCCGCGGCTGCTGACATCGCGTAGACAAATGCTTGCTCTCGGGTTCCTGAAAAAAAATAATAAAATTATTATTCATTGTCCGAATTCCCAAGATTAAGTTATTTAAATATTATAAATATGGACGAGAACTTAAATAATAATTAAATTATTTTAGTGTTTTTGCTTTATTAAATAATGACTTTTGTTAAATTGCACTGCAATTTTTTAACGATTAATGTTTTTAAAGATATAAGCTCATCCCGATGTTACACTCACCAAGAGCTTTCATTTGAGTACCCACATGCATTTTCATATATTTTTCATATATACATATATATAATATATATAAATATATGAAAAATTGATGTGGGTATTCAAATGAAAGGTCTCGATGAGTGTAACATCAGGATGAGCTTATATCTTGAAAAATGTCAATAGTTCACAAGATACAAGGTCATTTCTTAATTATGTATCTATAGTTTCGAATGCAGCCTAAATATTTATCATAATACACTGACCATAAAATTTTGCTTATGCTCTTAGTAATATAGATAATATTTTTAGCAACATTTGAGGTCTTAGACACTGAATTAAAATTGGAGTAATAAAAATTGATTTATATATTTATAAAATTTAGCGAATAATAATGATAATTGATGGAATAAAACAGGTAAGTATAAGCCGGTCTGAAAACTCAACTGACTCGGTAATAATAAATCTCATTGACTGTTTAACTCTGAGTATCTCCAAGTCCCAGGTTCCATAGCCAGGACTCTGTTGGAGTATTCTGTTGGAATTGAGTACTAATTAAAAGCCGAGCGAGGTTGGAAGCAGAAGTAGCAGCAGCAAGTAGAGAGCTGAGTGTGGTACGTTGTTGAGCGCATCAGGAAAAGACCTTTTAGGAACTGAGAAGGTAGATAGAAAGAATACGATGAGGGAAGCCAGTTTGGCGATAGTAGAGAGCGCCTAATCTTTTTCGTTTGGTAATAGCCTCTAATTACGCAGTCGCTTCGGGGTCTTCCCATTGAATGGCCAGCTCTCTGCTCTCCGTACCATACGTTTTTTACGTTTTATTCTCATCTCCTCTCCTTTTTTTAAACTCCTCTTCATTCTTATTCTCTTCCCATCTTGAAAGGGAACACTCGTACACAGAAATTGCCCTGTGAGTTATCGGCTCCGCCTCTCTTCCCACATAATAATGAAATCCGAGTGTTCGCCATCAATACAACCAATGAAAATACATTTAACCTGAGATATTTATTGTTTTTTAAGATAAATACACATTTAAATCAATAAAGATTATCATTATTGTCCAATACTATATTTATATATGTATAAATATGTTTTTTTTTTTATTAAAGAAGAAATAAATTTGTGGATTACCTGAGAGCAGCTCTGGCGTGTAGTAAGGCGCCCGTTCAATGCTACTGCAGTTCCATCGACGATTTCGGAAAGCCTGCTGGCAGACAAAAGATGTGTCTCTTGCCGCTTGTATAAGGCTCGGCATCACATCTGGGGCAGCGCGACATGCTCGCGCTTGTTTTCTCTCCAACAATCCTGAGCTTCTTGCGCTCGTACACAATTCACGGGTCCAAACTCGTCCGTCGGATGTCTTACCTAAGGCCCTGAAAATCACAAATTATTTTGCATGTTAAAAAAGTTAATCATGGGTTATAAGTATGTGAGTCAAATCAAGTTATTTATTCAAAAGTTAAGAACTCAACAATTAATAATAAGTTGGCTGACAAGAAATTTTGATCTCAATTTATTGTGACAATATTATTTTGGAAATAATATTTTTGATTTTTTGAAAATTTTAATAAAAAGTATGAAATTTCAATAATTAAAATTAATTTAGAAGATTTTTGATAATTTTTTTAGCAAATTAATTATGGCAAAAAAAGGGGAAAAAATAATTAACATTTAGAAATTTTAAATAAAAAAAATGCAATTTTTTTAAAGTAATTTTTTGGAACAAATTTTTTGGTTTAATAAAATTAAAAAATTTTAATTTTAATAAATTTTATTAAAAATTTATGAATCACAATACTTTAATCTATAAAAGTGATAATTAAAAATTTTTTTAACTTCATTTTTCATTAAAAATAAAATAATTAAAAACAAATTTTTTTTAGTCAATTTTTTGACAAATAAAAAATTTCAAAAAAATTGACATAAATATAAATGAGCGCAAAACTTAATTATTACCAAGAAAATATTTTTTCAGATTATATATAATTGAAATTCATGATTAAAATTAGGAAAATCAAAAAGCTTATTTCAATTTTTAATGAAGAAATCCCATACTACATAATTTAGTAGAAGAAAGTGAAGTAAGTATAGTCGGTAATTAAAAGTTGGTAACAATCTCTGCAATACTGTCAGCTAAACTGGGATTATTTATTTTCTTCAAAAAAAAATAGCTTCTACTAACCATTAAAATTTTATTTTTCAGCATAAAAAATTTCCACTTATCATTCTCTTCAAAAAAATTTCCAAAATAAAATACAATTCTTTTTAACATAATGGAACTCCATGTAATAATTCAAAAAATTGTCAAATTTTCAATGACAAGTATTTATAAAATTTATTTGAGAAATCTCAAAAGTTTTTTAAAATGTGCAGTAAGTAAGATTTACTTCACATCACAACTACATTAAAATTGCTACAATTTTATAATTGTATTAAGAAGACTAGATTTATTTTCCATGAGAACACATATAACATCTAAAATACCGTAATAATGCCACACTCAATCAAGCTAATAGGCAGAGTGTGATCCTTTTCACGGAATACCATCAAACCTTACTATATTTTATTGTATATTATATATTATATACGCATTTTATGCTCATAAATCTCGAGGATCTGAGAAATTATAGGGCAACAAACTCATCTCAGATGTGTATGTATGTTTTCGCTGAAGAGAAACACACCAACGGGTCGTCCTTAATATATAAAGCTTACAAAATTCCTATACAAACATGAAGAACATCTTAAAACATAAAATGATCCTTCAGGAAATATTAAAAATCAGATGAAATATATATTATAGGTTGCGACATAAAACTCCTGTCAGTTTATTGTATTATTTAAATGGCCAAGTTGCCAACCGTGGGTTGACGCTGACAATTCACCAATAAATGACCCTATCAAAAAGCTTGTGATATATACAAACACATATATAAATTGTATATATGCTGGTGATGTCAATGTAAATGTATATAGATGTAGAAGTGATGAGTGAGCGATACACAACACGTGCCATCTGTTTTCCCTCATCTGACTATCCATCCACACACACACACACACACTCATCCTGGAGGTTTGGGTATAATTATTTGCACGCCTACATTAATCCGCGATCGATTATCAATGATTGCCAGATGTGTCAGGAAAAAAAGTAATGATAATAAAGCGACATTTTATTTATCGCTCATCGCTCGTGTGCTATTAATCGGGATAAATATCAAAGCTGTAATTAAATGCGTGATAAGTATACATTTAACTTCCAATTTAATTCACGTGACAGGACCAATTCGATTGGCCTACCTGATCTTAAGCGCTCATATATACATATTAATATATGATATATAAATGTATTGAAGTAAACGAGAATGAAAACCTGTTCAAATAATTCTAGATCATCGTTTGCGATACAAGGAAGAAGGATGATCCCCATTGGCAATTTTTAAGTCATTTCTATCTCATGCTCGTAAGATATATATATATATTAATATACATATGGCTAAACTTGTACGTCAAGTAATTATCAGTGGTAATTAGTGAATATTGCAGCAATAAAATATTCAAATGGCGATAAAAGATCCTGAATAGAATATGCTTACAATTATATGAGTAAAAATTATGACATTACTGATTGAAGATATTGTTTAATTGGAAAATATAAAAGAATACAAGATAATTATTAATAATAATGAAAAAAAGACAATATAAATTTTTATTGTCTTAATTTCATTAAAAAGTTGGTCTCAAATTAATCTTGTATTGAGACTAAAAAAAAAAGCTATCAATAATTTTTTCTGAAGAGACTTTTTTAATGATTAATATGAAAATTCATGTACATGTAGTAGAGATTAAGATAAACTTAATTAATAATTTTTTTTTAATGATTTTTTAACTCAAGTAGAAGATCTACGGAAAGTCCTCTAAAAGAAGATATTTTTATGTAAGCATATGTTATTATAGCTATTGTTGTTTCACTTCAGTTATTATTGTTCGTAATTTTCATTGTTTAAAATATTCATTTCATTATTTTTCTATATATTTCTGAAATATTATTTATAATTATTCAATATTGTTTGTAATATTGAAGTCGCCCATAACTATGCTTTTTATGAGACTATTAAATAAACTAAAATTAAAAAAAAAATGAAAGTACATATTTTTAACAAAATGTTAGCTTTACAAAAAAAATTTTAGCCTTAATTAAAATATTTATGAGAATTATTGATCTTTTAAAATTACTGAAGAATATAGTCAAGAAAATTTTCCACCGACATACAAAAAGACAATTTTGCGAAAAACGCGTCTAAATTTTTTAATTTTTGCCAAAATAAAAATACATTTTATAAATAAAATAAAAAGAAATTTTTTAAAGAATTTTAAATGTATATCGACGATCTAATTAGGAATTTGTCTCTCCTTATTATTTAGAGGGTGATTTTTTAACATAATTTTGATGTAGCTAGAGTCCAATTATAAATTATTTGAATGATTTAAACCAAAATATTATACTTTTATTAGATATTAAATGATTTTTTAAAGTGATAATAAATTTTGAACTAATAGTTTTTTTTTGTACAAATGGAAGATTCTCTAAAACGGAGTTAGACAATTTGTTAATTAGAACGTCGGTATAACCCTTTAATTAAATGAATTAATTTGTCATAGCTTATAATGACCATTTATTAAATTTAAGAAGAAATGAATGTACTCTTAATTTTTTTTTTCAACCCAAAACTATAAGTAACTAAACTGATAATAAAAATAATTGTTCCAAACAAAGGTCAAAGTTAGTAATTGACGATCCGAGGATATACATGTATAATATGAATGAATATATGTATATTTATATAAGAAAGGGCGTAAAACTACTGACGTCCCACGAATTTGAAATTAGTATCTATAATGCTGGGACATGATCGTAAAGTATAAGCTTTATACGCATTGATAATAGGCGCCTACGACCTTGCGGAACTCGGCCACACGAGGCGACGTTAATACGACGTAATATCCTAACAGGGATCGGATTATTTATTTAACGTGTAGAGGAACCGGGTTATTGTAAACTTTCGTAACCAACGGTATTTATATAAAATGCTATTTTTTTTCTTCTCTTTTTTTCATTAATAACCATTTAATAATATTCTTCTTTCACATGACAGCGACTGCCCGTGCATTAGCGTTAATGAAGTTTTATTGAAGAAAATAATGACTTTCGAAGAAAGAAGAAATAAAAACCGGGGATTAATTTATAAACTGAAGGTGCGGTTGTAATTAAAAGGAATAACCGAATGATGAGATAGCGATTGTAGTTGAGTTGATGGAGCAAGATAACCAGAGGTAAGTATAGAGGTAGATGTGGTAGTAAGTATAAGCTTTTATAAATCACAATCGGCAAGAGTATGTAGTATAGAATAGTGGATAGTGCCCCCTTATAATCTCACTCCCTTTTATTTCCTACTCAACTCTTTGGCGTTCAACTCCCCCTGAGGCTTCAATCTTATGTCTCGTCTTATATTCAACCCCGCGGACAGTCTATGGTAGTAGTGCACTGGTATAGGGTATTATGTGGATTTTTTTCGGTTCTGTTCTCAACACGCAAAACCACCATCGCTCCTTCATTCATCATTCCCAACCCGCGTGTCTGATCAAATTCAACGTCCGAGTAGAGTCCAAGCGAGATCTTACAGTAATTACGTCGACGCTTAAGCTTTCTCCTATCCACTCTATTCAGTGTCTGATAGTTCTCCAACATTAATAAGACACACAACAACGTGGTATTTATAGCTTAAATTAGTTACTCATACAATACAATACCATACCATACAGTATGATATAAAATAAAACATATTAATAATTTGCTGGGAATTGTCTGGTCTACCTGCGTGATAAAAGAACGTCTGAGATCACCCGCGGTTGCTTACCCGGGTCGCTCTCTCGATCATTCTATTTGTTTCTCATTAAAGTAGGTACATTAATCACAGACAGATGGATCCTGCGTGCGAGCACACGCCGAGTAGACTCGTTATATTTACTTCAAAGGGATATTGGATCATGGACCACCGGTGTGTACGATTTAATAAATATTTTTAATTATTTTTATTTTCATTATTCAACCAACTAATTTAGATTACTTTTTTTGTCAGGTACTTACAGCCACTTGATGCACGATCCATCCTGGATGATTGACAGCGAGAACAATAAGAGTAACACGACTTCTGATGTCTTTACACACTTAATTACACGCATTTTTTAAAATAACTCATAAATAATCAGCTATTCTTCACATTCTTATTCTTCACAGTAAACTTCAACAAAAAATATACTTCAATCATCCTTTGGTAAAGTAACAGCTGAAATAAATTAAAACAATAAATTAAATCAACACTTTTGAACTGTTTTTTGGTAATGCAATTCACAATTAAAGAAACATGAGAGCATAGATTGGAAAAAAAAAGGAAGAAATAGATTAAAAGGTTGACGCCTTGCCGACGACTAGTTTTAAACTCCCCGGGTGAAACTCTGGCGAAAGAGAGGCGGCCAACGAGTTACAGGTGTCCGAAATGAAGCGTCTTACTCGAGGAGTGACGTTAGTGGTGGTTACAAACGTATGGTGGTGGTAATCGCGTGATGGTGTGTATGCTTGTAAGCAGAAACGGTGGTTGAAGAGTGGATGCGCCCTAGGTCGAGTCGGCGCGTGGACACGAGGCTAAAACACTAACTTTTATCTACAATACGGTATCTGGATATCCTGACAAGCAGACGTCCTTAAGGACTGGTGTTCTTAGTAAAAGCTCCAATGGATATAGAGTAGATCCAGCCAGAGAATAAAGAGCTGTACTTAGGTACTACGTAAATGTAATCCAGAACGTAGAAGGAGAAGAAGAAAGTTTTGATCCGGCCAACTAAAGGTAGAGTGGAGGCAGAAGAAGGTGGAGACGAAGGAGGATCCAGGATACCCCACCATATACATTGGAATCCAACCACTATCCAATAACCATCTGTCATACATTATACTCTACTGATGCTGAATAAACGCGGTCTCTACTTTACTCATTCACTATTTTTCGTTTAGCTTTGATTTCGTTCCCGCGCCTCCTCGTTGGATTCCTCTGGGCATACGTGTGGAAAGCGCCCCACACGTTGAATTCATATAAATCTTCTTTCTGTATATCATCTTATTTTGGTCGTTATTTATTTATTGTACTAGTTATACCCAATAACTTTGAATGTCTCTATCAAAGTTTCGGGGATCGCATTATTCTTTAAACACGCACCATCAGGATCACCTCTATGCATATTTATGCAATTATTTTTATAACAAGTATAAAAATAAAATTATAAGTATAACGAAACCTGTACAAGTATATTATAATGGTTAAATTATCAACAAGAGTGCGAAGCAGGTAGTAAGAAGAAAAATATATCGTGACAAAGAAGCCGCCTGGTAATTACCTGCCGGTTGCCGTGTGGTATAAAAGGGCTGACTTGAGGCCACTCTTATTCTCTTTTATTTCACTTGCACTCCATACCACTCCTTCGTACTTTCATTTGTAAGAGTATTATGGATTTCTCAAACGATTAACAGGGTAGTCATCATTTATAAGCTAAAAAATATCATCTCGCACATAACTATTACCTCTAAATGTTATTGCCTCAGATATACTAGCTACCAGCTGAAGAGGTGCGTATTATTCATATACATAAACCCAACTGGTCATCATCATCTTCCTGCATCAACATGAAATCAACGTCAATTGGTCTGCGCCGTAAAAGAGGCTATTCATTAATTATGTAAGGACAATTTTGGTGACTTTTCACCCCCTCCTATTCCCATGTAAGTATACATAAGATTTCTTGAACCCCCCTCTCTTTTTTTTACGTAAGATTTTATTTTGATCTTCTAAATATAATAATATGGTTTTATTTGTATCACATTGACAGTGTTTTACAAAAATATTTTCTAAATAGGAAGATAAGCAGTGCAGTCATTCTATTTAGCTTAGTTTATGTGGTTTACATATAGTATTAAATTAAATTAATTTTTGGCATACATTTCACCATTTGTTTTGATCTTCAAAATAATAAACTGTTATGTTAGGAAAGGATCAGTTTCACTAAAACTTACAGATCAACGTGGATCCATCATTTTTATTCTTTAACAAGTAATAATGTTTTTTCAAGTTTTAACAAATTTTTTTTATTTTTTAAATAATGAAAATATGATAAAACAATGACCTTAAAATTAGCAGTCACAAGAAAATTTTTTAATTTTTTTTACAAAAAAATTTGCTCAAAAAAATTATTTAATAAAAAATTGCATTTTTAATTTTTTAAAATTTCTACATGTCAATTTTTTTTATATTCTTTTTTTGCCATAATTTAGTTATTAAAAAAAATTCTAAAAATTATTAAAAATCTGCTAAATTTATCATCATTAAAAAACACGGAAAAATGTACTATAATTTTTCCTTATAGAACCAAACATGGATAACCAAAAAACAAATGAAATTTTAATAAGTTGTTTTTTTTCAAAAGCAATAAAAATTATTTAAACAAAATAAAAATTCGACTGTATACTTCAAAATGATGAAATCTATTTGGAATTCAAAATAGAATTAGATTTTTAATATTGAATTTTGATTCACAAAATATTACGTAAGAATTTCACCCTCTTCCCTAAAATAAGGGCATGTAGAGATTTGAACTACTAAATAATTAGTACGATGATACTTACAGTAAGGAGCAATATTTAACATATATATTTCTTCATTATTAAATAAAATCTTATTTTCTCTTACCATTTTTAAAATCCGGTGTTGTTTTTATCCTTTTTGTAGCTCCTTCTCCTCTTACTTGTTCTTCTCAGCAGCGCATCCCTCAGATCCTCGCGGCCGTTACTCCTTTTGCCGGGTTATTTTTTTTTTCTTCCATCGCCAATAAATAATCCTCTGTCAGACGTTCATTACGTCGTTAAGTTTCGGGCCAAACTTATCCCGCACCTTCTTCTCTCCCAACTTCTCGAGCGTCGAACCTAATAAGCACTTGGGTATACCTGAGTTTCATACCTCACCTCACTCAGTTATATTCCTCATCCTGTCCGTCTTACCAGCCACCAGCTACACCAGCTACACTTACACCGGACCAGCACATTTTTCATTTTATCATCCCCCCGAGGAACTGCAAAGTGACTTACACTCAAAACCAATGATTTACACAAGCTTCCTCAATTCGTTGACTTTTATGCCCTCGTCTCATGTCATGACTTCTCAATCCTCAATAAATACTTTTTTATACTCGTCCGTAATCCCCTAAATCTCCTGCGGGATTAAAAAATTAAATAAAATATTTTGCGCATATATTTGAATTATTAAAACAAACCATAGCAGTCCGTCGTTAAATCGGGCAAAGAAAAGGCCAAAGACACATACACTCTGTTGAGAGTTTGGGGTGGAACGCAAGTGAGTAGCGGCAGCTGCGAGTAGTTGGCCGGCTATTAAAACCGACTTACTCAACCCTCGCGGGCGTACAATCCGCGGGATCCCCTACTACTAATTCCTCTCTTGCGTCTCTTGTCGCAAACCCCTCAGCAAGCTCCAGTCTTCGATCCTTCACTCATCATCCTTGTTTTATGTCCGTTCTGCTCACATAACCTACAACATACAGCCTACAGTTAGCCCATTGTGACTGTCACACATTTATTATATTAAGGCTATTATTCTAAAATATCAAGAATGTTTTTATTTTATAGATTGTAAAAAAAATACTTACAATTATTGTTGGTAATTAATAATTCGGTGAAATAAGATCAGTCAATTTTTAGTTGGGAGTATAATTATAATTATCCAACATGGCGGATCTCTTTTGATTAATTAAACAAACTTTATCAAATATTAACAATACCAAAGTTAGCCGACGATTTTAATTTTTTGATTTTTTTTTAATAATTAAACTAGATCAAAAAAATATTTTTTTAAAATTTCACTCACAGTTTTTAAAGTTTTTCACCAGTGAAAATTTTTTTTCATCATTTTTTCAATAAAAAAAAAATTCTAAAAATTTTTAAATGTCGGCTAACTTAATTTTCAACAAATATTAATACAGTTAATTGCAAAAAAAATTTTTTTTTAATGACATTAAAATTAGCTGTCACTTAACCATTTTTTTAATAAACAAATTTGTTCTAAAAAATTATTTTTAAAAAATTGCATTTTGTAATTTTTTAAATTTCTACTTGTCAATTTTTTTTTGCTACAATTTATTTGTTATAAAAATTATTAAGTATCTGCTAAATTGATTTTCATTTTTTTTTATTATTAAATTGCATAAGTATTATTTAAAAATTTTTTTATGACAAAGTTAGCAGTCTAACCATTTTTTAATTTTTCTTAATAAATGAATTTGCTCCAAAAAATATAATAATAAAATTAACAGACAAAAATTTTTTCAGATTAATATATTAATTAAATTAATATGACAAAAAATTCCACACGAAGAAATGAAGAAAATTGTAAGTGTAAATTTAAAAGAATATTTTTTTTTATTATAATTAATTTATTTAAAAAATTGTCAGATGTCAGCTGATTTCAATATCATAAAAAAAGTAGGGAAAACTGTCTATTACAATCTTTTCAATAATACTTATACTAATAATAATATAATATAATGTAATATAATAATAATAACATATGAACCATGACAATAGGCACGAGAAAGAAGACACAAGTCAATAATGTAATGAAAACAGAAAAGAATAAAAAGATGTTGAGGAGGAAAAATTTATCACGCATCGGCGATGCATGCGATCGACGCTAACCGCCCTGGCGTTGCGAATCGCTTGGCTATGATTCGTCAGGGTGAAGAAAGGGCCAAGTTGACAAATGCACACTTTTGGTTGTCGGAAAGAAGAGTACGTCGCTGGGGTGCGAGTGACGTTTTAACTTTGTCAGCTTTCAGGGCTACGGAATACAAAAAAATAATATAAATTGCTGTTATATTTTATACATATTAATATATTTGAATAATCCGTAGGATATATAGACAGTCTAAAGGATAAAACATAGTCTTCTTCGACAATTAATGTGCGCGGAAATTTATGCACCGGACCAAGAGTTTCTGACGCGAGGACGCGGTTATTAAAGCGATATCAAGGTATAACTCACCGATAAGCGATTCTCATCTCCATAATGTTTATACAATGACAACACAGTACAGGCACCAGTACAAAAATCACCAAAACGAGTTGATCGTTTTACAATTTTTTTTTTTATTTTATTTTAAATGAAATTTTTTTATTATCTTTTTTTCTGATTTATTTATAAAAGGTAAGATTTATTGCTTATTACAGTTAAAATTAATTCTATAAATACAAAACTTAATTATTAATAATTAATATATTAAATAATACTAAAGTTAGCCGACATTTTTAATTTTAAAAATTTTTTTCAATAATTAAATAAGAACAAAAAAAATATTGTTAAAAAATTGGACTTTCAATTTTTCAAGTTTTTTACAAATGAAATTTTTTTTTATAATAATTTTTTCAATAAAAAAAATTCTTAAAATTTTTAGATGTCAGCTAACTTGATTTTTATTAATATTAATATGATAATAATTGGTGATCATGATCATTTAGCCAGGGCATCCACACGCCGCCAAAATTACCAGGATAAGAGTTTGGATCCACTGGATTTTTGCTTTGTTCTTGCATTACTCCTCGGTAGCTATCAATGTAATGCTCGAGTGTTTGAACCATCTGTAAAAGGGGACAGAGAAATATAAAAGGGATGAAATATAATTTGTCACGTGTCGAGTTAAGTTGTAATGGTAGTAGTGGTGCGTTTGTGGCTGTCGTTGTGTTGTAAAAGGAAGTAATATAATAAGGATGAAGAGAATAAGTTGATGGATAGTCTACTTACCTCAGGATGTTGCTCGGAAATGTCAGTCGTTTCGCATGGATCAACCCGGAGATCGAATAGACAACGACTTGAACAGTTGGCGTACTTATTAAATGATTTACATACAATCATACTATTGGAACGTAATTGTAATATTTTTTTCGGCGTCATAATGATACCAGTTGTATCTGCAATAGCTTGGCTGGCGGGTGAGGATATTACTGCATCTACATCATACGCCGGGGCTGACGGATCGTTATCATCAACATTGTCACCGTAATAGCCGTTGTACAACCGACCGGCTCCTAAAAAAAAATATATTTTAATATGTAAGTAGGTATTTGTATTTTTTTTTTTTGTTTTTAAAATAAGTTTTTTTTTGTTAGTTATTATTATTATTATTATTATTAATAATAGCTTTGAATTTTTTTGTCTAAATGTTACACGGGTAAAAAATTATATTCATCTAGACGAAGTATTCGTAATGCCTTTGGTATGCGTTTAATTAAAATTTACGTAAGTAGTAAGTATTTAGGTGGATAAAAAATATCATTTGTTACCTTTGAGTAATTTGTACTGTCCAAAGATAGCTGCTTCAAGATTTTCCTCGTCAATATTAACCAACAAGGAATTACGTCTACCGAATTTTCCTCGGCTGATGGTGGGCCACTGATTAACACCATCGATCACTCCCAAGTCGGCGGTCTTACCTCCAGCCGCGCTGTACAGAGTAGGCAGCCAGTCAGTCATGTGGAAAAGATCATCGATGACTTGGGCCTTTTGTCTTATTAATGGGGAAAATATACAAGCTGCTCCGCGAACGCCTCCTTCGAAGAGTGTGAATTTTAACTGGTAATTTTATTTTATATATTAATTTTTTATTTTATTTCACGTTAACATTTATTCAATAATTTTTTTTATTGTTATTTATATTATTAAGAGAATAAGCAAAATTTTGTGGCCAGTGTATTTATATGATAAAATGGGTTTTTATGGTTAAATTTGGTATCGTTAGAAAAGACCATCACCTGGAGTTGTGCCTTTTCAAAGTTTCATTTCATTTTACTCGATAGTTAATTCATTATGCTAACTATGAAATGACCTTGTATCTTGAGAACTATTGACATTTTTAAAGATATAAGCTCATCCCGATGTTACACTCATCAAGACCTGTCATTTGAGTACCCACATCAATTTTTCATATATTTATATATATTATATATATGTATATATGAAAAATATATAAAAATGCATGTGGGTACTCAAATGAAAGCTTTTGATGAGTGTAACATTGGGATGAGCTTATATCTTTAAAAACGTCAATATTTAAGAAAGTACAGGGCATTTTAACAAATATCTTGTGAACTATTGACATTTTTAAAGATATAAACTCATCCTGATGTTACACTCATTAAGACCTTTCATTTGAATACCCACATCAATTTTTCATATATTTTGTATATTTATATATTATATATATATGTATATATGAAAAATATATCAAAACTGCAAGTGGGTATTCAAATGAAAGCTCTTGATGAGTATAACATCGAGATGAGCTTATATTTTTAAAAACGTCAATAGTTGAAAAGGTACAATGCAATTTAACAAAAGTCATTATTTGGTAATTTTTAAATTACTAATAAGTAAGTAAGAATATAAAAAAATATTGAAGGTTTTCCAAAACATTATAAAGATATTAAATAAATTATCTATGACTTTGAAGATTAAGCATAAAAAAAAGCAAAATAAATAAAAAAGCAGTGAATCAAAACACTGGTTATTATAAAATTATAGTAATTACTGATAATAACTTACTCCACGTAATGGATAATTAGATCCATGATTCTCAAGGAATCCTACGGTCTGAGCACCATTATCAGCCATAAATAAAACGATTGAATTTTCAAGCATATTATTCTGGCTTAAGGCTGCAACAACTCGTCCGACTGATTCATCCAGCGCGGTCATCATGCCTACAATAATTATTGTCACCAATTAATAGCAATTTATCGCAGTGAGTAAAAAAATATCGCTAAATTACCAGCATATTTACGCCGCTGAAGGTCACGAATGTAAGCGAATGTGCGATTAACTTCTGCAAAATCACGTGTCTCGAGTGTTTCCTCGGCGTCAGAGGCATGTGGAGCCAGATGAGATATGTGAAGATACAAGGGCTGACTTCTGTCATGTTTGTCAATGATTCTGATAGCTTCGTCCGTGAATACATCAGTTGCGTATTCATTTGTGTGAGACCAGTCAGCTTTTATTTCTTGAGCATCATCTCGATGCATATCGTAGCCTGTTTGGCCCTTTATTCATGAAAACATAACACAATACAAAATGGATAATTTATACATCACAAAATTACAAAATTTTATTTTTTATAAATAAATATGTAGATACTTACACGTTCTGTGATTGTATAATTAAAGTATGTAATGTAGCCATTGTAGTAGCCGTAAAAAGTATCAAATCCGCGCCTTGCTGGTGTATATTCATCTGACTGGTATCCTAAATGCCATTTACCGACCATATGTGTCGAGTATCCAAGACGATGGAGATGTTCAGGAAGTAAAGTTGTATTTAATGGAATACCTCGCGCTTCTCCAGCTCTCAGAGGATATCCATACATACCTAATGATTTTAATCATTATTTATAGTTACCAAGAATATTATTTTAATAGTATTATTAATTCATGCAAAAATAAACAATCATATTTAAACTGCGATGCTTATATTAGATTAGTATAATAGTTGTTCTGCGTACCGTCTCTTATCGGATAACGCCCGGTAAAGAATGCCGTTCTTGATGGCGTACACACTGGCAGGACATAGTGGTTTTTTAATATTGCACCGTTGTATGCCAATGCGTCGATGTTTGGCGTGGGAATTTGATTTGAACCGTGGAAACTTACGTCGTTCCACCCCTTAATTATTGATAAACAAAAATATACTTTTTGATTTAATCATTTTTATAGATAACTTGTGTAATGTTTTAGTAGAAATTATTTTTAATTACAAGTAAATAAGGGAATTTTTTAATTTGGTTCTTAGCGTTGATATTTATCTATTTAATGGTAGTGATGTAAGTAGTTAATTGTTTTAGAATATAAAGTTATTGTAGTTGAATTTTTTTTTATTTTTTGTTATATTTACACTTTGAATTACTGAAGAATATAAAAGTTTTATCTTTTAAAATTTTTAATAAGTGTCAGGTGTTAGTCTAAAAATAATTTTAACAATTAAATTATTTTCGGCTGATGAGAGATAAAAAATCACTAAATTCTTTTAATCTTTAGTCTGAAAATGTAAGTCATTTGAGTTCCTTATATGTGAAATAATATTGAACATTATACTTGAGATCGATGATACTTATAAAAATTAGTGGTTTTTATGAAATATTTAGAATAAAATTATTTATTTTTGTTTTGTCATTTAGAAAAAAAAAAAATTAGCTTGAGAGAGAAAATTATTAGGAAGACAGAAAAATTATTTTAGACTTACAATTTTTTTTCTCTGTGTAATATTCATTTAATAATCATAACAAATGTTTATGATTTACACATTTTTTATGATAAATTTTATTATAATAATTTTGAAATTAAAAAAAATTGTTTGTTTTAATATGTTGAAGAAATGAATAATTTCGCAATATTACATGGAATTAATTATTAAGTGTTATATAATATCATATCTTTCAAAAAATACATTTTTTTACATTTCAATTAATTATTAATTTTCATACGGAGACTTTTAATATTGTTATAGTTGCAGATAAAATTTTTTAAATAAGTTAAAATAATAAGTGCAGTTTAAAATTAAAGTACTAAATTATCTAAATAAACAGTTAATATATATAAATATAATAATATTAATTTTCATGCAATTTTTTGAAATTATATCTAATCTAATAATTAAAAAATTGATTATAGAAAATACAGTGAAAAAAAAAAAATTTTTTTTTAATGAACAATTTAAGTTTATCAGTTAATAAAAAAAATATTAATACTTATCCACTGTAAAGTAAAAACATACGAATAGCTTTATTTAAATAAAATAAACACTATTTTTATAATTATCAAAAATATCTTGAAAAAAAATTACTTTATAGTATTTTTATGTAAAAAAAAATTTTAATTATCTCTTATAATTTTTTTGCATTTTAAATTTTGAAATTTAAAATTTTACTACACAATTTTTCTTGGTAAAATACTATTTACTCAGTTGGAAATTAATAACACTTATATTTAAAATTTCCACTGTATAAACCACATATTTTATTTATTTATTTATTTATTTATTTATTTATTAGGTTTAAATGCCAAGGCACAAAGCCGAATGGCAAAAATGATATACATAAAATTATAATTATAATTCACTTATTATTATTTTACTTAAAAAATCAAGATAAAATAATACTCTGAATACTAACAAGATCATCGGCGAGTATAACAATAATATGAGGTTTCTTCTTGAATTTAAAAAGTTTATTAATATCAAAAATACAATCAGCTAAAGTAAAACCAACAATGATAAAAAACAAACCGAAAAAATTTTTAAAAATCATTGTAACGCTTAATTAATTAATTAATCCGTTCTCTTCAAAAGTATTATAACAACTGTCGCAGACTATATATTTAAACCGCATTATAAATTAAAAAAAACATCCTTGACTCAATTGCGATTACAGATAATCTAAATAAGTTCTATTTTTTCCTTGAACTTACTCTTAGTAATGCGGGCTTGTAAAATTAATTACAACAGTGTAAATAGTAACTTACCATATCATCAGTGATAATGACAATTATATGAGGCTTGACCGTTATCTTTTTAAGTAATTTATCACCCCACGGAACTTTAGATCTTGAAGCGGCGATACAAATAAATACAGAAACTAGAATCACAGCAGTTATCACTGATAATATTCTTATTAAATTTAACAGTTTTGAAGACTTCATGTTTAAACAATGTGATATCATTCAGCGACTGACTATCCACCGTTCGAATGTCAGGATTAAAAAATGAAAAAACATTAAACTAGCCGTTGAAGTCTCGACAACCTCGGTGACAGTAAAATTGATTCGGATATGCTTTCATGAGCAATACGGAAAACAACATGAAAATTTATTTATTTCCGCTATATTTACTGAATAAATGTCAAGTACGAAAGTTTTTTTTTAATACACATCAACTATTTTCTATTTCATTTGACATTAAATCATATAATTAAAATAAATTATTTCATATTATTCTTATTATTGTACAATTCGAGTCACGGCCATGCGGGTCAGAAAAAATTCATCCGAAGAAATGAAAGTAAAAACTATATTTCTGTTTTTATAATTAGTTCTCATAAAATCGAAGATTTAATTTATTTTAATTAATTAATTGTCTACAACCAAAATTATTTTTTTTGCCCACTATACAAAAGCTTAAAAAGAAACATATAAATTATGATACAAAAATAAAAAATGATTTGATCAAGGATTCTATATTGAAAACTCAGGGTTACATAAAACAGGTTTTTGTATTTACAATTATCTTAATCTATATGTCTTAAACTGTTAAATTTAAAATGGTAAATAACAAATTATAAATAAATAAATTTATATAAAAAAAGAAACATTATCAGGATTTAAATATTTAACCAATTAAATAATATTGCTATTAGTTTTTTTGTCTGTTTTTTAATCTCGACAATTGATCATTAATTATTAATTAATTAATTTCTAATAGTTACCATGTTAACTAAATATTTAATAATTAAAGATGCGCTCAAGTATTTCGTTATTGAAATTTAAATAATTTTAAATAAAAATTAATTTGGTAGATATTGGATAATTTTTTTAACAAATAAATTATGGGAAAAAAAGTTGACTTGTATAAATTTAAAAAAATTACAAATGCATTAATTAATTTTAAGCGTTCTAACAATTGAAAGTGAAAATTAAAAAAAAAAAAACTTTCATTTGTAAAAAAAAATGTTAAAAAATCATCAAATTGTTAAAAAAAAATTGTAAAAAAATCCTTAAACCTGCTTACATAATACTTGAACACTTCCTAGTGAGAAAAGAAAAGAAATAGTCGCAGAACAGCATTTTTTTTAGCTCATGACAGAGTCATTGAGTCCAAAGAAAGCACTTGTACTGACAATAAGTAAAGCTATTCCAACATGAACACACACTGCTAACGTACAAACTGTTGCTGCTGCATTGTTCCCTGGCCAAGGGTAGATAGTTGGTCCCTGATCAAGCCAGGGTGCCCAGGTGTCGTTCCGTCTTTTAGGATCGGCCATCTCGTCAATTGGCAGCCTCGGCTGCCTCACTAATACACTGCCGTATTTTTCCAAGATCATATCCAGCTCGGAGACAACCTATTATTATTTATAAATCATTATTAGTCATTTCCATTATTTTGAATTTTATATTAAATAATATACGGCTGCCCAATTTCAAAACACAGTAACTTAACATTTAGAAATTAAAAAAAATTTTTCTTATTAAAAAAATGTTTGCCTGCCAAATTGATGAAAAATTGGATTTATGGATAGAAAATACTTGAATATAAATATTTTTAATAAAAAATACTTGAAATTAAGATCTAAAAGTTATAAAAAATGCAGCAATATTAAAAAAAATTAGATATAAAAATTTTGCAGTTACTGTGTTTTAAAATTGGGCAGCCGTACACTGAGAAAGTAATTTGTAAAAGAACCTTTGGATATCTTTTAGCGATGTTTGTCCTCTCGCAGGGATCCGTAAGAATGTTGAAGAGACACTCTGTTTCATTGCAATAAGAAAAAGTACTTTTGTGCTCGCACACAACTGTCGCATTCTCCCATAAGTGAGTCATGTAAGTCGGCTGGGTCATTGGGTGGCCCAAGTGAGCGTGGATCGCCGAAGAGACCACGCTGGTGTGGACCAAAGTGAAATTATAGGCAACTGAGTCGTGATTTTTTCCAGACTCTCCGTAATACTGGTCGTAGTACCCGCGCTTGTAAGTACCGCGGACTAATTTATAATTGCGCTTTATAACTCCTTCTGTTTTAGACTCCTCGTCGATGTTCAGCAGGAGTTCATGACGGGGAGGATCTCTGCCCCGGTTCAAGTGCGGCCAGTGATCCACGCCGTCGATTCCGCCCAAATCTACGACGTTCCCTCCAGCTGCTGAGTACAAAGTCGGGAGCCAGTCGGTCACGTGCATTAGGTTGTTCGCTACACGAGCCATTGCGTGCAATCGTGGAGACCAAATTGCTGCTACACCTCTCACACCACCCTCGTACAACGTATACTTGGTCTGAAAAATTTTATATCAGCTTTATTGTGTTTTAATTACTTTGTTTTTATTTTATCTATTGAAAATTTTTAATTGTTTAATTATCTAACTTTTGTGGTCAATTTTTTATAAATTTATTTTTTTATTTTTGAGATTAAAATTATTAAAATGTAAATTTTTTTTAATTTGTAATCAATACTTTGACGGATTGATGAAGTTTTAAAAATTTCGCAAAATTATATGAAAATTAATTACCTGATATTTAATAGTTTTAAAAATTTTTGTAACAGATAAATTATAGCAAAAAAGATTAAAAAAAAAAAAAATTGATATTTAGAAATTTTAATAAATTAAAAATGCAATTTTTTAAAAAAAACTTTTTTTACAAATTTTTGTTTTGTTAACAAAAATTAAAAAATTTTCAAGTGACTGCTAACTTTAATATTATAAATAAATTTAACAGATGTTTAATAATTTTTAGAATTTTTTTTAAATACTTACACCTCTCAGTGGCCAATTGGATCCAGAATTGCGATGCGTTCCAATAGTTGGTGCTCCATTATCAGTCATAAAAACAATTATACTGTCTTTTAACATATTCTTATCACCTAAAGTCGCAACAATGCGACCTAATGACTCATCAATCCGCGATACCATCACTAAAATCAATTTAAAAATGCAGTTCATTATTTTACATTTTATAATTTATGTTATAATAATAATAATGCTAAATAAACATTAAATTACAGGCATATTTCCGGCGATTTGGATCACGAATATGAGCAAAGTTTTCCATATAAGGATTGTCGAGCGGCGCTTCTATCGGAGCATGAACACCGAGATGGCTCAATTGGAGGTACAGCGGGTTCGTCGAGTCGTGATTTTCAATTATACGTACTGCTTCTTCAGTGAACAAATCCGTAGCATATTGGTTGCGAATGTCGTGAGCCGGACAATCATCTCGGTGCAAATCGAACCCACTGGCATTCTGGAATTTTTGTAAGTTAATTATAGCAGTTAATAAAAATTTTCTTCTTAAGAATTTCATTTTATAAAATTTAAATTTTAAACTAATAATTTTATGAAACTTTATGAAGTTAGCCGACATTTAAAAATTTTTAAACTTTTTTTTTTATTAAAAAAAAAACTTCAATTGTAAAAAACTTGAAAAACTATAAGTGCAATTTTTTAAAAATTGCACTTACAGTTTTTCAAGTTTCTTACAAATGAAATTATTTTTTTGTAATAATTTTTTCAATAAAAAAATATCCTAAAAATTTTTAGATGTCAGCTAACTTAATTTTTATAATTAATAATTATATAATAATAAATTACTCCTGAAGGTGAATTGTATCTGTAGTCAAAGTAAGCAATATGGCTGTTATAGAATCCAAAAAAGTGATCAAAACCCCGCTCAAGAGGAGTGTGTTGCTTAGTATAGAATCCCAGGTGCCACTTGCCGATAAGTCTCGTAGAGTATCCAAGATCTCGGAGATACTCCGGGAGAATTCGTACGTTTAATGGTAGTCCACGTGGTTCACCGCCTACTATTCCTTCCCCTTGCATTCCTATTGATTTAAATAACAGGTATTTTAGATTAATTACAATTATTATACAAAACCATCTGTTTAACTGTCTTAGATAAAGGAAAGATATAAACAAACCCATCCGTATCGGATATTTCCCCGACATAAATGCAGCTCTGGTCGGCGTACATGACGGCAATGTGTAGTGTCTATTCAATATTATTCCGTTGTAAGCCAGAGCATCAATGTTCGGCGTAAAAATTTGACTGGATCCATGGAAACTTACGTCATTCCATCCCTATGCATTTAGAGATTAATTAGTGAGTAAAAAAATTTTTAATTGGCTCGAGTTATTTTTAATTGCTAGCTAAGTTATATATTAAATTTTATAGAGTAATGAAGTAATAATTGTAATTCATATTTTGCTTGTAATGCATAGGGGCAAGTGTGGACATATAATATAAAGAAGATGATTAAAGCGTTGTATAACTGGTATAGCGGTGCAGTTGTCTTAGCGACTTTGAAGAAAATAATTATTTGTTGTGTCGGTTGTTGTGAGTCATCATCCGAAGAGCATCCTCATTGACCATGTGGGCGTTGATAACATAACGTGTCAGCCGTTAGTAATTGTCTTAACTAAGGCTCTCATTAATTCAAGACAATTTTATACTACAGAGTAATCATATCAAATTAAATATGTAGATATATGAAGGAAGAAAATATTTTAATTTCCTATTTTGTTAACTTCAATTTGAATTAGGATGCCTGAAAAAATACTAAGTGGACCAGATTGATAATGACAAGAAGAAATATAATGATGTTGAAGGTTAAGATGGGCATTTATTTACAATCATATATATGTTTTTTGGTAATTATTTTTATCCAGAGTTTGCTACTACACGGATTATACTGAGTGAAAAAAAATTTCAGATAGTAGTTAGTGTAATCCAGATTACAATGAGTATACTGATAGAAAATTTATATTGACTCAAGAGATATTTTCTTGATCTAAGAATTTATTTTGAAAGAAAAATGATTATTTTGCTTCAAGAATTTCTTGTCTTGGTTTAGATTTTCTTGGATAATATCCAGTGTTATCTTGTTCTTTCCATGTAAGTAATGTAAAGTAATGATACTAAGTATGATAAATAATAATTTTTTTTACATCAATAAATATTTTGAAGTACTTAAATGTTGAATATTTAACTATGATTATTTTTTTTTTACAGACCGGTGTCAAGAATCAAACACAGGTTGCGCGTAAGAGTCCTCTATCGTAATTTGACTTACCAAATCATCCACCATGAAGATAATAATATGAGGTGCAGATTCATACTGTCCGTCATGAAATTTAGCACAGAATCCGGAAGAAAATAAAAGAGTAAGTGTCCAGCAAACGGAAAAAAACCGCATTTTTGTAATTAAAATCACCAGGCACAACTAAATTATTTATTTACAGGCACTTTAAGTGAAACGTTCTTAGGGTTCTTGGGAAGAATATCAAAACATGGTAAACCAGCGACTGGAGGCCCTTGATGAGAGTCATGAATTTATATACTACACCCACAATTAAATATTTGTGTGGGTAAGTGTATGTATTTAAAGTTGAATGAAATGTATGTAGGGGATGTGGAAGACTGGAAGATGCTTTTAATGATTACATCAATGAAACAAATAACGTAGCTTGTACTTGTTACGTTTATTATGCGTCATGTATACTCTTCTCTATTGCTCTTGCTCGTAAGTCTAGCTTATCAAATAAATTTTAGATTAGTTTTTTTTATTTTTTAAATATTGAAAATCTTAATTTAGAGAAGAAATATGCAATTTTTTATTTTGGAGCCGGGTAATTGTTTTAAACAGGTAATAAATGAAATTTGTAAACATTTACAAAAGTATAATTATAATTAATTAATAATTATAATTATATATAAAAAATTATAAAGAGTGCCACTAAAAACTTTTGCCAACAAATTATATTAATTGTCTTTTAATGCTAATGTCAATATTTATTTCTTCTTTTTTTAATATTGAGTAAATAAATTTTTATTTTAAAGAGATAGTAATAACTTTAAATTGTGTGGTTATAAAAAAATAATTTAGAAAGTGTCCTAATCACATTTGTAAGAAACTAAATAATAATGATGTGTTTAAAAAATTATTTTGCGATAATTATAAATATAAAATACATATAATAATAAATGTTCGGCAACTCTTTGGTCTTAATATTAACCATTATTAATCTTATTTATGAATCCTATAATTAAAACAACGAAATAGTAAGTCGCCCTATGAAGGGTAAAAGTCAAGTGAAGTTAAGTAGTAATACCAATTACTTTATTCATCGTTTCCTTCCCGAAATACTGGGCGTTTTTAAAGCGTTGCATACATCATTCACAGTACACAACATATTACATTACTTTTAATGGGATTATCGAATAATTAAATAATTCAACGTGAAATTAGGGCCCCTATTTTACTTATTCTCTCAAAATCCGTTAGATAATTAACAAGTGTCAGGTTGTTAAAAAATTATTATATAATAATAATAATTTTATTAATTTTAACAAATATTATATTTAAAATTTTGAAATATGAAATTGAATTTATGAAAAATTTTAATTATATAAAAAATTATAAAAATTTTTTTATTTCTTCTTTTGTAATATTTTATTTACATCTTATAAATTATAAATAATAATCTAAAAATTTTTTTTGAATTATTTTAAAAAGATCAAAATTTTTACTATTTCTTCATATACAATTATTGAAATTTATATTTGATGAATATTGAAAAGAAGAAATTATAATTTTTTTTTTTTTTGTATTTTTAGTTCTTCACAATTTTCATAATTATTAAAATTGCATAATCAAATTAAATTAGTTTAATTAATTAAAACACAAGATAGTGGAAGAAAAAATAATATTCTTTTTTTAATCTCGCATTTAAATTTACGAAAATAATTTCCAGATGACGCTAGCCTCCAATCAGCTGTAGTGCGGTGGTGGTGGTAACTGTTGATGTCACGTTACCTTGAAGGTTATTTTGTTTTTAATTAAAAATTTTAATTAATAAAATGGAATAAGACATGTTTTCTACTAAAAAACGACTAATTGAACGCACTGGTTACAATAATACAGGTCGTTATGATTATTTAAAATTATTATCCACGGAATTCAAAACATCAAAGTCCAGAGGTAATGTTTACTGTTTTGAAAAAAAAATAACAAGATGACAATAATAATAATAACTATAACAATATTTATTTACAGAAGCTAGAAAACAAGTATTAGCAAATTTATCAAATTTCGCATATGACCCAGTTAATTATGATTACATGCGACAATTAAGAATAGTTGATTTATTTTTACATGTACTTTCTGAGTCTGATAAGGTTTTTGTACAATATGCAATTGGAGGTCTTTGTAATTTATGCTTAGGTAAGCTTATTATATTATTAATTTATAAGATACTGAAATTAGCAGACAAAAATTAATTATGAAAAAAAAAAATATTCACTTATAATTTTTTTAAATTTCTAGTTAGGAAGTTTTTTAAAACAATCGAAAAAATTGATGACATTGAAGTTAGCAGTTATTTGATTATTTTTTGGTTTTTTTTTTTCAACAAATAAATTTTCTTCCAAAAAATTATTTTTGAAAAATAGCATTTTTAATTTTTTAAAATTTCTACATGTCAATTTTTTTTATAATTTTTTTTGCCTTAATTTATTTGTTAAAAAAATTCTTAAAATTATAAAATATCTACTAAATTAATTTTTATAAAAAATTGACAGTTGTCTGTTAATTTATACCAAGTAATTAAATTAATTATTTAACTACAGATCCAATAAATAAGGAATATATAATCCGCAATCACGGAGTACAGTTAATAAAACCACTTCTTTCATCAAATGATGAACCATCTCTGCTATCAGCGATTACTACGCTAATGTTTTTAATCACAGAAACATTTAGAGCAGAAATAATAACACCGGAATTGATAAACCAACTAGTTACTTTATCTCATTCGTCAAATAACCGCGTTAAAAATTTAGCGACCATTTTTTTACAAGACTACTGTGGTTTTAATGATACTGAAACCTCTGCAGTAGCTAGTACATCAACTGGATAAAATATAAAAAATGTATTTATTAAAACTAACAAGACGACTAAGTATTTCATCCCGAAAATTCACAAGTGAATTTAACTTTGAAAGAAAGTTCAAAGTTGGCGATAAGGTTTCGGTTGTTAGAAAAATAACCGACGATGATGTACTGAATTTTGCGAAATTAACAAATGATTATAATCCCATTCATGTAAGTGCAGAGAAGAAATTAGTACACGGCGCTTTGCTAAATGGATTTTTGTCCGGAGTACTTGGAACGAAACTTCCTGGACCCGGGACGATTGTCGTCCATCAGACTCTCAATTTTCCAAAGCCTTGTTATGCCGGTGACACTATTGACATAACAATTGAAATTTTGTCAGCAAGAAAAATAATAAAATGTGGATACAAGCTTGTAACTGATGACGAGCGAGTTGTATTAGAAGGAGAGGGTACATTTGTTACAAGTAAAGTCTTAAAATAATATGACCTAAAATAAATGTTTTTATTTTGTAATTCATATTCTTTTATTACTTAATTTTAATAGCGATAGTTATGTAAAAATATTGTTTACCTTTGTATCAATAATTGAAACGTTGCATTTTTGCAAGTTCATTATTTCTTAAGTTTTGTTTACTTTATTAATTGCTGTCTGTATAAAAAGAGTTTCATCCAAAGTTAACTTTCATTGTCACTTGATCTGCTTTCTAAGTATCTATGGTAAGTACTAAATAATTTTAATCGTTTAATTATTATCTATTATTTAATAATTGGTTTTTTTCAGATGACTTTGCGACTTGTATTACTTTTATTCTGTGTGTCTGCTGTACGTGGAAGAGAACATGAAAATTCGGCATCAGTCGTCAACAATATTACTCCAGATTATACAGATGATAATTCAACAATTACAACAGAAGCTCCTTTAGGCTGCGTCTGCGGTATCTATCTTTTTGAAGCGAAAAAATTGACCAAAGAATTACCAGAAGGAGATCCTGTTATCAGTCATAATATTTCTGAAAAGTTTCCTAACAATCCCGATGGTCATAAATCGTGTACAAAAAAATGTCTTTCAATTGTAAGTCACAAATTTGATTTAAAAATTTAATTACAAAAATTAATTTAGCAGAAGTTTAATAATTTTTTTAACAATTAAATTATGGCAAAATAAATTGACATATAAGCATTAAAAAAATAAAAAATGTAATTTTATTTTAAAATAAAATTTAAAAAAAATCAAGTGACTGCTAATTTTAATGTCATAAAAATTAACAAAGATTTTTAAAAAAATTGTAACTAATTTTTATTTTCAGATAATAAAACATTTACCTAACAGTCCAACACTTATTTGTAGTGCGCTAAATCGCGATTGTTACAAAGAACGAGTAAGTATTATTAATATTGATTTTTATGAAAAACTTATGAAGAAATAAAACAATATTATTGTATTGTTATGCAGGCTCATTTATTTATAAGGAATGGCAGTGATAAATGGATCCGGACAAACTTATCAGCTGGTCGAGAGTATTGCTGCAAAAACAATCTACCTTACAAGTGTTAAAGTTGGAAGAAATAGAAATATTTTTTTTATCAAATTAATTATTAATTTTGTACCTAAAAGAAGAAATAATAAGTAAGTAAAAAATAATGCAAGCAATTTATTTAAATATCCCGCGGTAATTCTAAAATTAGCTCAAACACCCTGAACTCATTTTTAAACATGCAGCTGAAGTCTATTTACTGCAGCTTATATAAATACTTGTTCTTAAAAAAATTATTTATCAAAATTTAAATTATGAAAAAATTTTATTCTAATTAAATAACAAAAAATTTAAATAACGGCAATTAATTTAATTAATTGGGTCAAGTTTAAAGAGAGCTAAATTAAATTAAATAGTTTGAGATAATAATAGTTTTGGTGATGTGTTGAGTGCACTTGAAAGATGCTATCATTTTTCTTGTACTGCGTCTAGTGATTTTTAGATATACTGAATAATAATACCTATAATTATAATAATATATTGCAATAAAGACTGGATAAAAATAAAAAGTAAGAGTGAGCTAGCAGTACTGATGGTTAATTTATGCTGGATAAAATGTTTTCTTGTCCACTGTGTGCTCGGCCTAGTTTTGAATCATTGGATTCACTGCGAATAGGACTTGTTAGTGTAGCAACACGACCACTGCAGTGTCCTGTTTGCAGTGAAACACTTTTAGGCATTGATAAATTGACAATTCATTTATTCGGTCATACGATAAATACACCTGAGGAAACAACAAAATTAATTCACAATAATCAAACTAAAGCAATTACAAATACAGACTTTCTCTATGATAATTCAGTAGATAAAAATCAAAATCAAAATTTTAATTATCAGGGAGATTGTGGGTTAAAAATTAACTTGGAACAATCGACCCGTACAGAAAATTCTTTAGGAAAAATAGTTAATTCATGTGTAATTCAATCTAAAGACGTTGCTACAGTGTCTATAAATAGTTTACACCAGCATGAGCCACGTCAACTACCATCAGCTTGGTCGAACGATTTATCGCTACACGGTGTACAAAATTCAACATCTACTATCAAATCTTCTAATATCGTAGACGTTAAAAGTTGTAAAAATATCTCGCGGATTCAAACCACGGAAGCTAAATTTTTAAATGATAAAATTGGATCGAAATTAACTTTACACATTCCTGAAAGCTCTACGTCAGTTATGATTAATAATATAAATAATGTTAGTAATTATAATGCTAGTACTAACAGTAATAGCAATAGTAGTAATAATGAGGTAAATATTTTACCACAATTAAAAACATTAAAAAATAATTTAATGGCTAAAGAGAAAACTGAACGGTGTAATATATGCGGCTTTCACTTTCCCGATTACAATATTTTAATGTTACATAAGCAAATAGTTCATATGATTGACGAAAAAGATATTGATATAAAACCAGAAACGTTGTTGAAAAATTATCCTTGTCATTTGTGTCATAAAATTTTTAAGATGCGTGGGAGTTTGATGGTTCATATGAGAGTCGCTCATACTGGTATTAATTTAGGTAAATATTTCAATTTATTTTTTTTGTTTTATTTATTTAATGTATTTTAATTTAGTCATTTTTTTTTTTCAGGTTCATTATCAAAAGATAAAGATTCAAGTCAAGATTGCTGTGAAAACGGGTTTAATTGTCCAACTTGCGGGAAAAATTTTCGCAAGGTATTTTTCTTTTTTATTGGGAATCCCACGTTTGTATAAAATTTATTTTTTTACTTAAAGCCAACTTAAACTAGAATTTAGAATAATAATATATGTGTGTTAATTTGGTCAATTATTTGATTCAGTATATTTAATATTTTAATACAAAAATTCATCTCTTAAAAGTCACTCAACATTTTTATTTATTTATTTATTTATTTTTTTATTCATTTGAACGCCACTAAAAATTATTTAATTAATTTTTATATACAATAAAAATAAATAGAATCTTTAAAGAGAAGATTGATTTAAGAGATTTGAGAGAAGAGAAAAACAAAAAGAAAAAATTTTTAGTAATTGATAATTGATTGATAGCTTGTAATTGATAGTTTATAATCACTATTTGTACACTTAGAATGTTATTATTATTTCTTTTATAAAATTATTATAGCTACTATTAAAAAAAAATTGATGAAGATAAATTAATAAGAATTGTAATTTAAATTTAAAATTGATAAATAATAATGAATTTTATTATCAGGAGCAACATGTAACTCAACATTTAAAAACTCATGAAGCAAAGCAATGGGAGTGTGATGTATGCAGTAAAATGTTTACTACAAAATACTTCCTGAAGAAACATAAAAGATTGCATTCTGGAGAAATGCCATACAAGTGTAATATATGCAACAAGACATTTACATTTCAACAGTCTTATCATAAACACAGATTGTATCACAAAGATGATAAACCACACACGTGCACCACTTGTGGCCGGTCCTTCAAAGAGCTTTCGACGTTGCACAATCATGAGAGAATTCATACCGGTGAAAAACCTTTCGCATGCGAAACTTGTGGTTTGTATTTAATTATTTAAATATATCGTTCAGATTTATAGATGAGAGATTTTAAAGTGCTTTTTCAAATGCTTTCAGTTATTAATTACTAACCATCGTATGAAGCATGATCTTTGTTTTTGTAAGTTTTTTTTAAGTACTAAATAAATACTTAAATAATTCGCAAATTTATAAATAAGCAATCATATTTTTATCTTTGCAGGAAAATGCTTCAGGCAACGTGTGTCGTATTTAGTGCACAGGAGGATTCACACTGGAGTGATGCCTTACTCTTGCACTTCTTGTGGAAGGAGCTTTCGATACAAAGTAACTAAAAAAAAAAAATTAATTAAATTATTTTTTGTTATAATTACAATTATAAAAATAAAAAAAAATTATTTTTCTTATCTTAGGTGAGTCAAAGAACTCATAAGTGTCCAGTTCAAACAGCAGAAGCCAAAGAATCATTATCAGATCACTCCGAAAATTCCTCAGGTGGAAATGACGTCATCCCTGAAATAGATAAAAATAAAAATCTCGGAATCTCCGAAGTAAATCAAGAGAATAAATTTGTCCTGGTAGTTGACAATGGTCAGCCGATTTTAAAACGCGAGCAGGAAATAAATTCAACTTTGTCTCAAGAGTGCAGCTCACTGTTGCAAGAATCACTCCAAATAAATGATCCCGATGATTTTTATCCATTTGTCGGTATTTCGCCAGATCTAAGACCCGATTTGTCCTCACCATCTACAGAAATGAAGCAATTAAGACTTTCATCACCTACTAATGAAGATAGTTATCAAAATCGGAAACTTGACGAGCCTTTTCAAGAAGCTCCAGACCTTCATAAAGACATAAAACATGCCATCGACGGTATCCTGCAAGAAAGACGGGAAATAAATACTCTAGAGACGATAAACGATGAATCATTCAAAGAATTGTTGTATGAAATAGACAAAAAAATTTGACTCTGGTTAAATTTATTTTTTTTAAGATTTCTAAACTGTTATAACACGACAAAACAAAATTTTTTATTATCGTCTCAACTGTAATAAATTATTTTGCTTATAAATTTTCAGCCTCACCTTGAATAGACAGAATTAATAAAAGTTTAATTTAAAAAGTAGAATCCTTAATATTAATAAAATTAGCCGACATTTTTAATTTTTTGATTTTGCTTAATTTATAAAATTAGAACTAAAAAATATTTTTGAAAAATTGCACTTGTAGTTTTTGAAGTTTTTAACAAATAAAATTTTTTTTTTTTATTTTTTTGTAATAAATTTTTAATAAAAAAAATCTTTAAAATTTTTAGATGTCGGCTAACTTTATTTTCACTAAAAAAAATTATAAAAATTTTTAGATGTCAGGTAATTTTATTTTCATGAATCCTTAAATTAATATTTGATATTATCCATCGAGTAGGACACTAAATCTGTTGAATAATTTGGTGTTTCGTATTTTACACGCTAGGCGGCTACATCACGGAAATTGAAGGCCTACTGCAAGAGCTGCTAGAGTTCGTAGTTGACTAGCAAGGTTGTGAATTCGGTCATTTTTTAATTTAACTATCGACTATCTGAAAGCACATTTTTAAAAATCTAAAATAGTCATAAAAAGTTTATCAATGAAGCTAAAAATATCGTTTAAATAAAAATTACCCATTCGAGGCTTCGTTATTTTAAATAATTCCACGTGTTCATAACTTTTATTATTTATTGCGTAATAAATTTGAGTTCCACCTTAGCGGAAGGAGCTCCCTTTTTTGGTAAGTCGCAATAAATCATAAATATATTTAAATAATTACTAGATTGATTTTATCTTTGATAAACAAACATTCATATATTATAAACAATCATAAATAAGTACTCACTGTAATTCCTGACGACAATTTTTTAATTGTTAATTTTATCCCGTCACATAATAAGCTTTGTCAAATAAAATTAATTTAAAATAGATAAGTGTGGAAATAAAATAGATTATTAGAATAATGAAACCTTGGACAATGTGAATAATAGGTTGTGTTTTGATAGAGGTAGAGCGTTTTTGATAGACACGAGATTTTCTTTCTTGCTATCAAGTCAGATACAAATCAACAACCAATGAAAAGTCTCGGGATGATCTCCACCAATGGTTGTTAAATTCGAAGGCCGAGACTGGACAAAAGGACCAGCATTAAACAGCTGTTAGATTATCGACGTTGTCATATTATAACACGACAAACGACAATACAACTTACTAAATAATTCTCGTCCTCGAGCAAACTGCAACTGAATGTTTAATTGCGAAATAACCTATTGTATTGATTATGACATCTAATATAAAACCAAACAGTGCACCAAAAATCATCAGAACACTATTATTGATTCTCTAAAACAATAATTCATTCTAATTAATTTTTTTTTCTACAAATTTGATGAAAATTAATGACACTGAAGTAAGCAGACGTCTAAAAATTTTTGATTTTTTTTTTTTTAATTAAATTACAACTAAAAAGATATTTATAACAAATTGCACTTATAGATTTTCAAGTTTTTAACCTGTGATATTTTTTTTTTTCAATTGTTTAATTGAAATTTTTTCGATAACAAATTTTTAGAATTTTTTTTTATTGAAAAAATTATTACAAAAAAAAAAAATTCATTTGTAAAAGATTTAAAAAACTACACGTGCAATTTTTTAAAAAGATTTTGTAGTTATAATTTAATAAATGAAAAAAAAAAAAAAACAACAAAAAATTATAATACTAAAGTTAGCTGACGTTTTTAATTTTTTGATTTTGATTTAATTATTAAATTAGAATTAAAAAATATTTTTTAAAAATTTCACGCATTATTTTTCCAGTTCTCTATAATTGAAATTAAAAAAAAATTTTTTTTTAATTATTTTCTCAGTAAAAAAAAAATTCTAAAAATTTTTAGATGTCGGCTAACTTAATTTTTAACAAAAAATTACAATACTAAAGTTAGCCGACGTTTTTAATTTTTTTTCATTTATTAAATAAGAACTAAAAAATATTTTTTAAAAATTGCACTGATAGTTTTACAAGTGAAATTTTTTATTTTCTTCTTTTTTGTAACAATTTTTTCAATAAGAAAATTTCTAAAAATTTTTAAATGTCGGCTAACTTAATTTTTAACAAAAAATTAACTAACTTTAGTATTATACAAATTTGACTTACCAGTGTTTATTAATTAACAATTAGATAACTCGTAATCTGAAAGTACGTCGTTGACATTTTTTAAATAATAGATATTCCCGCGGTGAGATCGATGGAGATTTGACAACACCGCGACAGCCATCAGCATATATACATAATACAATACCTACACATAGAACACAGCAGCACCTACATATAAAAAATACAGTACCACACATAGATACAGTAGAGTATAACCAGCGCAATATATTTCTCTGCTGAGTATGAGTCCTCAGTCCTCAGTCCTGTTGAAATAAAGACGCCGCATACACACTGCACGCCACTATACGCACTTTGGCTTGCTTTGGCTTTGGGCTGGTTTCAGGCTCTACCTCTACATCTACCAAACAACATACAACATACAACATACAACACAACACAGTTCTACTATACAGCTCAGTTGTGTTTCATTAAAAGTAAACTCGTAACAACGTTCTATCCGATACTCTCCAACACCTGCGCATTGATACCTTAGGTAACGCACCAGCACCAGACAAGAGTTTCTCCAAGCATCGCCTTTGCTGTAGTTCACTGTTGTTGACTGTTCACTACTCGGCACATAAGCTCCATAGCATCCATTAATTAATATTTATCAATCTCCAATGAATTCTAAAAACCTACGGACTAGAAATTACAAGCAAATAGTGGTCAGTGTCAATTCGTTAAATAGTTATTTATAATAATAATAATAATAACCAGTAGTGTTTTATTGTGGTGAATTTGATGTCTTAGCCATGATTGAACGCATTGTCAGGCCGTCTGAGGTCACAACCAACTAGTGGCTCGTCATCCATTATTATTATCACTTTTTTTTGTTTAATTATTTTTTTTTTTTTTTTTTAGTTTATTCCTTTACTGTATTTATTAATTATTAAAAATCAAGAGTTTGTTCTTGAGTCTCGAGGGAGTATGGTAAGAAAAATAAATTAAATATAACAATGACACTGTTGACAGACATTAAAAATTTTTTTAGAATTTTATAGCAATTAAATTATTATTAAAAAAAATTAATTAAAAAATTGCACATGTGAAAATTGATAAAATTTACAAGTGAAAATTTTTAGAATTTTTTTTTTACAATAATTGATGTATTAAAAAAATTTTTAAAATTAACAACTTCAATATAATATTGATGTTTATTTAAAATGGTATTGTATTGTCTGAATTTTTATTACTTAGAAGTTGATTGCGTCTACACTGACATTGTTCTTGTCTTTATTTTTTTTCTCCATTTTTTTCAGCCGTTTATCAAGTGGGCGGAGCGCCTCCTGTAGGCTCCCCAATCCTAAGCCTGATAACCCGTACATTTTGATAGTACTGTAATATAACAGTAGAAGAGTGAAGAGTTTCATTTGGTCGTCGTCGACCTCGTCGGGGTAGTGACTTGGTAGATTTTTTTTCCTTTGTATACATATATACATCTATATACACTGTACATACATATAGTTTGTGTATATGTGTGCTGTCGAAAGGCAGTAGTGTGTGTTGTATCCGTGCGAGAGCTACCCCCTACATTATATTGTGCATGCGTGTACTGCGCTACACCACACTTAAACATCGTACATCGTACATCGTGTCTCAAGCACTGCACAACCAGTACAAGTAGAGAGCGGATAGTAGTAGGATCGTACCTCACATTCGATTTTCATATTATTAATTTACTTATATTTTATTGTATATCACAATGATTATTTCGGGTCTCGATACTCAGGTAAATTTTATTTTATTTATTTCTAATTAATTAAAAAAATAATATTTTACAATATTTATTTTTAAACAGTCTATTTCTGTTGTGTTTAGTTGTAGGTTATTTAGAAAAGTGTGCGTGGATTTAAATATACATATAATAATTTAATATGGTATATAGGGTCACGCATTGATAATATATACCAAGTTGCATGATTCCCTCTCTCTTTTTAGCCTACCTCTCAATCCCAGAGCTCTACTCACGGGTTCTGGCGACAAGAGAATCGGAGAAAGAGAGAGGGAGAAACAAACTCGTCCTCCATTACTTTATACTAGCAAGCAACCAAGCAAATGGTGGCTTGCTGCTGTCTGTGAGGTCTGTGAGTAAGGGTCTTTGTTATTCACCTACGTTTTACTTCTTCACTTTTCATATCACTCACTGTTTATACAATTACACAGTTACTGAAATAATAAACGTGTGTTGTAAGTTCCAAGATACAAATCTATAAACAATTTCATTTTTTTTTATCATTACGTTGACAACCTAGACCATGATCATCATCAGTTGCTAGCTGCTGGTGAATTCACTCTTATTGCTGTCGTTGTTTAGTTCCTCATGTGTACAGTCCAGATTCGTCAGGTTTTACTGATAATTTATATTGTTTTGTCATTTTTTTATCATACTGTTGAGACAAACCAGACCAGTAGTTATTATTTTTTTTTTAACGATGTAATTGTTTTTTTTTTTTTTTTTTATATGTTGCTTTTATTTTTTTTTTTTATCTTTTATTTGTTTCCATACATAAAACATTGAAAAAAGTGTTAATTGCGCATCTAATCACAATTTACTGAATTTAAAATAACATAATATTTTATTTAATATTGTGATAATTTAATAACAATGTGATGTTATATACTGGGAGCTTATATATTATATAAATGGTAGTAATCAAGTTTAATCAGTTTGCGAAATTTTTTTTACGAGCCATCGTGTAGAATAAATATTACACGTAACCTATAATGTGCATATATGTCGATGAAAAAAATATAATATATAACTAATGTATTAGTTTGTTTGCGCAACGCTTGATTATTATTTAAAAAAAAAATAAAATGAATAATAATGTTATTAATTACAAGCAATTATTGTTTGTTTAATTTCAGACAGAATAGTGGCATGCGTCGATTAATCTATGGCAGATCAACAAGATCAGTCGTCACTCGGGGGGTCTGTAGAGAAGGCTAGTGCTTCAGCAGACGCCTCTAAGTTAAGGGGGAAAAATAGCAGCTCGGCTGGTTCGAGAAAGCGACAGGGAACTACCACCGTTGTTGCTACACTAGGAGAGAAACGTCGTAAGCAACAGCAGCAGCAGCAGCAGCAACACCAGACCGATTCACAACCCTCACAAGCTTGTGCTATCCCCGTTCATCGGCGCTCAATCGATTTATCCAAAGGAGAAAGTAAAGCCAAAGGAGATCGTAAAAACCATGGAGGTGGTGTAGGATCAGTTACTGGTAATTATTCCAATAAATACAATCAATTAATTTTTATCACCCTTTTTTTCGGATTAATTAATATCAACTCTTATAATTAAAATTGGTTACAGGAATTCAGGAGAAATAATTTCAAACTACGTGTTGATTTTCGTTGAATGTTTCGTCCTTTTATTAGGACTTTTTCAGCAACTACAAATAAACATAAAAATTATAACAACAATATATGTCAAAAAAAATTTTTTTCATAATATGCATACTAATAATTTATATGTTTCAACAATAATATATTTTAAACTGTGAACTAGTATGATTGTACTATAAAAAAATTTTTTTTTTTGACATATATTGTTATAATTTTTATGTTTATTTGCAGTTGCTGAGAAAGTCCTAATAAAAGGACGAAACGTTCAATTAAAATCAAAACGTAGTTTGAAATTTTTTTGTCCTGAATTCCTGTGATCAATTTTAGTTGTTTATTATTTTTCTGGACATGAGCAAGATTTTAAAATTATTATTATTATTATTATTTATTTATTTAATTGGCCATGAAATCGAAACTCCTTGCGGCTATCCAAAATTGATACAAAAAAATCTTAATATAATATGTTAAGTAGTATATATAATTTAGTGTGTTAAACACTCAATCATCACCAAATTCTAAAACAATGAATACATATTATGATCTATCAGATTGTAAAAAATATTGACTCTAAAAAATTAACTCTAATTATTCTTTTAGACACGGATAAACAAAAAGCACATAGTTCTAATAGCAACAGTAATTCTGGAAGAAAAGCTGCTGTCAAAAGCACGGTATTTGAACTTAATTCAGCGCCCATCGATTGCGTGGCTTCCCGGACTCGGTCTCGTGTTCCTCAAGTCCCACAGATTATTCAAACCTCGAGTAATAACTTTCAAGCATCACTGACCAGCATTTACAATAATATTTACAATAATAAAAAATCTTCCACTGCGCTGCCAAATTTAGCAGCATCATCAAGCAATTCCTTCATCAGTCATCCGTCGACGTCTCGTGGACGAGGTAATTAAATTAATTACAATGCCTAGAAATTTTTTCAACCATAAATAATAATAAAAATACTAATATTTACGTCATAATTAATAAAGACTTTTTGACCCAAATATTTTTAGGTTCAAAATTGCAAACTGTTGGAGGTAATTACGCAAACGGTGGAACGGGTAATCAAGTTTTGGGTGTCAAGTCCAGCATCAGAGTGGGTAACGCAGCTAGCAACTCTGTGGAGAGCGGAGGGGGGGCGTTGGCACATGACGGGGCAGGCACAAGTGGCGTTACAACGTCCACTGGCAGCAACCCCCCGGTGTCTGCCTCCGCGAGTGCCAACCTTGCGCACCATCACCCAACGCACAAACATTTGTTACGTTCACGAGTTAAATTATCTAGCGAGCAGTCTAAAGAAGCCCAAGTGTCAGCTAGCACTACTGGAGTTAATAAGTCACTGAGTAAGCATCATAAAAAAGACAGTACAACGGGAGGATCCTGCTCAAGCTCACGGCATCGTTCCCAGTCACGTGCTAGAAAATCCGCTGGAGAAAGTAGTACTTCGACTGCTGCTATTGCCGCTGCTGCTGCTAGTGCACTTGTTATGTCTACGAGTGACTCATTGACTAACAGCACCGCGATACCAACATCTGCGTCTGCGTCCGGAGGACAGTTGAATCCTTCTGTGCCTGAAGAGGAGTCTAGTGCAGCCAGTGCGACTCCCGCAGCGCCAAGTGGTGGACCTTCTGGAATGTCTGGGACCACTGGAGACAGTGAAAGTGATGATGGAGAAGTTGGCCGGCTCCAGGCGTTGCTTGAAGCACGTGGACTGCCTCCTCATGTCTTTGGAGCTCTGGGTCCACGGATGCAGCATCTGCTCAATCGCAGCATGGGCGCCAGCTCAGCTGCCAAAGCACAGCAGCTTCTGCCTGGATTGCAAGCCGTTGATGACGAAGGCGAGCAGCTGCAAGCTGTGATAGGAATGGGTGAAATTCTTGTCATGGGAAATGAAGACACTCTCACTGGTTTTCCGGTCAAACAAGTTGTTGCAGCCTTAATAAACTTGCTTGGAATTGAACATAATTTTGTAATTATGACCCATGCTTGCAGAGCTCTCACTTACATGATGGAAGCATTGCCGAGGTCATCGACAGTAGTGGTCGACGCGGTCCCGGTTTTTCTTCAGAAGCTAGAGTCTATTGAGTGTATGGACGTCGCTGAACAATGCCTCACGGCTCTTGCTATGCTGTCACGCCGACACAGTAAAACAATTCTTCATGCTGGTGGTGTCTCAGCTTGCTTGAAATTCGTCGACTTTTTCAACATTACGGCTCAACGTGCTGCCCTTACAATCACTGCTAACTGTTGTCAGAATCTTCATCCAGATGATTTCCACTTGGTCAGTGATAGCCTAACTCTGCTCACTACTAGACTGACCAATCAGGACAAGAAAAGTGTCGAATGTGTTTGTCAAGCTTTCAGCCGATTAGTTGATAGTTTTCAACACGATCCTGTGATGTTACATAAAATTGTTACACCCGAGCTCTTGCAGAATTTACAGCAACTGGTAAATATTTATAGTAGTACTTGAAAAGAACAAGATGACACTGGATATCATCCTAGATTATACTGAGTGAAAAAAAATTTAGATAGTTGCTAGTATAATCCAGATCACAATTATAATCCAGATATCACGCAGTATAATCTAGATTTTTTTTAACTACAATCTGAAATTTTTTTTTAAAAGAGATATTACTAAGTATAATCTGGGATGATATCGTGTTACAGATGCAATAAAGGCGTATAATAGAAGTTCTATTTTTTTTTTTCAGTCCAAAAAAAATTTTTAGTATGGAGAAATTTTTTTTTTTGCATTTCTGCACGTTTTATTCAAAAATAAGTTGATCCCCGAAAAAAAATTTTTTTTTTGGGAACCGACTTATTTTTTCAGAAAATGTGCAGAAATGCAAAAAAAAAAAAATTTCTCCATAAAAATTTTTTTGAACTTGAAAAAAAAATTTTTTTATACGTTCTTATGGCTTTTCACCGGGACCTTTTGCCATTATTCAGTGTCATCTTGTTCTTTCCATGAAGTAATATAAATTTAATTTTTTTTTAATTAATGGAACTTTTTTTCTTAATTACAGCTTATGATTACACCGCCAGTAAATAGTATTGGCAACTTCATAACTGTTTTACGAATGCTCTCTGTGATATCAAATCGCTGTCCTGATTTGGCGCAGCTGCTTCTTCAACAAAATATTGCGTTAACGTTGAGTTATCTATTAACTGGATCTCTTGAAGTTAAAACAGAAGACGTTGAATTAGTAACAAGATCGCCTCAGGAGTGGTTTGAAATAACTTGTCTGATTGAGGAATTAATGCCTCCATTGCCAACAGACGGTATATTTAGTGTAAATAATTTACTTGAAAGAACAACAAGTCACCAAGAAACTGTTCATTGGGAATGGCGTGACGAAAGACACTGTTGTCATCCATTTAGCACTATTGATTCTCGAATTATAGAGGTTTGTTAAATTATTCTTAATATATTACCTATCTAAAATTATTTACATATTTTACATTTTATTTAAATAAATGAATACTTTTAATAACAGATGGCTTTTCAAAATGGAGAAGACGAAATTTGCCTTTCAACATTGGGTAGAACCTACACTATTGATTTAACTACGATGAAACAAATAAACGAAGACATTGGAATGGCTCGCAGTATATACCGTCGTGTAATGACTGATCCTGCCGAGAACAAGAGCCCTACTTGTTCATCAAGCATGGATGTTGTACCGCCGGTGATTGAGACAAACGAGTGGCTGGTATCTTTCATCAGAACATTGTTTTCCGTTTTGTACGAGGTCTACAGCAGTTCTGCTGGTCCTGCTGTAAAATGTAAATGTCTCCGTGCTCTTTTACGCATGGTCTACTACGCGTCTACTGATCTTCTCAAAGACGTACTCAAGAATCAAGTTGTATCTTCTCATATTGCTGGGATGTTAGCTTCACAAGACCTCAGAATAGTTATCGGTGCGCTCCAGATGGGGAGCATTCTAATGAAACGATTGCCTCAAGTATTTGGTGTACACTTCCACAGAGAAGGAGTTTTACATCAAATTAGACAGTTAGCTGATCCTGAGGTTCCTCTTGGCGTATCACCACCCAAGTGCCCTTCTGGTAAATTTATTATTTTATAATAACTAGTTAATTTATATTATTAAGAGAATAAGAAAAATTTTGTGTCCAGGATAGTTTTATAATAAAATCGGTTTTTTAAGTCAAATATAGTGTCATTGCATTTAAAAATGCTATATCTCTAGATACATAATTAAGGAATTACCTTTTATCTTGTGAAATATTGACATTTTTAAAGATATAAGCTCATCTTGATGTTACACTCATCAAGACCTTTTATTTGAGTATCCACATCAATTTTTCATATATTTTATATATATATTTATATGGGTGATTCTCTGTAAGGATGTTTTTTGCTGTCCCAGGCATTGTTTTATTAGAAAAATTGTTATTTTGTTACTAAAAAAAATTTATTATGAAAGCAAAAAAACATTTCTATTTGGAGCATTGAAAATTGAAATGAAATAAATTTTGGTTTTTTTGCTATAAATTCGTAAACCACCAAAATGACAGTCCCCTGGGCTGTCCCACTCTCCAAATTAAAACTTTAAGATTAAATTTTAAGTTATTCGTTCATAATATATAATTTGATCCACAATGTTTATAAACTTAATTAGTTAACTAACAATCTTCTTCAATGAAAATTACCGAAAATTAATTTGTTTTATTAATTTCATCAAATCGAAGTCTGTCCCAGGCATTTTAAGTACAGTCCCCTGCCAGAAGTTCAAAGCCAAAAATAAAAAAATCCAGCGTGTTATTTTACCTTTTGTAAAGTTTATAAGGATCTAACTAGCCTTAAGTTAATTAATAACCATAGGGCTGTTAGCACTTTATCGCCATTTTATTTAGTGTTAAAGCACCGTTTGTACTGGAAATATGTGTCTGAGCCACTACAAAACTCAGTCCCCTGGCAACTATTTTTATATGTAATTTATTTATAAAAATGGATCTATAAGTCTTAATATTATTCTAATTAATGTAAACATTTATTGAGAACTTAAAAAACTGAATGCATTGAAATAGTTTGATTGATTTTTCTCAATTTGATAAGAAAAAAACAGTCCCCTGGCAGCAGTCCCCTGGAACAGTCCCCTGTCATGTTACATGGCACAAGATACACAAATATCGAAAAAGCAAAAATTAATTCGGCTGTTTATTTATTATGATTAAGTTAATAGTTTTGTAGCCCTTGTTAATTTTTTTTCTAATAAAATCAAAAATAATTTAGTCGGACAACTTTGTATAGATTTAAGACGCCCTTACAGAGAATCACCCATATGTATATATCAAAAATGCATGTAGGTACTCAAATGAAAGCTTTTGATGAGTGTAACATCGTAATGAGCTTATATCTTTAAAAACATCAATATTCAAGAAAGTACAGTTCAATTTAACAAAAGTCATTATATAATAAAGCAAAATTTTAATTTTTTACAGTTTACGAGTCACAGCAGTTACATAGTAACTGCAAGGCTGCTAGTTTTATTTATTATTGTCTTTAATAAAATTTTTTTTTTTTTATTGCTACAGGTACATCATTACCAAGTCCACAACCGGGTCCATCAAATACACCAATTTCATCAACAATGACTTTATCTTCAAGCAGTGCAATGTCCCCAGTCGCATCGCCCACGACTAATGGAAATATTTTATTCGGGTCTATTGCAACAAGTCAACTTAAACCAGTTGTTGCTTCACCGATGGAAACCCGAAGCAAAAGTGATTTAAATACTAATGCTGAAGAAGCAAACACACCACAAAGTGCTCATTTGTAAGTACAATTATTATATTAATAATAATCTAATAATTAATATATAATAATAATTATTAAAAAATTTTTTTAAGGTTTGGAGATGTACTGAAACGAAAACGACAAGTTAAAAAAGGTAGATTTTCTCGTTTGGGAAACACGACAACCCCACAACAGACTCAACAACCAGATTCATTATTTACTGGATTTACGCAAAAAAATAATAGATTTTTGGGTAACTTAAATCCCGCAAGATGGGGTAGAAAATCATCAGGCTCAAGTGGTTCTGGTGAAAAAAGAGATTCAACATCATCAGCAAGCCTTACTAAACCGCCAAGCAATCCAAATTTAACTGGCGGTAATCGAGATAAAGCTAAAGCATGGGTACGCGAACAAGCGTCAAATTTCCTCGCTAGGTATCAAGACGATGCACCGTGTACACATCCAGCGCTTACGGTACTTTCACGTCTTACCGCTGCAATCCAACGTTTACAATCAAACGAATTGGATGAAATGTTATCAGCGTTAACAGAATTACGTGATATTGTGCTTGAAAGTGATATTTCACCGTTTGAAATGAATTACAGTGGCCTAATAAAGGCATTATTAAATTACCTGACAACAACCGACGCACCGGGTAATCGTTACGACAGACTGCGAATGTTTTGGAAATTATTTGCAGAGTCGACAATGCAACAGGATGGCATTAACATCATTGAAGTTAATCCCGGAGCATTTGGTGCTTTAGTCCATAAATTAAATAGTTGCGTAGCACAGTTGGAACAATTTCCCGTGAAAGTACACGATTTACCAGCTGGCTCTGGAGCTGGTCGCGGAGGTACCAGTGCCCTTAAATTCTTCAATACACATCAATTGAAGTGTAATTTACAACGTCACCCAGATTGTAATAATTTAAAACAGTGGAAAGGCGGTACAGTTAAAATAGACCCTCTTGCTTTAGTCCAAGCTATTGAACGTTATCTGATGGTACGTGGATACGGTAGAATTCGTGACGCTGAGTCGATGGTCAGTGACGATGAAAACAGCGAAGACGATATCGATGATACCTTGGCGGCTGTTGTTATAAGCCAAGGATCTAAGCACAAGCTTCAATTTTTAATTGGAGATGAAATCCTGCCATTTAATATGACTGTTTATCAAGCTGTAAGACAATTTAGCTGCCCGGGAATGGATCACTCAGAAGCTGAGACTGATAGTGAACCCCCGCTGGGTCACGACGCTGTTTGGGTTCAAACTCACACTATTTACTACCGACCAGTACCCGAAGAAGAAGTTTCTGCCTCGCCTAAACCGGGCTCTAGCTCTCAAGGTACTTCTAGCAGAAAAGGCAAAGGTAAAAGTACAAAAATTAGTTCTAAAAGAAAAGAAGATAGTTTTTGGCTCGAAGGTGTCATACCACCACCCAAGTGTCCTCTGGCTCCGTATTTGTCGCCAGTATTGCCGTCAGTAACTATTTCTGACGCTTCTCTAGACGGTTTGTGTTTATTACGACTTCTTCATGCATTGAACCGTCACTGGGGTGTTTTGTTCCCCCATTTAAAGAGCCCGGCTCTGCTGTCTTCGCAAGATTTTATAAATACTAAAATAGCGGCTAAAGCTAATAGACAATTACAAGATCCACTGGTTATTATGACGGGTAATTTGCCCTCTTGGTTACAACAAATAGCAACAGTGTGTCCGTTCTTATTTCCATTTGAAACGAGACAATTGCTGTTGTACGCAACGTCCTTTGATCGTGATCGTGCTCTGCAGAGACTTCTTGATTCAGCGCCTGAATTGTCTGGCTCAGACAGTCAAGAACGCGTGACACCACGCTTAGAAAGACGCAAACGCACTATTTCACGAACGGATATTTTGAAACAAGCTGAACAAGTTATCCAAGATTTAGCATCAAGCAAAGCTCTACTCGAAGTGCAATATATTAATGAAGTTGGTACTGGATTAGGTCCAACACTTGAATTTTATGCTCTAGTTTCTCGCGAATTACAACGCGCTGATTTAGATCTGTGGCACGGTTCTTTAAATCCCGACGCCACGGGTTATGTTAATGGAACTAAAGGATTGTTTACTAAGCCAGTGCCCTGGAATACGAAAATTCCGCATTTAGCTAAACTTAAAGCTAAATTTAAATTCTTAGGAAAGTTTATGGCAAAAGCGATCTATGATTCGCGTATGATTGATATGCCATTTAGCTTAACATTCTATCGTTGGTTATTGGGAGAAGAACACACACTTACACTTGCCGACTTGGCCTATGTATGTCCAGATGTTCATCGTACCCTCAACAAACTTCAGGAAGTCGTAAGACGAAAAGAAGCCATCGAAAGAGACCAAACTTTAAGACCACACGAAAAGGCTCAATTGATTGAGTCACTTGATCTAGACAATTGTACTATAGCTAATCTAAGTTTAGTCTACGAGTTACCGGGTTATGAAAACATTGAATTGAGAAAAGGCGGTAGTGAAATTTCCGTTACTATTCACAATTTGGATCAATATATTAAGGTGGGTTTTGTACAATTTAGCGGATATAATGTTGGCGGAGTGTTGGAGTTTATTTTTTATTTTTTTTTTTCAGCTTGTGGTTCATTGGTTCCTCAGTGAGGGCGTTTCGAGACAAATGGAGGCATTCCGAGAAGGTTTTGAGTCGGTATTTCCTACGAGTCAGCTAAGATTGTTCTTCCCGGAAGAGCTCGAAGCAGTATTTTGCGGTCATGGACAAAGTGGCGGCCAGTGGGATGTTAAAACTCTTATGGAATGCTGTAGAACTGACCATGGTTACACACCGGAGTCACGTGCAATTAGATTTTTGTTTGAAGTTATGTCGGAGTATAATAGCGAAGAGCAGAGACAATTTATACAATTTGTTACGGGATCTCCTCGTTTGCCCGTTGGTGGTTAGTATTTTAAACATCTAAACAATTATTTTATTTATTATTTATTTATTAAATTATACACTGAAAAAAAAAAATTCTTGGCTGGAGGGTAAATTTTCTTGGCTCAAGAAAATATTAAGAAGGGGGTCGTCTGGCTTGACGTTCTGATTTTTAAGTATTTTTTTAGGGTTTTTTTTTGTTAAGACCAACGAAGAGATAGAACTTTGAACTTTTTATCATTTATTTATACATATTTCAAGAATATACAGTTAAATTTTTAGGTAAAAACAGTCAGTAGAATTAAAGTTACAGTGGTCTGAAATCACCCGTCTTGAAAAAAATTGACGCTCATTTCCTTCATGATATCAATTGATTAGCTTATTTGAAACAAAAAAAAACTTGACGGGGTTTTAATCTGTATACTTAAATGCACCAAGTGGATTACGATAAAAAAAAAAAATTTTGAAAATTAGATTTTTGACAAACTTCTATGGCACGCAGTTTTACTATTTAATACTATTTACTATTTTATGGTGTGCCATAAATTTCGGAACAAAAAATTCTGAATTTCATTTTTTATTATCAACTTTTTGATGCAAAAAAAAAAAAAAAAAAAAAATTTTGAAAAGAAAATTTCTTCTTGCTCCAAAATAATTTTTGTCTTTCTTAAAATTTTCTTAGACACATTATTACTTGATTAATTTTTTTGTTTTTATTACAGGTTTTAAGAGCTTAACTCCACCATTGACAATAGTACGAAAAACATTCGACGCTTCAATGAAAACCGATGATTTTCTGCCTTCAGTAATGACGTGTGTTAATTACCTTAAATTGCCGGATTATACAACTTTAGAAATAATGAGAGAAAAGTTGCGGATAGCTGCGCAAGAAGGCCAACACTCTTTTCATCTGTCCTAGAAATTCATTTTTAATAATATTTGTATCCCTTTTTTTTCTAGGATAGGGACCATAAAACATTTTTCGCAAAGCCAACGTAATATATAATTAACAAAAACAAAACATAAAATTAATATTTAATTTAAATAAAAATTTTAAAATAACGTCTCTTACAACACCATCAATGTTAAATTGTATTTTTTTTTTTTTTTGATTACTTTCTTTTTTTATGAGCTCGAATTTTAATAAATTTAAATTTAATATAAGTTTGATCTTACATATAAGTCTCGTTAATTTATATAATATAAAAAAAAAACAAAAAAAAAAAAGAAAAAAAAAACAACAATAACGATTTAATTGATAGTATAAATTTAATCGCGCGACAGAATTGCCGGATACAAAGAAGTGTTTAAGTAAATTAAAAGCAATGTCTTCAACGTATTATAACTGAGATAAAGCAAACATAAAGTAAATAATAATTATAAAAAAAAAAATCATTAAGAAACATGTGGAGACAAGGAGTTGTAAATATTAATAATAGTTATTTCAGCATAGTTTGATATACGCAAACAAATAAATACTTTATCATACAGCCACGAAGCACTGATACTATTGGAATTATTAAAAATAAATACATATGAGGACGATTAAATGTGAAGTCAAGTTTTATATCAGTGGTGCACTTCGGTCACCGTGCATCGCCAATCCTCGTGTTTTATGTTTAAAACATGAGAACATATAAAAATAATTTTAAAAAAAAATTTAAAAAATTCAGTTAATAATGTGCGATAAGGCATAACTTGTAGGTATAAGAAATCAACGTCCCTTGAAGAAGATAGATGAAAAGAAAAAGAAAAAATTTTAATAAAGGTGTCTTGCTCGTTGTGTTGTAATTGATCTCTTGTTTGCTGTCAGATATTTAGCAGAGCTTTTGTGCACTGCAAAATATCACGCAACACTATTTAAGTTAACTTATGAGTTATTATTATTATTGTTTATCATTATTAGTTTATATATTATTATTATTTCCTATTATTATTATTGTAGATAAGGTAGCGAAATAACTTTAGTTTAAATTAAGGGTGCGTTATCATCGTCAGACGACCCGGCTTGCTATTAAATAAGTATTTTAAATAAATCATTCAATTATGGTGAGTTTATATACATAAAATTATATTACTAATCATAATTAATAACCAATAAATACCGATATAAATAACAAACTTATTTGTAACTATTTTGAGGTAAAAGATATGCTAGATTATTTATCATTTGTTTTTTCGTTAATTTTAAGGATAATCATTAATTGATACCTTTTTTTTTTTTTTTGTTTCTATGAAAATAAACGAATGAAAAATATATATATTTTATAATTTTATTTAATATCTTTTTGAATATTACTTATACTGTTTTAATTCTGCCATTATACTTTAAACTGTACTTTTATTAACGTCTGACGATGCTAATTTGCTTTTTTTTTTTTGTTAAATGTGTTGTTTTAATTTTTTAAACAAAAAAAATAACAATTATATTTTATTTCTTTGAGGATTAATTAATAAACTCAGAATTTATATAATATTTAGTCACATATTTTTTAACACATAAATCCTGTCTTTAAAGTAGATCCTAAAATTTTATTTTTACTTTTTTAATGCTAAATTTTCTACCTTTAAATAAATAAAAAAATTCAGGACAAATATACTTTATTTCGTAGAAATTAAATTGTTATAATAATTTTTTAATTTATAGTAACTATATTTACTTATTTAAAAAAAATTTAATTCCAAAGAATCCTTCTAGATAATTTAATTAATTATAATTAAAAAAAAAAAAAGATACGTTTTATATTTGTTGTTTAGTGATTTAAATGCACATAGTTAACCATCCAAGAATAAAACATGTTCCTCCAAAGGGAGTTATTTTACTCAGACGCTTATCTCCAGTAAATGCATAGTAGTAACAACTTCCGCTGAACATCATGGTTCCTGATAACCAAAATGCTGCAGTCTGAAAATATATTTAATTATTTAAATAAACTTTAGATTAAAAAATTACAAGTGCAAATTAAAAAAAATTATTTTTTTTAATCATGGACTTGTAATAAAAATAAAAAAATAAAACTTTTTATATCTGCTAATTTCAGTATTATAATTTTAGGGATTAAAAAATTTTTTAATTTTGGGTTTACAATTAAATCTCTAGATAACTTTTAAACTTCCAATATTATGAAAATTAATTTAGCAGATATTTTATAATTTAAAAAATTTTTTTAACAAATAAATTAAGACAAAAAAAATTAACATTTAAAAATTTTTAAAAATTAAAAATGCAATTTTTTAAAACAAATTTTTTTTGTTAAAAAAAAATAAAAAAATAGTCAAGACTGCTAACTTTTTAGTATAATTTACAGCCTCATAATATATCAATGGTATCTTAAATCTATCTATGAATAAATGGATAATTAACTTGACTTACGATCATCGGGGCACGGCACAGAGATAATCCAAGCATGGCGAGTGCATGATAAAAGTGATAGCGATTAGCAGTTTCAAATACTTGTTTCAGATTATCATCGGGAAACTTTCCTAAAATAATTCACAAATTAACAGTAATACATATGAAAATTAATTGCTGTGAATAATAATTAATAAACTTACTGTGAGCGCCATAGGCACCGAGGATAACAGCAGCGGCTCCATTAATACCAGCAAGCCTAATAAATGGGCCAGACGAAGCGGCTAATTTCCATAAAGGCTCTGGAGGGATCATTTTGTATTCAACTTTCGGAGTTAATCCTGAGTAACTAACGATCTGTAATAAGCAAAAATTTAAACATTTATTCTTACTTAAATTTTATTTTAAAACAAACTTACAGCGTCTGCTGTTGATTTAGCTAATTGTCCAGCAGTTGCACTCAGTGGGTTTGTAAATACTACGTAATTTATTGCATCATAAAAACTCATTTGTTAAGATTGTCGGTCAACAAGCGTTGACGCGAACTTTATACTTATAAATATTTTAATTTTATCGGGTTTATTTTAACAAGTTACGTCGCCGGTTTATTTATTCCAATTTGCAACAGTGCAATTTTTAAGTACTCTCCAGGTGATTGATAAATTTCGTGCGCATAAAAATATTTATGTACAATTAGTGAATTATTAAAAGCAGAATTTATGTTATATTATATTTGTGTACTGACACTTTTATTTACTTACAGAATTACTCTCAATGTCTTCTTGATGAAAAAAAAATGATAATTGATCAATGTTTATGGTCTTGGTAATTTTTTTGCAAGTGACTAAAGTGACGTTTGACCACGTGAATCCAGTCTTTCGTTATTATTGCCGCTGATTGCCTCATATTTCTTAAATAACAATAACAATTGCGACGTTTTATAAGTTTTGAGAATAAAAATGGTAAGACTTATTAATTATAATTATTTTTATATTTTTAATATTATTAAATAATTTTTTTTTTTATCAATTTAGTTGTAATTAGCAAAAATTTATTTTTTTTAAAACATAACCTATAAAATTTATTTTGAAGAATTAAATTTTAATTAAAAATTCAAATTTTACAATCAATTATTCGTTTTTATATTTTATTTTAAGGTGATTATTAATTATAAACTTTTTATGGTCAGTGATAATTTATTAAAAATCAAATTTCATCATCAAAAGTGAACACGTGAAGAATGATGGAATTAAAAAAAAATCATGAAAATAAAAGTAGCAGATTTCAAAATTTTTAGAATTTTTTTTTTTTTTATAAAATTATTGAAAAAAAAAAATAAAAATTCCACATATAGAAAATTTGAAGAATTAAAAGTGCGATTTTTGACAAATATTTTTTTAGCTACAATTTAATTAATGACACATCAAAAAACTTTGATATTTCATAATAATAAAGTAAGCCGACATTTTTGATTTTTTTATTTTGCTTAATTTATTAAATTATAACTAAAAAATATTTTTAAAAAATTGCACTTATAGTTTTTGAAGTTTTTAACAAATGAAATTTTTTTTTCATTTTTTTAATGAAAAGAAATGTTAAAAATTTTTAAATGTCAGCTAACTTGATTTTTATTATTTCTGCTAATTTCAGTCTCATAAAAAATTGCGAATTTTTTATTTTATAATAAAAAAAAAAATTAATCGGTTAATAATAAAGAAAATTAATTTTATAAAATAATTTTATCCAGGCTAGCACTGCAGTTGTAGCTGGTATAGGACTTGCAGTAGTAGGATTTACTGGAAGATACATAGCAAAATCAATGCCGACGTTATCGAAAAAAATGGCTGAAGCTTACAAAGTTTTGCCTAAATTAGATGCAAAAGTAAGTTTAATTCTCTTTATATATAATTAGTAATTGTAATTATATATGACGATAAGGCGAAAGATTGATTTATTTTTATATTTAACAGTCATTAGCTAACAGCAAGTACTACAAAGGAGGATTCGAGCCAACGATGACGAAACGAGAAGCCAGCTTGATACTAGGAGTATCTCCGACAGCTAGTAAATCTAAAATAAAAGAACGTTACAAAAAACTAATAGTCCTCAATCATCCGGACTGTCAAGGATCACCTTACCTAGCCAGTAAAATATCCCAGGCGAAAGATTTGTTGGAAAAAAAGTAGTTATTTATTTTTACAAATTTATTAGGCAACAAAATGTACATACTTAATCGAAAAAAAAAAATCACAAATGAAATCAAGATTATCCTATAATTATTATTAGTAAATTTACTTAAAATTATCGATCCAGCGATTTACACAATTAATAGAGAGAAAAAAAAAGAGTAAAATATTTAAATAAAATTTTTAAAGCTATTATCAGAACACTGAATTATTTATACAACGGTCTAAAAGTCAACAATTCATTGAAATATTTAAAACGAGTTACCAAAATATTGATTTGTGTATATATACGTATAGATAATTAAAAAAAAATGTTTTAAAAATTGCACGTATTTTTTTTTTTTTTAAACTAAAACGATAGGTTTGACTAGAGCCTGATTTAATTATTACTGTATACTCGTGTGAATTTTAAATGCTATCGTTTTAAATTTGTTTTCTTGTTCTTCGCTCGTTCCTGAGATACTTTTGTCCGCAATTTTGCGATTGTATTACCAGGTAATGATCCAGGTACTTTAAAAATACTCTGAAACAAATTTATTACTTAGTATTATTTTTATATTTATAAAAATGATTAAATAGTAGTTTATAATTAAAAAAAATTTTTTTTAAGTAACTATAACTGATGAAATTTTTTCAAGTAAATTAATATTTTTACTAAAATAATTTTCAAAACAACAATAATAATAATATTTAAGTACCTGCATAAAATTGTGACATTGTAACACTATACTATCTTTAGTAATCCCTTTAAAACAATCAGCCAATAACGCAAAATCATCACAGGCCACCAGATTACTTCTATTCCTCTTAATAAGTGTTAAAGCAACGCGAAATATTATTTTATTGCCTTCATAAAAAAGACAGTCCCATATCCTAAGAGTTGTCTGCAATAAAAATTAATTAGCACTTTACTCCTGACATAAACATCTTAAAAAAAAAAAAATTATTTGATTTAAGGTAGTTGTCATGGTAAGCAATATTATATGCAATTATTTCTGTTCAACTCCGTAATTGTCGAACTTTAATCTGTTATTTATAAATAATTAGACGGTCAAAAATTTTTTTTTAAACTCACAACAAATGCATTAAAAGACTGTCGGTTTTTTAAAAGTTTCCGACAGTTAGTTTTTTTTATAACTAAGAAACTGGTACAGAACTGCAGAGAGCGTATGCAATCAATGTTAAATATCCAATTTTTAATTAAATTAATCTCGGCTTATAGATGGTTAATCGACTTTAAATTTTGAGGGTAATTATATCATCATGTCCTTAATAAGTATAAAAAAATTTATAATTTTCTGACGGTATGCCTTAAGCATAACAACTACCTTAATACAATACCTCTATATGAAAATAAATTTAGCAGATATTTAATAATTTTTTTTTCTAAATAAATTATGGCAAAAAAAAATTGACATGTAGAAATTTTAAAAAATAAAAAATGCAATTTTTTAAAAGTAATTTTTTTGAACAAATTTGTTAGTTAAAAAAAAAATTAAAAAATTCTCTGACTGCTAACTTTAATGTCATTACCTCTATTGGTAGGACTTCAGCAAAAAGGCATATGAACCACTTGGTGGTAATAACAGCCCAGGGTAGTCCTAAATTAGTAACATGCTCATAAACTTCAGGTATCTTGAGCTTAACTAGCTCAGCTAGTACATCAATGTCCGTGAGCAGCCCGTCCATCGTCGGCGTGTAGTAATCCGGGAGTATCTTTTCAATTAATACTTTAAGCAGCCAAAACGCAGTTTCTTCACTCTTGGTGACAAGCAATAGCAATCCCGCAATGTAATTGAGACCCTGGCAGTAGCCTACAGTCTCATTCTGGTGTGCAAAAGCTAGCAAAATATTATATAGCTGGTGCTGATGATTGACAGTGTTATTAAAAAATATATTATCAGGAAAGGTCCTCGGGAGATCAGTCTTTATAATCTCAGTAACCTGTTGATTGTGAGGCCCGTTCAGTAATCTCTGGTACAGGTCTGGGTTTGCATTTTTCAAGTCCTCGCCTCCGCTTACAGCCAACCACACCTACTCATAAAATTATTTAATTCGTTTAAGTTCATTGCAAGTCAATGACTCACTGCTTGCTACTTGTTACTCACTCCGTTAAATAATTAAACAAAGAAAGTAAGATAAAAAATAATTATTTTACGTACCATTCCTCTGTACTCTCCTGGAATTCCTTTTCGTACATATCTTTTCACAGTGATACTACGTTCCAGTGATTTTCCTTCTCCAGTAATGTCAGCCCATTTTTTCGCTCTCTTAGCCAGCACTTTCAGGTATTCAGACATGAATTCTTCGTACGTTCCATAGTCAAAATCTTGAGGCCTTTCAAATCCATACTCGTCCACATTGCTAGTTTTAATTACAATAATATTATTATTAAATCGCTTACCTTGGTTCGTTAATTAAATGCTAATATAATTATGGTAATTAAGAGATAACAATTATTGTTATTATTATCACTCCGTTGACAGCGATTAATTAAATTAGTTAAGAAATGAATGTTTACCTGAAACACGAGGTGGCCATACCCTGCGTGGGAGGACTGATAACATTGGAGCCACTTTAGTAAAAAGTGTCTACTGCTACAATTTCCTGTTGGTAGTATTGGTACCTGCTTGTACCAAGCGACTACCAGCTGTCCTTTATTTAATTTAATTGTTTTCTTTTTAATCGAAATTTAAATTTCGCGCACCTTGCGCGCGCATCTCAATTTCAACCAATAGGAAATCTGAATGAAAATTAGCCATTTTTGTATTTGAGTAATTGATAAAATTAAATATACAATTGTACTTTACGAAAGATTGGTCTTGAATTTGAAGATTTTTGCACTTCGAACTCTGTCGTAAGAATTATCTGAGTTCTTGAAGCAATTCAGAAGGTAAACTTTTTCGGCTCCCTTCTTCGAAAAATTTATTAGGGTCTTACTCCTTCTTTCAGCCTACCAGCGCTTGCCATTAGGTCTTTTACTTTTATTTTGTAGGGATCCTTAGCCAGGTCATATTATTTTTTTACTTATAATTTTTATTGATTTAAAAAATTAAAAATTGTCAAATGTCTGCTAATTTTAGTATTATGTTAAATTATGACATTGAATTTAGTTGTCACTTTTGATAATTTTTTGATTTTATTTATCTAACAAATTTGTTCCAATAAATTATTTTTAAAAAATTGCATTTTTAATTTGTAAAAATTTTTACATGTCGATTTTTTTTCATAATTTTTATGTTACAAAAATTATCAAATATCTGCTAAGTAAATTTTCAATATTAAAATTAAAAATATAAAAATAAATTTAAAAATCTCAGTAAGCATTAAACTATATTTAAATGGCTATACTGAAGATCTCTTCTAATCTTAGAAGAAACTTTAAGACTTAATAATTTGTGAAGAGGATAATCTTTTTTTTTTCAGCTTAAGAGAAATATAAGGTATATTGTTATCAAATGTATGGTATTAAATTTTATTTTACTCAAAAGTGTAAATTGATCATTGTAAATACATAATATATCTATTTTGTTAGAAAAATATTTACCATAAAAATGCCAAATTTATATTCTGAAAGTAGTGAAAGTAAATTGAAAGTAATCCAAATAAATTGTTCAAGCCTCAATTACTTCATTCTAGTAAGGCTCTAGCTTTCGTAAAAGTTTAGTTACAGAAAGTTTAGTCAAAGTTTTGTGAATAAATATTAAATTAAGGTACTCTTTTATAAGTTAATGTCAAAAAGTTCAAAGAAATTATTTAAAAATTTTGTGTATATATTATAAAAAACTATTAATATTATAAGTGATCAACAAATAAATTTTGAAAAAAATTCAAAAATGGATCAAGAAGAAATTAAAAGAAGTAAACGCCTAAGTTTGGAGGTGCAAATGAAGATAATTGCGAGTGTAAGTAAAGTAATAAAAATAAAACATCTTTGTATTGGGGAAAAAAGAAGAAATAGAAGCCAAAAGCTATCAATTGATCGAGGGACGTGGTTATGTGAAGAAATGTAATGTATTCCCATACAAAAGGTTATTTTTAGAATGTATACAGTTTTTGACGAAACCCGAGGTTGCAAAAATTTTATTGGATGTCGAACTAAACAGCTTCAGGGATTTAATAATTAACTCATTATAATTATTATTATTATTATTATTGGTTAAAAAAATCAAAAATTGTCAAATATCTGGCAATTCTAATATAATTTCTTGAATTATTTCTTCAACAAAAAAATTCTAAAAATTTTCAGATCTCGGCTAATTAAATTTTGATTCTGATTGAATAATAATATATGAAAATTAATTAGTTACAACGACATTCGAAACAACAGCCTACTCTTAAAAAATGTCATAAGTACCAAAATAATTTTTAATTAAATAATAATTCTTAAACTACCAGTGAGTCTTTACCTTTTAATAAATCACTTAAATTACTAACATTATAATTATTTTATTTTCCATTACTTTTGACAGTATAAAAATTATTTTTTACATTTCAATTCTTTATCTCAACATTGTACTTTGTCTTCAATCTTAACAACATTTATATTAATTATTAGACTACAAGGTTTACATATTAATAATCTTACAATTATAAATCAATAGGCGAAACGATCTAAATAATCTAACAACACAAAATACATAAAATCAAATACTTAAATTCATACTAACACTTAAATTCATTATATTAATTATAAAAAAATATACCAAATAAAATATTAATTAAATGTTATACAAATGGTATCAGATTTCCTTTTTCGTCAATACCAACGGCTCTAACATTATCCAAATGACAACAATCGCGATAATATTGACTTTGTTCAGGTGTACTAAGTAAAATTAAAAACGGAGCATCGTCATCTTCATCAACGTCTATAGTCTCTTTATCATCATTATTGTTATTATTTTTAGTATTATTATTATTATTAATTACTATATTACTACAATCAGCTTTTAAATTTAATTTAACACCAGATTCTAAACATTCGTCTTTTAATTGTTTTTTAGCAAAACTAATTGTACTTATATTAGGAATTAACGGACAATTTTTTTGAGGCACCGAAAGTTCTAATCTTTTTTTGAGATTAGTGGTACCTTCAATTACAGCAGCTTGAGCAAAATCTCGTCTTCGTTCACCATTCAACGGCCGTTTAACATCTTCATGATCTTCCATAGTGGTATTTCTGGTCCTGACGCGCAAGCAAAGTGGTTCATTAGGCTCTGGCTCGACATCAGCAATAGCATAAAATTTATTGCCACAAAGTTTGCTCCTACATTTTCCATTAATTATAACAAAATGACTCGAAGTAGGATCCTTATTAACATAGCCTTTTTTGAACACATAAGCACATGGCAATCCATGCTGTTCCCAAAATGCTATAGCGACAATATTAGTCCATACATTTTTCCTCAACGGAGTTCTCTTCAACTCAATTTCATCTGGTGGTTTTATTTCAGACCACTGTTTGTGAGTTAAAGTTAACTCAAACCATGATTCTTTATCAGTATCAAATTCATCTACATAATCGCTGTCATATATATCATCACCATCAAAAATTTCTTCATCAGATTCAGGTTTTTTCGCTTTTCTAGACTTTATCGGTGGTAACCCAGCTCTTTTTCTCGCTTCAGTTAATATTCCACGTCTATCTTCTCGAACATTTATGAACCACAGGTGGCTGTTCCACACTTCACCTGAATCCTTGCTCATTTTTTTCCATATTTCTGAGGACCATGCTGGAAGCGACTCCTCTGTGAAATTGTCTACATATTTAAATGTTATATCTATTGCTATCGATCTCGGTAGACGTGACTCAGGCGGCATTCTGGCTTCTTTAGGTCTGAAATGTTTAATTATTAATTTTTTGTTCAATATTTTTGCTACTTACATTTAAAAAAATAAAATTTTTAAAAACTAGTTGATAATTTAATTTATGCGATACTGATCAATTATTTCAATTGTAATGGCAGGTTAATTTAAATCAGCTGTTGATTATTATTTTATATTTCGGAGGTCTAATTAGAAATTAGTCTACCTTATTATTTTTTAACTTTTTAATGTAGCAATACTCCAATTATAAATTATTTAAATGATCCAAACCAATATATATCTCTATTAGATATTAAATTGTTTTTTAATGTAATAACAAATTTTAAACTAATTGTTTTTTTTTTTTTTTTTTTTTTTTTTTTTTTTTTGTAAAAATGGAGTTAGACAATTTGCTAATTAAAACGTTTAAATATAAAATAATAATCATCAGTTAATTTAAATTACTCTGTCATTACAATTGGAATAATTGATAAGCATAAATACATTTTAAATTTGTAAATATAACCTCTTTGCAAAAATATTATATTTTGAATTAAATTACTAATAAATCCTTACCGATGTTTGATTAAATATTTTAAAATCCAGAAATTGTTTTTATGATAGTTATAAATTCACTTTAATTATAAGCCCGTACAAAATTGGTTAAAAAAACTAAATATTATTGTGGTGGGTTACAACCGTGTGTACTGTGTATACCTGGATGAGTTTATTTATATGCAGACATTGTACACGTATACATTTTTATTTTTTTTTTTTATCGAGATTTGTGTATATAACGATTGAAAAAAAATTATTTTCAAGCGTGAGTATTCTTTGACATTTTAAATATCAACTGATGACTAAAGACAATACAATGAAGAAATATTGTTAGAAAACTTACTTGGATATTATTTTTTTTGCTTGTGTGGATATTTTTGTTTAATAATCAATAATTATTAATTAAAAAAAAACAAAATATAAACTAAATATGAGGCGGTTGTTTTTTCAGTATGTAAGAACAAATGAATTACATAGCATTCCAAGATCTAGTTTTGACAGAATATATGAACATCCATCAGACTATTTTTTTCATTATCCTGATGTTTTTAAAATATTTCATTTTTTAATTTTCATATCTTCAATAAATAATAACAATCACTGCAAATAAACAAACATAAATAAAATGACAACTAAAGATTCACTTAAAATTTGTAAAACTAATACTAAAAAAATTTAAAAACTTTCAAACTCTTATCATCAAAAGATTTTATTTAAAATAAAACATCTAGAAAAAAATTACTCACTTTTATGAAAATTTATAATTTTTTAAGATTAACTTAAATGTTTTTAATGATTCTGATTTAAAATTTATATTTTAATTCTTGAGATTTTTACTTGAATATTTTTCATCTAATTTTTAGACTAAGAATAAAATTAAAAAATGTACTTCTTAAGTTTAAAATATTCGAATAAAACTTTTAGGTTATTCCGCTTTGTGTTTAATTTAAATAATTGGGCGTGTTTGGCCGAAGTAAGTACTTACTAAATTTTCGGCCGGGACAGAAAATAAGTGCTAACGCAGTAAGCATGGCTTAATATAAGACGATTTTTCGTTTATTATTGATGTAAACAAAACAGACCGAAGCATATAGAATTGAATTTATATTGGTTATTCTATGCAATAAGATATTTAATTACTTTTTTTGATAGAAAGCTTTAAGAGGTACTTGAAAAGATCTTTTTCATAAGATTATATGAGATGTTACAAAACTATACTTTAAATTAATGTGAATTTTTTATACTTACACAGTGTAGTTCTGATTTTAATTAATTTTTTTATATCTTTTATAACAAATGTATAGATAGTTAAGTATATTTGATAACAATTAATATAAGCAGTTAATACAAGGAAAGAATTGTTGATAGTATTATAACTTATGACAAGTTTCACAAATATCATTTAAAAGAAGAGATCTATGAGTATGACAAGACAGAAAAGAAATGTATATTTTTTAAATTCAATTACTCTATTGACTGTTTGTTTCAATAATCGTTAAAATTTATATTACTTATTCTTAATATAAGAGAAATAGTAATCATTTGTTCATACTCAATCTATAGTTTAAATGTTATGTTGATTAAGGGGTTGTTTAACTTTTTTTCCAATTAAATATTTCTCATAAAATGGTCCATTTACAACTATTTACTTGAATTAAACTATATTAATAAATTTATCAGTGTCAATTATATTCAGACTATGAGATTATGTACGAAATATAACGTAAGTCGGTATTTTGTATTATATGCTAAGCCTGTAAGTCTGTCCCGGCCGAAAAGCGCTATAGTCAGCTTGTAAGATTAAAATTTTTTTATGCTAACTGGCTTACTAATATAAGTCTAGTTTAGTATTTACTTCGGCCAAACACGCCCAATATACTCCGATGTGTAACAAATATGTTATGTATTTAAAGCTTACCGCGTACATATACACACACACATGTTATATATTAATATAAAAATTTTATCATCCAATTAATATAAGAGTAACGAAAAGAATTTTATTTTAATCAGTAAATAAAATTAATATTTTTTCATTTTATTTTATTAATTTCCTGTAGTATTAATGGTAACAAATAACGAATTATAATTATAATTCTTCTGTTTATTATTAATAATTATTGAAATAAAATTATAAATAAAAGGTATTTAACTAATAGTTGTCAATGATTGTACATACATATCTTGCTAATATTATTTAAGAGACAAATTAAATTACATAATTAAAAAAATAAGAGAAGTTATTGGATCTTAAACTGAGTGACAAGTCTGTTTAATTTTGTTATATTATAAATATTATATGCTCATTTAGAAATTAAATTATTGGAGACCTTTATTCATGACATCATCAACAAAAAAAAAAAGAAGTTATTAATTTTTACGAGTGAACACCAAGTGCCCATTTTTCTCGAGAAGACTCGTGTTATCGTCTGGCCAAGGAATCAGTGTCTAGTGCTGAAATAAATAAATATAATTAATATATTTGTAGATTGTATACTGATTAATTAATTTTAGTAATTATTTATTGCTTACCCTTTCCATCACAAGCGACTATTTTGACTTTACGAACAGTTGCAACTTCTTGCACTTCTCTGAACTCGACATCATTTAACATGAAGGTCCATACATTATCACAAAATCTGTAAGTGTTCAATTTTCCAGCCTAGAAAAGAGAAATTTTTTTTTATTAGAACTTTTATAATGGATTAAGAAAATTTTTAATAGAAAACAAGCAACCTTGCAGTCACTGTGTGACTGCCGTGACTTGTGAATTATAAATGAATAAGATTTTGCTTTATTGAATAAGGACTTTTGTTGAATTGCACTGTACTTTCTTAACTATTAATGTTTTTAAAGATATAAGCTCATCTCGATGTTACACTCATCAAGAGCTTTCATTTGAGTACCCACTTGCAGTTTTGATATATTTTTCATATATACATATATAATATATATATATATATATATATATATAT